ATAATGGCACTCCATTAATTATATATTATTTATTCATTATTTATTTTTAACTTTGAAAGAGGGAAAGTGAAAGGGAAAAATATAAAAAAATTTTTTAATGGCTTAATATAAGCAGGAAAATTTTAAAAACTTGCGGAAAATACATGCGGACAATACAGTATTATAAATGCCTTAATATAGGACCTCAAGTTTACATACACCCAATAGTAGATTGATATGCTACTGAGTGGGGAAGATGCCTTAAAATGGGTGTGAGACTTGTTGACAATTCCGAAGGGTTTTATTCTGTCAGACCTCGATTCTACATAAACCCAATATTAGGTACACCTCTATTTTTGATACGCCTTTTTCAGATTTATTTGGCAACCTGAAATTTTCAGACCAAAAATCTTTCAAGTAGAAAGGGTCTAAATTTATAAAATCATGGAGGTGAAACACGAGTATAAGAAATTGCCGTTTTTATTCAAAAGGTTACTGTTAAGATAATATGTTTAATTGAGAGAAAACAAGACAAAAAAGTAAATTGAAGATAGAAAATGCTTTTATAAAAACCCTTTTGCAACACATAAAATATTTCTCTTTAAAATATTCAACCGGTATATTACTCAGTGTTTTCTACTCCGCTATCGTGGAGCACAGGGTTGTGGAGGGCATAGGACAGTTAAGCATTTATTCATATTAACCTCATTGCGAGGTTACGGTGGATTAGGAGCGCTAGCCTGTGGCGGCGTAATTAAAAAGTTTCTGTTGAACGTGTTCTCACGTTGAACTCGAGGCCAGGAGGAAACACTCCTGATAAAGGAGTCTAAAAACTCTTAAGGAGAGTTTTGTGGAGGATAGCAGGCTGATGACTAATATGCTATATTGAGGTTGGAGGAAGCCCTAAGAATGATATGCTTAATAATGTACCGATGTTCGATGAAGCGACTGCGCTCCTAATTTTTTATAAATCATTTTTGATTTATCAATTTATTTAATTCTTCTATGGTCCGTAATTCTAAAACGTCAACCACAGAAAATAAGGGTAATCATTGAGGTTTAACATACTCTCTCCCTGCCAATTCTTAGTAAAATACCCCAAATCCCTATTAAATTTTACTCAGCAACTCGCATTCTCCCAATTTTATAAACTACAACTTAAAAGAACCGGAAGTTTCTATGGTCCGTAATCCTCAGTCACCGACGGCCCTAATTCCTATCTAAAATTTAAAAAATTTTAAATTCAAAACGGCTCACTTTAATTTTTAAAATAAAAAAAAGTAGGAGGAGCTTTAAATAAATAAAATTTTAATATCACACATTTTTTAATATATTTAAAAATTTCATTTAAATAATAAAACTTCCGGTTCTTTTAAAAAGGCTTTGGCTTCCCCCCACAGATTATATTTAAAATAACACACAATTTTACATCTAAATTTAAAATTAATAACCACACATTTTATTGCGATTTTTAATAAAAAAATTTTTAAGGCAACATTTTCTTTTTAAATTTTTTAATAATGACTAAAAATGTCTCCGGTTGGCGGAAAATAAAATCTGTTTAAATTAAAAAAAATTTTTGTGGCGAAATTATTAAATTGTCTATAAGAAAATACGGCAGAAAATCAGTCGGTTTTGGGGACTGACTATCATTTAAAAATAAATGAAAAAATTAGGAGCGCAGTCGCTTCATCAGACATCGGTACATTATTAAGCATATTATTATTCGAGGTTTCCTCCAACCTCCATATAGCATATTAGTCAACAGCCTGCTATCCTCCACAAAACTCTCTCTAAGAGTTTTTCAAGAGCTCCTTTATCAAGAGTTCTCATTTCCTCCTGGCCTCTTAGGTGAACAAGGTGGTGAACAAGGTGGTGGTCTAGTGGCGGACATGCTGGAGCCCCAAACATACTGGTGGACTACGAACTTCCACCTTAACCTCGCAATGAGGCTGATATGAATAAATGCTTAACTGTCCTATGCCCTCCACAACCCTGCGCTCCACGATAGCTAAGCAGAAAGGATCGAGTAATATACCGGTTGAATATTTAGACAAGAAATATTCGATGGGTTGCAAAAAGGGTACATTAAACTACATTCTATTTCCGTTTCTCTTTATCTTTGATTATCTTAATTGAAGGATCGCTTTAGAATCTTTTCCAAATTAAAAATTGAGAGTAAAATTGGATATACAGTCGGACCTTACTTTTGTTACCCCATTCATATCCTATCTTTAGTGTACGTTTTATTACATACCCCTCCTCATTTTATGATAACCCTTGTTATACTGTACGATTTTTAACCCCAATTAGAGTCGCCGTTTTCGAATCGGGCCGACGTTCGAGTCATTTTTTCGTGCCTCATTTTATCAAACCGGGCCGTTGGAGTCTTTTTCGGGCTTAAAATCGAACCCCAATTCGATCTTTCGAACCGAATCGGGCCGGCCCTTAATGTCTGATGGCTTCCTTTCGCTTCCGTCTTCCGCAGAATTCCGTTTTTCTGACGCTTCCGCTTTTTAAAATTCGTGAACCCATCCCTGATGTTTATCCAAATGAATCAGATCGTATTTAAAATAGTGTCTCCCCCTTGATTAAAAATAAACCTTCAATTTAATATTCATTTAAAAATTTTGTTTTTATTTTTTTTTAATTTAATTAGTAATATTTTTCAATGTCAATTTTAATATTCCCACCTTTGCTAATTTTAGGCTCGCCATTTAAAAATAAATTTTATTAAAAACAATTAAAGACAGGTGCAAAATTTTGCTTTTTAAATTTATTTTATTTTTAGAAAAATATTTTTTTTATTTGGCATTTTTACTTTTTTTACATTAAATTAATTTTTAAATTATTTTATTTTTTTTTAATTTAATTTGTGCAAATTTTTAAAATAAAATTTTTAATAGAGGGGATGTTTAGGCGCGGAAATATAACCCAGCCTTTTTTGTTTTAAATTTGTAATTTTTATATCTATATTTCCTAAGTCAGAGCAAGACCCTAAATCATTGCTCCATCCTGCTCCTTGAGCTCAAGATGAGGCCAAACTAGATGGCTCCAGCTCTGGGCCATCTAGGTCCCTTCAGCTATGGGGCCTAGATGCCTTCAGCTCTGGGCCTTTGGCCCTCTGGGCCTCTCTGGCCTTGCCAAGCCAGCTGATGGCTTTAGCTCTAGGGCCTTTTTCTGGAGCTATATCCTGCAGGGATGGGACGAATTGAAAAAATCAGGTCGGGTTTTAGATTGGGCTTTTTTTTTCAGCAGTTCTTCGGCTCCTCTCCCGCTCCAGCTACTCAAGGAGGTGGGCGGCTCAGAGGTCACGGAAATCGGAATTCCGATCCACGTCTGCTCCATACCGACCTCTACCTTTTTTAAAAATACATAAAGGCGGTTGTGTAAATCTTGAAAATTTTGCTTATTATTTTTTCTATGTCATGGCTTTAGCTCTAGCGCCGTCTTAAGCCGGCTTCTAACCCTGCCCTACACGTTCAATTTTATTTTTCGCCATTTATTCAAATAAAAATTCAAAAAAATTTTTCCTCCTATCCTTTACGCAATAAAAAAATATTATTTTTTTAATTTTTTAATATTCCAATTAAATATTCCATTTTTCTTAAAATGCCGTCAAAAAAACTTTTTTTATTTTCTTCCTCATTTTCAATTCTCCACACGCCACTTACCGTAATTTTTATTTTTCAAAAACCTTTTTGGCTTTAAAAATAAATTCACACAAATTTCACACTTTTTTTCATTCTCTTTTAAAAATTTTTTTTATTTTCAGAGTGCTCGTCTGCCCACAGTTTTTTTTCATTTTATTTCCTCCTCTTTTTTAAACCGCCCAATGAGAGAATGGGGGCAAAATTAAAATAAAATTTTTTTAAAAAGAATTTTTGTTTGACGTAGCTACTATATTATTGTAGTATCTTTAAATGGATTTTAAAAATAGAAAAAAATTATTAGGAAGCTTTTTTGGGATTTTAAAATAATTTTAGACTAGGCTAAGCTACTGGGGATTGTAGAAAGATAATCTTAACTTAAAGGCTTAGGAGAAAATTTTAAAAATTTTCCGAGTTGGTCTATAATTGATACCATAGTTGTAGAGCTTTTTTTTCGATTCCCAGCTTTTTAGGCATCTCTTCCATCATTTTTTTAAATTTTTTATACCTATTTTATTCTTGAGATTGCGAACAAACTAAATTATACCTTGAGGGCTTATAAAAAATTTCGCGTTAAAAAATTTTTTCCGAGATTGATTCCAGGGGTTTTGAAGCTCCCCATCTCTTGTTTTCCCCACCTTTTTTCAGATTTTTAGAATTTTTTTTCAAAAATTCCCCTGCTTCGGTATCTTTATTTCTTTTATTCAGCAAAACATCCCAAAATTTAATGCTCCCATTATTCTTATCAATTATTACTCTTACCAAGAAAATCACAACTTTTCAATTATTTAAAAAATTTTTTTAGAATTTTTAGAAAATTTTTAATAACGCCTCTATTATCCTTATTAAAATTAAAATAATATTATAGGCTTTACCAACTCCTCATTTTATATTTTTATTTTAATAATTAGGGCAACTGCAAGCTATTTGCAAATTGGCCAAATTTAAATAAATTTTTGTGTTAAACGACTATTATTAAAATAATAAAAATAAAATAAATTTTTTAAGGCTTCCAAATCCTAAAATATTAAAAATATTTTTTCTTTAACTCTCATTAAAATTAAAAATAAAATTATGAGGAAATTTATTACTATTTTAAAATTAAGAATTAAACAACTATAGTACTTTAAATATTATTAAGTGCCAAAAGGAATCGATGGCACGTATCTTCACTGGATATTAACTACAGACTAGGATTGTTCCCCAGTACATTGGGGAGAATCTTTTCGGAGGAAGGATTCCCCCTCCTCCCCCCTCCCCCCAAACCTCTTATGAACTGTAAGGTTGGGAAACTAAGGTCTAAAAATCATGTCCGGCTGGGACGAGGAGCAACCCTCCTTCAGACCAAAGTTGTCCCAAGTGGAGAAAGAGTCTGATAGGATTTCGGATAGGATTTCCAAACAGTTGTTCGATCGGGTTTCGGATTTTGGGTTGGAAAATCTCCGTGTATCGGGTATCGGCTTTCGGATAACCAGTGATATCCCTACCATAAACCATTACTAAACAGGCGTACTCCACTATAAATTTTCCAAGACCTACTTTATTCCCATTTTTAGTCCATTACTAATTTCCAAGACCTACTATGTATACACGCATTTTCATTCATTCAAGGAGTTCCTAAAATAAGTATGGGCATTTTGGATTTTAAAATTGTGGGGAGCACCATTCATGCAGACCTTTTTTGTTTAATTTTTCTCCCTTAATTATTTGTATTTTTAATTTTGGACATTTGACTTGTAAAAAATTTTTTTTATTTTTCTCATATTTTTTACTAATTTTCCCCAATTTTTTTGCCAAATCCAAAAAAGATGGATAGAAAAATTAATTTTTTCTTATTAAAAAATAATTTCTATATTTTCTCCCTTTTCACTTTTTTTTCTTTCTGTCCCCGCCATTTAACAAACGAATTTTTTTTGTATAAAATTTTATTTTTATGTCCTTCAACATTTTGTCTTTTTTTTAAAGTAAAAAAAGGAGGAAATTTTCTTTGAAAAAAAGAGAAAATAGAAAAAAGAGCCGCAAAAATAATTTTAAAAAAATTTATAAAAAATGATAAAGGAAAAAAATTGTGGGCAAAAATAGAAGAAAAAATAATATATAATTTTAAAAAATGCGCGGAATAAATAGAAAAATAATTTTGAAAAAAAATAAAATTTACAAGGTTGTGGGAAGGTGTTTTTTTACAAAAAAAATGACAAAATTAAATTTGATTTTGGAAGTAATTTATCTAAAATAGAATATACTAAACTTAGACCAAATTTTTCGGATATCCAAATTTTCGGATATCCTGTATTTTTTTGAATCTGGATCAGTTACCCTTACTCGAGTATAAGCAAATCTTGATAGGGCAATAAGAAATCGAGACAAAATGGGTCTGTAACCTTTATTGGAATAATTTGAATAGATCAACCTGCTAGGAATTATGATATCGATTCATAACTAACCTTAAGGTGAAAGCTAACTGAAAGGAAAACTACATGGTTTTTGGTTTATTTTGGGTTCCTAATTAAATTACAGATAGGACCACTCGAACAGAACTCTAGATTTTTGAATATCGAGATTTTTTGTGGCATCGTTCTTGATTTTTGTAAAGACACCCTTTCAGTCTAGTTTGAGAAAAATCAAAGAAATCCCCCAAAAATCCCCCAGAAAACCCGCAAAAAACCCACAATAACCCCCAAAAAACCCCCTAAAAACCAACAACATTTCAGTCTAGTTTGTATTTTTAACTGCTTCTTTAACCATTTTTAGACTATGGCACAACTTTAAATATATAAAAATTAGCCATTACAATATTCCTTCTTTATTTAAATTAATTATATTTTTCCCTATCTCCATTGGCCCATAAACTAATTTTAAATTAATTTCCTTTAAAATATACTGAAAAATATACATATTTATTCAAAATTTAATAGGCACTAATTATTATTTTCTTCTTATTAAAATAATTTTTTTCTATTTAGTCACTCATTATGTAATGCTTTTTTGAACAAAAAAAATTTTTTTGTTTTCTCAAAATTTTTTTCTTCTCTCAAAAATTTTTTTTCTTATTGCAGATGGTCTTGATTATTAAAATAAAATATGTATTATAGCTAATTTAATTTATTTTTCTCGCTATTTTTTAAATTTAATTATTCGAATTTATTTAATTTTTTAAAATTTATTTTTAATTTTTTTTAATTAAAAATTAATTTTTAAATTTTTTAGAAAATTATTTTTTGACTATTCGCAGCTTGTTATACTTAATATTAAAATACCATATTATCTGTACACCAAGTCTCTTAATTCCTCCATCCAGCGATGGATTCAAACAATAATCACCCCCCCCCCTCAACAAATGCCCTAAATCACGTTCAAATTTCAAACCTCGTATAATTACTCTCCCTCGATTAATTACTCCCTCCAGCGGAAGAATTACCCTGGGTAGTTATTAAAGGGTATACGGTATGTATTTTTAATTAGAGGTAGATGAGAACTTTTTAATTAATTAAATAAACTTGGAAATAAACCTGTAATTTAAATAAACTTGGAAAATATTCGTAAAAAATATTTAAGCATTGAATTGAAAATGGGGTTTCTTTAATGATTAAAAAACTTGGTAAAGTATAAGCAAATAAAAAAAATTTTTTAATTGGCAAGATGAGAAGGTTCAGACATTTACCTATATTATTTTTTGAATTTTTTTTATAAAATATTTTTTTAAACTAAAAAAATTCCCTAAACCTTCTCATTTTGCCAATTAAAAAATTTTTTTATTTGCTATACTAGTTTTATAATTTTTTAAATTAATTTTTCCTATAAATTTCCAAGTTTTATTCTTTCTTATTTTACTAAGATATTAATTTTTGAGAAAACTAAAAAAAATTTTCTTAATAATTCCCTTCTATTAACCTAATTAATTTTTTTATTAAACTATTTATCTACTAAATAATTTTATTTTAATTAATTAATTTTCCCTCTTTTTTAAATTAAAATAAAAAAATTTTTCTCATTAAATGACCACTCGTTATGTCCACTCGTATACTTTCAGGGTCATCATTATTTTCTAGAAAAAAAATTTTTTTTAGTCATTTCTACAATTTTATTTTTTTACTTTTTTTCTCTCCCTTCTATTCTCCATTTTTTAATATTAAAAAAATAGCCATTCATCTCTCTCAATTTTTTAATAAATTTTTGGGAAAGGTCAAATAAATAAATAAAATAAATATGTAGATAAAAATATTTTCTTCTAAATTTTTTCGTTTTTCGTTGAACGCCAAACCTATTTTTTCTATTTTTTGCTTTTTTTGTTAAACTGACCACTTAGACTTTTTAAAACAAATTTTTTTATTACTTAAAGGGAGCAGGTCTGTCTATCGCGACCGCTGTTACCAGAAGGGCCATAACTCAAAGTAAAAATGACATAGAAAGTTAATTTTGGTACCATTCGACGCAGCTCGAGGAGCTCTTTCGAAAGATACCAAATTTAACTAGATCCGAGTTTCACAAGTCAAGTTACAAGCCCTGCGGTAGACTGACTCTGCGCTTGGTCTGTATGTGTCTCTTTACTTAATTAAATTAATAAGAAAGTAAAAAAGACTTAGAAAGTCGATTTTGGTAGCATTCGACGCAGCTCGAGGAGCTCTTTTGAATGATACTAAATTTGACTAGATCCGACTTTCGCAAGTCGAGTTACAAGCCCTGAGGTAGACTGACCCTGTGCTTGGTCTCTATGTGTCCCTTTACTTAATTAAATTATTTTTACTTCACTTTTCTCTTAATTTTACTATTTTTTAGTGAAAATATAATACTTTCATCTCTAAAAATAATTAATTTTATATACTATCGCTAGATTAAATAAATAGGGTGGTCCCTCTAAAAAATATTATTTTTATACCTAGTTTATTTACCTTGAAAACAAAATTTGTTTAAAATTGATAAAAAAGATAAGCAATTTATTTTTGCAAAATTTTTTAGATAGTTTGTTGTTAAGGCTAGTGCACTATAAAAAATTTTGTTTCCTCTCCAAAGGTAAGGGAGAAAATTGAAAATTTTCTCGAACTCCTCCATAGTCTTAGTTTCTGGCTACGGCCTTTCGTTTTTAAATTTTTGGCTCCGACTCTGGAGTTTTGTAATTTCCGACATAGGAGCCGAATGGTTTTTGAAAAGCCCTAGTTGGCTCCGGGCTCGGTGGAAAAATGAATGACCGCTCCATGTTCGTCGTAGCCGACTCTTAAGGCTAAAAGCTAGCTCCCCAGAGAGAGCTCCCCAGAGAGAGTGGTCAAAAAACCTTATACCCAACACTGTATCAAAGCTCTCCATAATTTTTAAAATACTCTAATTCGACTCTAAAATGACCCATTAATTTATTTTCTTTCTAATTTTTTTTCTAATTAAATAAAATATTTATTTTTACTCTTTTAATTGAACATCAAAAACAAAAAAAATGGCCAACATAAAAAATAAAATTTTTTCTCATTGAGATAAGCATCTCTTTCTCTATAAAATTTATTTTATTTTTTTCTCTAAAAAACTTTATATTCATTTTTTGGTGGTCATTTAATGACCCAATTTTTTTTTTCAAAATTTTCTTTATTTTCAACATTTGCCCTTTCCTCCAAGCGTTATCCTCTTAAGCACGATGGTGGTCAAAAAACCTTATGTCTCTGTCCTCCCTTCTCATTTTCTCTCTTCAATTTTTTAATTTTTTTTATTTGTTTTCATTTTTCTTTCAATGAAAAAATATAAAATTCGCCGAGAAAGCTAGATGATCAATATGGACCTTTTGAGTCTTTTTATATTTGGGATCAAATATCTCCCCTTTAATCTCGAAAATAACGCCTTTATTTCTTTGATTAGAAGCTTTTACGAGACTGATCACCCTCATAGGAAGGAATAGACCCTTCGGACTATAGGGATGTTCTCTTCGGACTTGGGGATGTTCCCTTCGGATTATGTGGATGTTCCTTTCGAACTATGGGGATGTTCTCTTCGGACTTGGGGATGTTCCCTTCGGATTATGTGGATGTTCCTTTCGAACTACGGGGATTTTCTCTTCGGACTCTGGATGTTCCCTTCGGACTATGGAGCTGTTCCCTTCGAACTACATATGGTGATGTTCCTTTCGGACTATAGCTGTTCTCTTAAAACTGGAGATGTTCTTTTCTAGCTATGGGGATGTTCCCTTCAAACTATGTATGTTCCCTTCACACTATAGATCACCTTTCGGACTATTGATCACCCAATTAAAAACTCTTGGCCCCCTCTTACTATAAAATTTTTCTTGGTCATTTAGCTCAGTTCTAGTTGGTCATTTCATTCTCTCCCACCCATTTTTTTCATTTTCACTTTTTTTCATTTTTCTTTCTTCAGTGTTCGTCTCTCAACAAAATTTTTATTTTACATTTTTTCTTTCATTTCACTCTCATTTCACTTTTCCAAATGTCCACTCCCTCCACCACATTTTCAATCTCCCCGAAAAAATTATAAAAAAAACCCCCCACATCCCCCCTTTGAGTGGACAGACATTTGAAGGTCAACAGAAAAAATTGATGTAAAATTCATAGTAAAAACTAGGGGAAAAACTGAATAGTAAAAAATAAATAAAATTTATTTTAAAAGAGAGAAAAAAGGGCTAAGTGACCCGAAAAATGCCTGTCCACTTTTTCTCAAAAAAAAAATTTTTTTATTTTTTAATAAATCACTCTCCATCAATTTTACAATTAAACTATTTAAAAAAAATTTTTTTTTCTCATCCTACTTTATTTAATTAGTCTATGATTTATGCTTATTTTTGTGCCCGATTTTAGTCAAATTTTTCTTTCTGGAGACATTTTTTATTTAAACCGGGAATATTTTTTTTCAACGTCCCCCTTCAGACTATGCTTGTTCCTTTAAGACAAGGGATGTTCTTTTAAGACTAGATGTCCACTCCAAAATGTAGATGTCTCTTTCGAATTTCTAAATGCTCCCTTAGAACCTTAGACGTCCCCTTCGGACTATAGATGTTCCCTTCACATTATATGTAGATGTTCCCTCTGTATTATGATGTGTCCCTTCAAACCAGACCTGTCACGGATACTGATTTCGGTATCCTTATCCGTATATTTACGGCGGATACAGACGGATATCCGCAGGCATTTTGGTATTATATGTATCCATATCCGTATCCTTGACCAGGTCTCTTCGAATTATGGACATTACATCTGGATAATAGATGGTCTCCTTCGGATTTTAGATGTTCATTTGGCTTTACCTAATGTTCCCCTCAAACTTTGTATCTTCCTCTCGAGCAGGATCCTTTCGATCAATGGACTATAGATGATCCCTAAAACTAGGGATGTTTCCTTTCGAGCAAGGGGGTTGTTTTTTGATCAGAGGCGGGCGCATTGCGATTTGCGTTTTCCCGATTGTCTTTTGCGTCCACTCCTGCTTCGGACTACAATATATCTTCTCGGGACGATTAAAAAAATTTAATACCTTTAAACCTAACTAGTATCTACTAATTTATCATTAATTTAAAATTTTTTTTCTCTTTTTAATTTTGTGTGACCCTTTAACATTCTACAGTTATTTGCTCTATTTGCACAAGAATTTTTGCCTTCATTTTTAATTCATTTCTGACCTTGGTAAAAATATAAAATGATTGGAAAGTACAGATAAATATTTATAAAATTTTCCGAAAAGTAAAAGAAAAAATATTCATCAAATCTTCACATTTCTCAAATTTGTATATTTTTATTTTTGGGGGTTTTGAAAATATTCTGATCATTTTATTATCCTTTAATATTATTTCTTGTAAATTTGGTCCCCATTTTTTAAGTAAAATGACGATCGAAAAAGTCTTACCAACTTAAATATCTTCCCTCCTGTATTGAGACTAGAGTAAGTCGAGTTCGAGCGAGTTCGAGTAAACTTGAACTCGGTTTTTCCCCAATTAGTCGGTACTCGACTTACTCTAATTGGGACTATGATTTCTTGGTCATTGGGGAATTAGTGTTGTTCTGTTCAGGCTACAAAATGTTCAAATGTTCCCTTCGGAACTAGGACTTTTCTCACCTAGAATTAAGGATGCCTTGCTCGCTCGGACTAGAGAACGGACTAGAGACACGTTTCTTTCCGATTAAAATTTCTTATTAGAGATGCTCCCGTACAGGCTAGTAATGTTCCTTTCGGACCGAGATGTTCGTTCTGTTCTGACCGTAGAAGGAACTAAAGTCCAGTGTTCCCTCCAGCCTGTACATATTCCCTTGAGTGTTCTCTTCGGACTACCATTTTTCTAGTATACTTTCTTCAGCCGAAGCAATTTTCGGCTGTCTTGTTTTTCAGACTCTACCTTCTTCCCTCTTTCATTAATTTTCAATTTCTCAATAAAATTTTTAACAAAATAAAAGTCATCACATCTTAACTAAAATTCTAATCACATTAATTAACCACTCTAAAACAAAGCATTAAAAAATTTTCTCGTCCATCTACACCCACAAAAAAAAAATTTTTTTATTTTTAATTTTAGCACACCCTCCCCCAATCTTTTTTAATTAATTAATTTATTTCTCGCTTCTTCCTTCACAAAAATTCCGCTAAAAAAAAAATTTTTTTTTCGGCTGTCTTTTTCCTTTAATTTATTCCCAGTTTTTTTGTTTATTCTCTCACATCTTTTTGATAAATTAACCAAATTATAAAAATAAATTAAAAACTAAAAAACGTCAAAAACTCGAATTAAATGTGATGACTATTTAATTAATTAAATAGATTTATTTTTAATTAAAAGAGCACTTTTTAGACAATAAAGCTAGGGGATTGAGGTGACTCCTTTAATTAATTCCTAATTTAAATGAGCTTAAATTCAGTCCCAAGATAAGGGTAATCCGAAGACTCATCACTACATTTTATTTGTTCGACTGGAACATGCCTAGTCCTTGAAGAACATCCCAAGTCTGGAACATTTATAGTTTGAGATGAACCTTCCAGGTCTTCAGGGAACATCCACAGCAGGGAGGACGGGTGAGAAAAAAGTCGGGTCCGGTTTTGGAATTTTTCTCGGGTCGGGTTTCTGGTCAAAAAAAAAAAATCCGGGTATCGGGTTTCGGGTCCACAGTCCGTGTGGTAATTTCAAACTTTGATGGAACATGCCTAGTCTATAAGGAACATTTATAAGTCGAATGGGAGATCTCTCTAATCATCCTTGATACTTAGTCCGAATTTCAATAATATTTCAACAATTTCAACAAATCCTCGGGGTAGCTCATCTCCACAAGAAATAAAACCAATTTTACTAATAAAACAACCAATCTATTTATCAGCAATTGCAAAAAAGTGTATTAATTACTCCTTTCCCCAATTTTATTTCCTTTCTTCAATTAGCCATTTTCACTTTTTCTATTTTAAAAATCCTCTAATTTTTTTACTCCTTCACAAATGACACATTTTTTTCTTTGAAAAATTTTTTTCACTCTGACGCCAAAATCAGGCGCTGTCAGCTTCTATAAATAAAATATATTATACTTTTTTTCTATTTTCTTTTTTTAATAATAGCTTTTATTTTTCTTTCAAAAAAATTTTTTTAATTTAATTTATATTTTGCGTCTGGATTGGGGGATGTTTGGGCGCCGACTTCTTTGGAACAAAAAATCATAAAATTGAGAATTGTTTTTCTAAAATTCTGAAATTTTCCTAGAATGTTAACAATACCTCTAAGTTCAATCTCTAAAAATTTCAGAATTTCTGGTTTATTATTTCAGAAATTCTGGTCAAAAATGCCCATTTTACTGTTAAAAATCTCGCATTTTATGTGATTTTTTGTTCATAACTTTTGAAATACGATATAAAAAATTCTGAAATTTTCAGAGAATATAGCTAAGACTTTTAGAATGTTTACAAAAAAATTTCACATCTTCAATTTCTCTTGATCCACCTCTTTTTTAGGTACGCGCCCAACCTTCACCGCGCCCTAAGGACCCTTTCATTTCTTTTGATCGCTTAATTTTTCTCCTATTTTTTGCCCCCAATTGCCGCTAATTTTCCCTTTCTTCCAAAATCTTTTTTAAAATCCTTTTAGCTTTTTTACTACTTTAAAAAAGGATTCATTCAATCATCAAGGAATTTCATTCAATCATTTAGTTTTATTTTGCTTCAAAATATTTTTTTACTAAAATACTAGTAGTTAGTTTAATTCATTTTACTTTTTATTAATTTTATTTTTCCTTATTTTTAAAACGGATGTAAAAATAAAAAAGAATTTTTTTTAAAATAAAGTGCTAATTCTTTTTTAAAATTTATATTTTTTGTTGAGACTCTAATATTTATTAAAAATTTTGCTTCAAGTTTAATAAGTTTACTTCAAGTTTATTTTCAAGTTTAATTATTTTAAGTTCATTTAAATTTAATTCAAGTTTATTTATTTTAACTCTTATTTTTCTTCCAACTTTTTTACAACTTTATTCCAAGTTTATTTAATTCAAGTTTTAATTTTTATTTGTTTCAAGTTTATTTTTAAGTTTATTTATTCGTTACGTATTTAAACTTGTTTATGTTTAATTCAAGTTTATTTTTAAGTTTATTTGTTTTGTTTATATTTAAACTTGTTTTGTTTATATTTAATTCAAGTTTATTTATTTCCCGAACATTTTGTCTATTTCCAACATGTTTAAATCCAAGTTTAATTTTTAGTTTTTCTAAAAACTTGTTTATATTCAAGTTTAATTAATTTCCAACATGTTTATTCCTATTTTATGCCCTGTATTTTTCCCAAGTTTATTTATTTTCCAAGTTTATTATATTCATACCATAAAAGCTATTAATATTACACCATTTTATATTCCCCTACTATTTAAGCATTTTCGTGCGCATTTAATATTTTCACATTTTAAAATTTTTTCTCATTTTAAGAACAGCAGCAGTATATTTGCCCCTTTTATACCCCTTTTTAGCTTGTTTTCTTTTTTATTTTTCCTGTTTATTTTTTAAAAAAAATATTTTTTTGTGCCTACATATTTTTTATAAACAATTTGCGCTCTTTAATTAACTCAGGGCAACATTCAAGTATTTAGTAGACATAGCTAGAGGGGAGAATTTAACAGGGGATATAGTTGGTAGCTAGAGTAAAGCATCGGGATATATAATTTTTTTATTGGAAATTTGCCTCTGGCTATTTTTTTATTTTTTAAAAGGAAAACAAAAATGTGCTAGGGACAGCGATTTTTTATTTTTAAAAATTCCCTCCCTTTTTTAAATTTTATATTTTTTTTCGAAAATAGTATCCTTTAACACTATTTTTCTTTTAACACTATTTTTTAATTTGACTTATTTTTCAAATTTTATTTTTAAATTTATTTAAAAAAATTTTTTTTCAAGTCTAATTCACTTCCCTTCAAACATCATCTCAATTGACACAGGAGTCGTTTTGTTTCTGACCAGAGGTGGGTTGGAATTCCCATTTTTGGGGTTTTTTCCTTCCGATTTCCGAGTTCCGACATTTGAGTAAATTTCGATTTCCGGCTCTCCCGATTTTCGACACCTCTGACTGCTCTTTTCTGTTTCCACCTCTGTTTCTGACGAAATAATTTTTAAAATTTTTTGTTTCGTTGGAGTTTCCGAAGGGTGTCGTTATATCGAGTTTATAATGGTTATTTTTAAAAAATTATTTATTTAATTTAAAAATAAAATTTTTAAATTTTTTAAAAACAAATAATAAACATTCTAACGTCACAAACTTTTATAAAATTAAAAAAATAACATATAAATTTATTTTCTAAATTTATTCTATTTAAGGAAAAATTATTATAAGCTTTTTGATAAAATACATAACTTAACAAATAAGGGGGGATTTATTTAAAAAAAAATTTTTTTTTAATTCTCTTGACTGCTTGGCCAATTTATTTATTTTCCCCCTTCTAAATATCCCTCTTTTCTCAATTAAAAAATAAATAAAAACAAAAGTTTTTATTTTTGTCCAGTTAATTTTAAAAAGTTGGTAAGAGTGGAAGGGAGCACCTGCCGTTTTTTGGTGTTGTTACTCTGCTAAAAAATTTTTTTTTAATTTTTAAGAACCAAAAATGTAAAGGAGAGGGGCAGTTAGTTAGTAAAGGAAAAGAGGTGGATTTAATTTTTTATTGGAAGAAAGGGACAGCTGTTTCTGCTCTCGATTAAGTGTAGTGTGTTTTTTCTTCTACTGGACTAACGTTTTAATTTTTTGAGGAATTTAAAAATTGTTTTTTCTGTACTTTAGAGTCGTGGATTTTTCTCTTGGTTATCCTTAAGCTTCTCGAATGTTATTTTTTTAAACTCGAAATTTTTTAAACTCGAAATCTTTCTCGAAACTCGAAATTTTACTCAAAACTCGAAGTCTCTCTTGAAGCTCGAAATTTTCTTTAAATCCGTAACTTCCTCGAAACTCGAAATCTTTCTTGAAACTCGAATTTTTTAAACACGAAATTTTTCTCGAAACTGAACTCTCGAAGATCTTTATTTTTCTCGAAATTCGAAATTTCTTTAGTTTGAAATTTTTTCGAAACTTGTTCGATTCTCTGCTTAACATCTACAATCAGTTTCTTCTCTCAAATAAACTAGTTTCGAAATTTCGCTTTTTGTTTTGGCTTATTTTGCTTTTCGATTTCGACGTCTTTGTGTTTTTACGAAATTTCGATTTTTGAAGATTTTTAATTACCTTTATAAAGTCTCATCATTCCCCAGAAACCTTCAAATAAAATTTTCAACTCTTCAATATCCCTAGACTCCAACGCCCAATTTTTCTTGGCCATTAAAATCATCGGCCATTGAGCGAATTTTTTTGTTAGTGCAACTGTGATGTGTTTTTATTTTGGTCTCGCTATTTTATAAAAATAAAAATAAATTCATTTTATTTCTTCGGACGATGAAAAAAAAATAAAAAAAAATAAATTTACACACCTTAAGAAAGAGGGAAAATCTGTTAGAGGAGAATTTCGAGGAATCATCGGTCCAGGAGGAGGGAGGAAAATTTAAGAAGTAAAAAAAATGTGATGAATTAAAGAGGGGACTTGGTGTATTTTAATGAATTGAAGGGGGGATTTACTATTTTTAAATTTTAATTTTTTTTTTAATTTTTTAATAGGGAAGGAGAAATTTTTATTTTTTAATTGAGAGAGAAAAAAGGGGGGATTTTATTTTTAATTAAAAATTAAATCAAAAATTAAAAATAAAAAAAAAAGATTTTATCTTTTCCTCTAAATTAATTTAATTAATTGAAATTTTAGAAAGCTCTATTTTTAATAGATTAATTTTTTATTTTTTTTCTAAATTATTTTATTTTAGATTTTAATTCTAAAAATTGTAATGTTTAATTTTAGACATTTTATCCTGTTATTACAATAATTTTTAAAATTTTGTTCTGTCTTAGTTTCTCTAATTTCTTTAATGTCTAATGACCTGAAAGATTCCTTAAACTCGAATTTTTTCGAAACTCGAAATTTTACGAAATCCGAAATTTCGTGAAACTCTAAACTAGAAAGTTTTTCGAGTTTCGAATTCTACGAAACCCAAAATTCTGCGAAACTCGGAAATTTTCGAAACCCGAAATTTCGTGTTTTGATATATTCGAAATTTAGTTTTTCGAAACAATCTCCATTATCCCTCTTACCTAACCTTCACAATTAATTACTAAATTAATTTTAAAATTAATAATGACTAGGAGAACCCGAACCTAGTGACCTCTTCTCTTTAAAAAATTTTTTAACTGAGAAAGCACCTTAATTTATTTCCCCCTTCAAAATTACCCACTTTTATTTTTAATTTTTCTTTTTCAATCGAAAATAAAATTTTTTTTCGATTTTAAAATTAAAAGTACAAAATCCGTCGCCAATTTTAGCACAAAAATCAGGACAAAAACACTCACACCCTCACACAAATTTTAGAAATTTTGGTAGCGCGCTTTCACTATTTTCTTTTTACTTCTTGCCCCCGATTTTTCTTTAAAATTCTTTGCGAAATTATTTTCTCTCTCCAAAAATATTTTTTTTTCTTTTATTCATTTCATTTTAAATTTTTTTAATTGTTAAATTTTGACATTAAAATTATTTTTTAGTAAAATCCCTTTATTTTTCTAAGATTGTTTCTAGTTTTAATTTATATACCCTCAGGGCAAATTGAAATTTTTCCTCTATAACAAGGGGTGTGCCGAAACTGATTTGCGAAGATGATAGGCAAGAAGGCAAAATTTAATAAAAAAAGCCAAATACGAAATTCGAAGGCAAAAATCAATAAAAAAGCGAAACACGAAATGCGAAACAACAAAAATTGCAAAATTCGGCGAAAGGTGAAAAGCGAAACATCAGAAAACGAAATTGGGTAAAGGCGAAACGAAAGTCAACAAGAAAAGTCAAAAAACGGTAGTCGAAACACTAAAAACTAGCAAAATCTATAAAAATGCGAAACACGAAAGGCGAAACACCAAAAAAATAAAATTCGGCGAATGCCAAAAAGCGAAACATCGGAAAAAGAAATTGGGAACGGCGAAACGAAAGTCAACAAGAAAAGCCGAAAACCTAGGGCGAAACACTAAAAACTAGCAAAATTCAGCAAAATATGCAAGGCGAAATTGGCACTCCCTCCCATTATAACCTGGCCTAATTTTAAATATTTTTCAACTTTTATTTTTTATTTTATTATATAGTGCTTTTCACATGTATATTAATTGCAAAAATTGTTGCTTTTGCCATTTAAAAATTTTTATATTAAAAGAAATGTGTTTGTATTCTAATTTTTGGTTTTGGCATTTATTAACTTTGTGTGTCGCGCAGAGCAAAACACACAAAAACATTTTTAATAAAATTTTCTATTTTTGGATGTAAAAAAAGAAAAAATAAAATATTTAAGTATTCTCTCATTTACTTATTTTTATTTAATAAGTAAACTGCTTTTTTGATCTTTTTTAGTATGCAAAGTCTTTTGCAATTAAAATAGGCGTGTCCTACCCTTTTATGCGCGAGATATTTATGAATGGATTGAGACTTGGGATGAGAGACATGGGAGACTGAAACTTGGGGTAATTTAGAGGCTGGGGTAATTGGGAGAGATTGGGATAATGGAAGAGATTGTATTGAGATAGCTTGGAGACTGGAGCGAATCTAGGAGATTGGGATAACTGGGCGAAAGGGATATCTAGGACCTTGGAGACTCTGATAGCTTGGAGAGAGAGGAGACTGGGATAACTGATACTTGGAATAACTAGATTAGATAGCTGGGAGGTTTAAGCTTGGGATAATTGAGATGCTGAGATAATTGGAGGAGTGGGGTTCTACTTTATAATCTTTTTGGGAGAAATAGCACTAGAATAGAAGAGAATTTCTCTAACATTAAAAATAATTAGCTAATACTGTCCTTTTTACTAGACTAATACATATTTACATATGTTTAATAAATTTTGGCGATTAAATGGGCGTCTTTAAAAGTAATAAAGGTTTCCCTCCTCCCTTGCGCAAAATGAAAAAAAAATAAAATTAAAAAAGGCAACTTTAATTTGGCACTCAAAGTCCAAAAATTAAAAATAAAAACAGCCGTCTTTTTTACTTTGTTTTAAATAAAAAAAGGCTTTTTGTAGCTTGTCTTTTTAATTGAATATTTTTATTTTCTTGGCTTAAAATGAAACTCATTATATTTTATTTTAATATTATTGTTTTTGTTTATTTTTATTAGCTAGGCTTTATTTTTTTAATAAAAATAAATTAAGCTCAGTAAATAGGACATATAATCGAGGTGTTAGCAAAGCTCCTTTTTAAGAAGGGTTTATTTAAGTCTAACATAAAGCTGTGATCCTTCGAAGCTGATATGGGTTATATAGAGTCATATCTTTCAAGCTTTTAGGCCTGTATTTTACGCTTTATTTTTGGGTTAAAAAATAAAATTTAAATACAAACAAGGGACCGACCTTAATAAGGCTATTGGACCCTTTCATTAACATCGAGCCAACAATCTGTAACAATTCTCTGTTTTGTACTAAAACCAAACTTCAAATTTACTTTATTATTAATTTGTTTTCTCATTTAATATAAATTTTCTCGAATAATAAAATGTGTCCCTGCGCGCTTTAAAAATTATTAATATTAATAATAATTGTTTTGCCAGCTTTTTTGCAGCCGTCAAAACATTTTTGCAATTATATATTTATTTTTATTGCTCTATTTTTGGATTTATATTTTCTGCTCTATTTTAGACTAAAAATTAAATTTTATTTTTTAATTAATTATTTAACTTTATTTATACAGTCGAAATCTAGCAATAATAAACTCGAATTATTATTGAAAGACTCTCAGTAGGGGACCAAGTTATTTCGATATGTTTGTTAAATTGAGGAGTTGAATCGAGTAGTCACTATATCGAGCTCTCGACTATACACCTTCTACCTGAATTTACGAGACTATTTTTAGTGGGGTGTGGAGGCAATACCCATCTATTTATATATTAATTTTATTTTTTGTGGACATCTTTGGTTTGTTAAATATCGTATCTCGTTATTTAAGGTCGTTATATAATCGAGAGCCATTGTAGGAGTCGAGAGTCACTTATATAACCGTTAATTATTTTGAGGAGTTCGTTACACTATATCCAGGATCGACTATAGACCTCTATTTAATAGACGATAATACCTCAACAATACCCATTCTATTTAACATACACCTCATTATAAGTTACCATTTTCTGCCCTAAGGGTGTTTATAAAATAGAGGTTTTCCTGTATTCGAATTAAACATAGTTTTAGCTATAACAGCTAAAAATTAATTTTATTAATTTATTTTTGTTTTTACCTCAAAATATTTTTTTAATTTTTGCCATAGCTTTACTTCTTAAATTTTAAAAAATCAATTTATTTTTCCTTTTAAAAATATTTTTTTATTATTTATATATTTAAACCCTTCTTTGAATTTTAATATAAATATTAATTTTTATATCTAATCCCCAAAGCAATTTTGACTTTTTTAATTTTATTTCTCTCAAAAATATCCCTTTTTAAGTATTTTTATATTTTAGTCTTTTTCTTCAATATTTTCCTCTCTTTTAAATTTTTTTTAATTAAAAAAAATTTTTTTTTCTTCAATTTTTAATTTCTAAAAGGCAGACAAAATATTTTTTAAATAAAAATTAATTTTTTTTAATTTCCATTTATAATTTTTACCTTAAACCAAGGGCATTTTTATATGCCTTTTGGAGGCTTTATTTTTTTCTTTTTTAACTTGCCGCCTTTTTAACCTTCCCAAACTTTTTTTTAAATTTTCCTTTTATCCTCCTTCAATTTATTTTTAATTTATTAATTTTAAATATTCAATTTTATACCTAACTTTGTTGATACTCCCGTATTAGGGCATGCCGAAAATTTTAAAAAGCGAAATACGAAAGTCGGAAAAAGCGTAAACCGAAGGCAAAAAAGTAAAAGACAAAATTTAAATATAAAGGCGAAACACGAAATAAAACAGAATGCGAAATAATGCGAAATTTCGTGTTTAAAAAAGTTAAAAATTAGAAATACGAAAGGCGAAACTCCAAAAAAAGGCAATATTAGACGAAAGAAAAAATTGGGACAAGCCTATTATTTAATTAATATACCTATATTGGGGGACACGCGCAAAACACCGAACGGCCATAACAACGCAAAACCATAACTTCAAAATTTCCAAATCTTAACAAATTTAGTATTAAACGATTCCTCCAATCGAGCTAAAGAGATTGGTACCAAAATGGAAAAGGGCCAGAATTTTGCAGATTAGTTATGGCTTTGCGTTGGTATGGCCGCGCTTTGTTTTGGGCTGTACCCATAAATTGGGTATGGCTCATATTTTTAATAATTTTTTAATCTATGGGCATCGAAATTAGAAAAAAATTTTTCATTTTTAAATTTTCCTCTAAAATAAAAATTTTCCTCGTTTATCCAACACAACATCATTTTCATCATTTTTAAAAAATTCATTTTTTTTTCGTCCGGTTATTTTTTCTATTATTTTTTAAAAAATGTCCAATTCAATATTCTCTATAATTTTATTCACTTCACTTTGTTCATAGAAGCACTAAAAAAATTTTTTTTATTTTTCAAAAGGCCGAAAATTAAATCTTTTTTTTTACTTTATGAATTTTGAGTGCATTTTTATTTATTTTTAAACATGTCGCGACAAAAAAATTGTAAAATTTTTTAGGAAAATTTCCATAAATTTTAAAAAGGAAATGCAAGTTTTTTGTTATCTTTTTTTTTGAGCAAAATTTTATTTTTATTTTTAAAAATATGATCAAATTTCGACATATTTTTTTCTCGGCATCGGTTGGATCCCCAACTTTGGCTTTGGGGATGGTCTTTCTTTTCCGCCTTTTAACTTCCATCTTCCACAATTTTAACTTCCATCTTCCGGCCCTTCCCTGTTGTACACATGCCTTTGCGCGATGGGAAAAATGAGGTGTTAAAATAAAAGCCGTACGTAAACTTAAAGGTTCCGATTAGGCGCTCCCCTATCCAGTGGCCAACAAGACTCCTGATTTAAAAAATCAAGCGTTTCCCTATTTTCGGGTTCCATGTGGCAGTTCCAAAAATATTTTTTCTCTTCCATTTTTGTTTTCTTACTTGTTCAACGGTCTCCCGTTTCCAAGAACAGAGAAAAATCGCTCTGCTAATAAAATTAAAAAATTAAATTTTAAAATTAAAATTAAATTAAAATATCCCCCCTTAATATTAGCCATTCCCGACACCAATATAAATATTAAAATTCCTGCCGCGAAAATTTTTTATTTTTTCAATTCGTTCGTAATTTTGTAAAAAATTTTTTCTTTTTATTATAAACACCACAAAAAAATATTTTTTTCCTCTCTTTTAAAGCTAAATAAATAAAAATAAAATTTTGGGCAAGGCTATTTTATTTTGATCCAATGGGCAGCTCCATTTTAATGGATGGACCGAGAGGAAAAAAATTTTTTTAACAATTTTTAAAAATGCTTTTTCTATCAAAAACATGTTTTTATTTTTACTAAAATTAAATTGGTAAAAATGGGGGAAAAATTTTTAGAAAAAAAAATTAATTTTTAGGCGTTCCCCTAGTTAGTGGAGATCCTGCGAGTTTCTAAAATTCATAACTCAATGAAATCTTAATATTTTTTTTTGATTTAAATTTCATTAAATAGAGGAAATAATTCTCTATTAAACCTTATTTAATTAAAAAAATTTTTATTTTACAAAAAGAAGTTGAATAGCCGGAAAGCTTCTAGCAACCAACGTTTAATGTAGGTCCTGCGAGCTTCTAAAATTCATAACTCAGCGAAATTTTAATATTTTTCTTAGATTTAAATTTTGTTAAATAGAGGATTAAATTCTCTGTTAAATCTTTTTTAAATCGAAAAAAATTTTTATTTTACAAAAGAAATTGAAGCCGGAAATCTTCTAGCGACATAACGCTAGTGGAGGTCTTTCAAGTTTTTAAAATTCATAACTCAATGAATTCTCGATATTTTTCTGTGATTTAAATTTTATTAAATAGAGGATTAAATTCTCTATTAAACCCCGGAAATCTTCTAGCGACCTAACGCTTAGTGGAGGTCTTCCTAATTTATAAAATTCATAACTCAGCGAAATTTTAATATTTTTTTTAGATTTAAATTTTGTTAAATAGAGGATTAAATTCTCTATGTAAAACCAAAAATAAAAAAAGATTTATATTTTTAATAAAAATTTAGGAGAGCAAAATTAACACATTGTTATTTTACGTCATTGTAGTCTGTTGTATCTTTTGTTCATAATTTTTTAACTTTTTATTTCCGTCTATTTTGTAGCAAATTTTTTCCTCTATTTAAAAATATAAATTAAATTTCAAGATTTTTATTCATTAAAAAATTATAAGAAACCAGATCTTTATTGTCTATATGCCTACAAACAATGTCTGCCTTTTTTAGAGTAGACCTCAATTGAGTCCCGACCCTTATAACTTATGAAGGAGTGGATAATTTTTACTGTTCATGGTACCATTGGATAGAGAATTAAATGCACTATAAAATAGAAAAAAAATCATAATTTTCCACTGATTGATAAAGAAGTTATGGTCGGTAAAGTCCCGAAGATACACATTTTTTGAGAAATTTTAGGTTTTAAATCATAACTTTTTTAACAATCAGGCAATAATTTTCATTTTTTGGTATCTTGTAGAGCGTTTAATTCTCTATCCAAAGGTACTAAAAATATGAAGAAGTGACCATTTTTCAATAAGGGGGCACACCGAATAGTCGCGCGGCCATAAGGTCGCCATGCCATAACTTGCTTTAAGTTTTCAGAATCTTTCCAAATTTTGTATTAAACGATTCCTCTCATCGAGCTAAAGAGATTGGTACCAAAAAATTTAAGGGACAGAAATTTTTTTTATGGCTAGGCGACCTTATGGCCGCGCGACTATTCGGGCTGTACCTCTTCATAAATTATGAGTGTCGAGACTCGACTGAACTTCTTCGAAATTATTTTAAATTCTCTCTTTATTTTTTATTTTTTTTTCAATTTATTTTTTTTTCTTTGCTTTTTGGCATTTTTATAATTTTAATTATTCCCTAAAGAATTTAAAATTTTAAAGAGAAAAATTTTTTTGAGGAAAAAAATTTTTTTTTGGGGAAAAAATAAATTTTTATCAAAAAATAATTCAAATTAAATGCCTGACATTTTATTTTTATTTAAAAAAAATTTATTTTATTTTCTCCAATTAAAAAATTAAAAAATAAAATAGCGATAAGGCATAAAATTAAATATTAAATTCTTTTATTGCATTAAATAATTCTTTCGATTTTTCGATTTTAAAAAATTGACAACTCAAAAATAATAAATAATTTTAAAAAGCATTGATTTTTCAAGTCAAATTTTTATTTTTTTTTAAATTAAATTTAAAAAAATTAAAGAAAAAAATTTTTTTTAATTTAAAAAAAATTTTAAAATGTCAAGCTTCCTCCGCAGCGCCAAAAACTTTTTTTTCGCGGATTGCTAGACTCTTTTAACCCTTTTTGCCCAGCGGTCTTTTTTCCAGTCGGTCTTTTGTACCGACTGGATTTATTTGCTTTTTGGTCATTTTCATTTTAATTTCTCAAAAAAATTTTTTTTTTGACGTTTTCTAATTTATTTAAAATTAATTTCAGAAATTCTTTTAATTTTTTAAATCTAATTTTTAATTTTTTTTCTATTTAATTCCCCCCATTTTAATTCCCCCCATTTTCCCTTAATTAATTTAAAATTTAAAAATTAATTTAATTTTTTTTTTAAATTTCAGAATTTATATTAGCTTTAAAAACTAATTTAATATTTAATTGACAACACTGTCTACTTGCTCTTTCAGTGAAAATTTAAAATTTTTTTTTCAAATTTCAACAACAACAATTAAACAAAAAGCAAGTTGGTTGGTGGAGAGTGTGCTTGCTTGCCTTCTTTGCATTTTGTTTCTCGGTGGGGATTTTTTAATTAAAAAATTATTTTATTTTCTGGTTTATCGATGGATAGAGAATTAAATTTTCTACAAAATTTTATAAACGAAAAAAATTTTTTGTAGACTTTTTTGAAAGAATAAGCCATTTTTGCCCGATTGAAGTTAGTTTTTCCCTCATAACTTTTACAATTAGAAAAATAAATTTTTTATTTAACTTCCATTTTGTAGCCAATTTTCTCCTCTATCCAACGATACCAAAATTTTCTGGAAATGTCCATTTATTCGCGAGATATAAGGTTTAGACTTAACTAGGTCGTTATTTACATTAAAATATTCCCTTATAAATCAATATTAAATTTTTTAAAACTTGTTTTAAATAAACTTGAAAACAAGTTTATAAACTTAAAAACAAGTTTAAACTTAAAAACGTGTTTTAACACTTAAAAACACGTTTGTAAACCTAAAAACATGTTTGGAACTTGAAAACAAGTTTATAAACATAAAAACATGTTTTAATTCAAGTTTTATTTCCAAGTTTAATTTAATGTTTTATTTCAAACAAGTTTAAGTTCTCTTAAAACAAGTTTATTTTCCTAGTTTAAAAACTTGTTTTAATTCAAGTTTATTTAAAACAAGTTTAATTAAAATGTCAAACATTTATATTTATTTTTCCTTTTTTGTAATATTCCTTCCCCTTTAAAATTTTTTTAAAGCGTCTCAAAATCGCTTTGGCATTTTTATTTAAATATTAGGGGAAAAATGGCGCCATTTTTACATTTTTATAGAAAATAAATTGTTTTTAAGTAATAAAAATTTTTTTATATAAATTTTGCATTCATTGCTTGGCTTTTTTTGCCCTTTTGCGGTTTTTCTCTTTTATTTTTGTATTTTTAAAAATAAATTTACTCTATTTTTAAGTGAAAAATTAATTTTTAGGTAATATTTCATAATTAAAATTAATTTTTAATTTTTTTATTTTTTTAAATTAATTTTAAAAATAATCTTGTTGGATCCCAAATCTCTGCGCCTTCTCCCGTGGCGGAAAAGAAAAAATTTTCCCCGCCCTCTCCTTCTTGGCAAAATTTTTCTAAAATTTTCTCTGAAGCTCCTGAAGCCTTCCACTAGACAGGAAACAACCCTACAAATTTATCAATCTAATTTAATTAGCCCACTAAATTTATCTCATTTTTTATCAGTTATTTAAATAGGTTTTGTAATAATATTCTTAAATACCTTCCAAAAATTTTTTAAAATATTTTTTTTTAATTTTTTAACAAAAAAAATTCTATTTTTCTGTCAATTTTATTAATAAAAAATCAAATTTCACTATATTAATTTCTACAAAAATATGTAAATTCTTTTTTAAAGTGTCCTTCTCTCTTATATTTTTCCCCTAAAATTTTTATTTTCTTCCATTAAATAATTTTAAAAAATAATTATTTAAAAAATAATTTTTGCATTGAGAGATGCTCCAATTTTTGCATTTTTTTAAAATTTTATTTAATAAATTTATGGTCGATAGTTTTGTGAAAAATAATATTTTAATGACATTTTTGAATAATTCTTTACTTCTGCGAATATATGGGGCGTTTATACTGAACAATTATACAACTTGTTTTAAACAAAGTTTATTTTGTTTTGATTCAAGTTTATTTTGTATTAAAACAAGTTTGTTTTAATTTATTGTTTTATTTCAAGTTTATTTTGTTTTTTCCAACTTGAACAAGTTTTGTTTAGGTAATATTTAATTCAAGTTTTATTTTTGTTTCTAAACTAAGTTTATTTTAATCTAAACAGGTTTATTTTTATCTCAACAAGTTTATTTTAATCTGAACAAGTTTATTTATTCATTTAAACAAGTTTATTTGTTTTAATCAAAGTTTACTTTTTTTGTTTTAATCCAAGTTTTATTTGTTTTATTTATTTTAATTCAAGTTTATTTTTATTTTACTATTTAAACAAAGTTTGTTTATTCATAAAGTTTATATTTAATTTCACCAAGTTTTATTTATTCCAACAAATTTATATATTTATTTTAACAATTGGCTATATTTTTTGATATACAATTTAATAATAAAAAAAAGAAAAATTGTTTTGAAATATTGATTTTTGCTATTTTTAAACTTTAAATGTTTTTAAAGTTTAAAAATGTAGTAAACACATTTTAACACCCCCCTTCTCTTTTCTTTTTTTATTTTAAATTATTTTCTGCTTTTTTTAAATTATTCACTTGTTTGGCTTTTTAAATTTTTTACACAGTTTTAAATTTATTTTTTTTATTTTATAGTAGCCTATAAATATTTGATTAATTCAAATTAATTTTATTTAAAAATCTGGGGATACTTAAATAGCCTATATTTGTTTGTTTTGTTTGGTTTAATTAAAACAAGTTTATTTTGTTTTAATTCAAGTTTGTTTAGATTAAAATAAGTTTTTATCATCTAAACAAGTTTATTTAATTAAAACATGTGTATTTTGTTTTAAACATGTTTTCTTTAATTAAAACAAGTTTATTTTAATCTGAACAAGTTTATTTTGTTTTTATTCAAGTTTATTTATTTGTTTTTAAAGTTTATTTATTTTCAAACCAATTACAATGTTTTTATCAGCCCATGTTTTCACATGTTTTTCTTCCTTTTTATCTGGTCCTTTTGAACTTCCAACTAATTTTCAATTTAATTGTATAATTTCAAAAATTAAATTTCTTATTTTAATTTTATTTTTTAATAGATTAGAATTATTTTTTTAATTAAAAAATGTAAGGAATTTTGTAATAAAAAATTTTTCAAAGAGCAAATGACATAAAATCATATGTCTTCAAACTTTTTTTTAAATTATTTTAAAATTTTTTTGTGGTATTTTTTCACGTGTTTTTAAATAAAAAAATTAAAAAAAATAATGCCAATTTAATTTTAAAAAAAATTAAAAATTTAAAGATTATTAGTTGTTTTATTTGGTGTGTGTTTGTATGGATGTTTAGGGGAACTATAAACAAATGTTTATGTTTGTGAGGCTCTTCCTGACACTGTCTGACACACTAAAAAAATTTTCTTTAATTTTTAAAATTTTTTTCCTAGTTTTTTCCTAATTTTCCTCAATTTTTTTAGCATTTTAAATAATTTTTATAATAATTTTATAGAATTTTATTTTAACAATTTTTACAACATAAATGTATGATGAATTATTTAATTTTACCAAAAATCATCAATTTTATGCAAATCTTTTTTTTAAATTTTATTTTATTTATTTAATTCTTTATATTTTATATTTTAAAAAATGGAAAATTTGACAATTTTTACCAAAATAAAATTTTTTTTGTTTGTGGAATTTAATACATTTGTGTATTAATTTTTAGGTGTCACTTGTTAAAATTTACATTAAAAATATTTTTAAAAATTTCCTAAATATTTTTTTTTAATTTTTAAAATTTATTTTTTAATTAAATCAAACCAAAAAATAATTATTTTTAAATTTTGATGGATTTTTCAATTTTTTTTGGTATTATTCTAATTTTTTTTGCAAGAAAAAAAATTAAATTAATTTTCAAACACTTCTAAAATTAATTTTAGAAAGAATTTTAATTAATTTTAAAAATTCAGAAAATTTTTTAATTAAAAATTTTTTAAAGAAAAATTCAAAAAATTTTAAATTTATTTTACGTCTTTAAAACCTCTCCCTTTTTGCCCTATTTTTATTACCTTTATTCTGATTTTGACAAACATTCTTTTAAAAACATTCTCTTTCTCTACCTCATTTTTAATTGTTTAAACTGTTTACGTAATTCTATAAACATGTTTTTTCCTTTTTAAAAACATTTCAATGTTCGTCAAGTTTTTGATGTTTTCCTCCTTTTATTTGTTTTTATAAAACATTTTTCAAAACATTTATAAACTTGTTTTCCAAACAATGTTTTTATATGTTTTGTTTGCTTCTCCCTCTTGTGTTTTTATGTTTTTCTTGATGTTTTTCTTAGTGTTTTCCTTGATGTTTTGTTTGATGTTTTTCTTTGTGTTTTTCTTGATGTTTTGTTTGATGTTTTTCTTTTGATGTTTTTCACAGTCTGAACTTTAATCGTTTTTAGATGTTTTTGTATGTTTTGTTTATGTTTTTCTCCATCACTTGTTTTCTTGTTTTTCCTTTATGTTTCTCATGTTGTTCTTATATTTTCGTGTTTGTTTTTGTATTTTAAATATTTTTCTTTTAATGTTTTTGTTCTCAATTTTTGTACATGTTTTTGTTTGTTTATTTCTTCATTATTTTTCTTTTCTAAAATTGTTTGTTTTGTGTTTTTAACTGTTTAACTAGTTTTGTTTGTTTGTTTATCTCTCCTCTTTTATACTAAATGTTTGTAACAGGCCAAAAAGCAGTCAAGAAAAAATTCAGGAAATAATTATTAGAAAAAAAATGACAAAACGTAAAAATATATATTAAATAAATAAAAAAATATTTGTTTGGCTCATAAAAGTATTAAAAATTGTCTCTAGACAAAATTTATTATTTTTTAAAACATTTTTTCAATCAAAAAATGAGAATTGAAAGAAAAGAATTTTGCTCATTTTTAGAGGAGACAACACTTTGCTTTATTAAAAAAAATTTTTTTTCGTGGCGAAAAAATTCTAAAAAATTTTTAAAAATTTTCTGAAGCAAGAAATTATTTTTAAAAATTTTTTGAAGCAAGAAAATAATTTTTAAAATTTTATTCTTCAATAAGAGACATTATTGTCTATTTCCCCTCAGGTTATATTTTTTCAAAAAAAATTTTTTTTAATCTGTTCATTAATTCTCTTTGTTTTTCTTTAAAGTAGGTCATATTTTTTCAAGTTTGTTTGTTTAAATTTTTCTAGAATTTTATCTATAATTTATTTTATTATTTCAGTTTAAAAATTAAGTACCCCTTTCTCAGCTTTGTTTTTCCCTCATTTTTTTATTTTTAATTGGTTCTTGGAAAAATTTTTCAAGGTATTTCTTATAGGTTTTTTTGATTTTTGCAATTTATTCGGGAATCTAGCTAGACTGGCGCGTCTTCAAAAATATTGGGTCGTGTTTCTGGTCTAGTTTTAAATTTTTTTCTTGGGACGGATTACAGGCGAAAAGAATTCCATGTCTCAGGGACTCATCGGGACCCTAACTCTTACTCCTTTCTGAATAACATAGACAAAACCAAATTAGAATTTCGTGTCTTTTTCCTGTATCTATCCATGGCAATTTCAAATATGTCTTTAAAATTTTTTCTAAAAAAATTTTTTAATGGGGTATTGGCCGTTTTTGTCATTTTGAACAAAATTTTGAGACATACTTTTTTTAAACTTTTTTTTTTTATTTTTATTTTACAAAATTGTATAGACTACTTAAAATTGTTACATTATTCCTTCCCCTCTCTCCAATTTGTCCACCATTTTTTTATTTTTCCAGTTTTTTTCAAAACTAACTAAAAAATACTCATATTTCTGTTCACCATGTCCATTGCATAATTCTCGTAATATTTACTGACTTTTTGTCTTTTTGTTTTTATTTTTTTTTCTAAAATTTTTATACTTCATCCGATTCAGAAACGCTGATCTCTCTCTTAGGGAAGGAAGGAAGGGAAAAAATAAAAAAAATTTGTATGGACTAGAAAAAAATTTTTTTTGAGTATAATATGTATACCTGCTAGAACAAATACTAAAATTATATAGTAATTAATTTTAAAATTTTTTTCTGCTTATTAAAATATTAAAATTAAGCAGCTCCACAACTTACCAAAAAAATAAACTTTTTTATTTTTTTGTTAAACCCCATTCGAGCCAGATCCCTGCCTCTTTTTCGTTCAGGATCGGTTTTAGGGATCTCGGTTCCTCATTTTAGAAACCTCCCTTTAATCGTTTAAAATTCTCTTACCGTAACTAGGTAATTCTCTCTCTCTCTTTTCTCTAAAATGAGAGGAGGGACAGGCTCTTCAAACAAAATTTTGGCTTGAAATTTTTTTTGGTTTTTGGAAGTAAAATAAAAACTGGAATTCAAAAAAAGAATAAAGTAAAGAACTCAGAAAAAAAATTTAGGTAAAATACAAAAAGGATTTAAAAAAGAGAGTCAAGAAGTGTACTAGAATTGAGGAAGGGAAGGGACGAGGAAGGGACGGGGAGGAAAGGAGGGAGGGGGAGGGAGAGCTGGAGGGGGAAGGAAGGGGGGAGGGCTATTGGCTACGTGATCCCCCCTCGTTTTCTCAATTGTTGTATTTTTATTTTTTTGTTTTTTTGCGAGAGTTGGATGTACAAAACGTTAAACACATAAATATTCACATAATAAAATTAACAAAAAAAAGTATACAAAAAAATATCAGGACCGGTTATTTTATTTTATAATTGTGTACAAAAGTATATAGAGGAGGGAGGTATATTCAAGACAAATCTGCTCTCTCTCTCTTAAAAAAATTTTTTTTTGAAGCAAGCAAAGTGCACAAGAGATTTTGTCATTTTTGTATGTCATTTTATGTACTGTTTTACTTTTTGAGAGATTTTTTTTTTGTTATATGGCATTTATTTTGACTTTTTGTACTTTTTTCTTGTTTGCTTGAAAAAAAATTTTTGTAGAGAGATAAATTAATATTTTTTTTGTTTATTTTACAAAAATGAGAGGACACAAACACATCATTCTTGAGAAAAAAATTATTATTTTTTTTATTTTTATTTTTTAGCTTTTTGTTATTTTATTTAAATAAATCTTGAATATTTTTAATTTATTCTTCACTAGAAATATTTTTAAAAAATTTTTAATTTAATTTATTTTATTATCAACACCTCCTTGTAAACCTATTAAATTTTTATTTTTTTTAATTAAAAATTTCCTTCCACTATTTACAAATTTTTACTAGCAAAATATTATTTAAAATATTCATTTTGCGTTTTGTTCATAATTTTGGCGCACACCAAACACTACTTTGTTTTAGAAACATTGTTTTGTTTACTGTTTACTTAAACATTGTTGGAAACAAACAAAACACTTTTAAACAAAAAACATTTGTTTTTAGATGTTCTTTTGAGAACAAATGTTTTTCTTAAACAAATGTTCTTCTTAAACACATGTTTTTTCCATTTTGAAACGAACACAACATTTGTTTCAAACTTTGTTTTTATTGTCTAAAACATTAAATAATTTAAACAAACAAACACAAACTTTGTTTGTTTTAATAAAACACAAAAGCATGTTTTGCTAAAACACAAAACATTGTTTCTAAAACATTGTTTTGTATTTTCCTTTGTTTACTAAAACATTGAATAAAACTTGCAACATTTGCAACATTACTATAATTATTAAAACAAACTAAACACAGTAAAAATAGGCGTTAATCATCACAAAATTTTTTCGTAAAATAAAATTTATTTTATTTTTTACAGTTGTTTAAACATTAAGAATTGTATATAATTATTATTTAAATAATATTTTTGGGTATATTAAAAAATTTTTATTTTATTAAATTTTTTTATAATTTTTTTATATTTTAGAGTCTCTCAAACTGACCAACTTTTATTTAATTTTTATTTTCTCTCCTCCCCCGCCACCAGACCTGGGCGAAACTCAAAATTTTTTTCTGACGAAACGAAACGAAACAAAATTTTTTAAAAATCGTTTCGTTAACGAAACGAAACGAAACAACCTAAATCTTACGAAACGAAACGAAACAAAACGAAACATTTTAATATTCAAAAAATTTTCAAAACTGCATTTATTTCGCAATTATTCGACCTCAAATACTTTATTAGTCGCCTATGACTTATAAATGATTTAGTTATTGGTTTATTTACAACAATTGTGTCCCATAAGCCAGGCCCCATAAGCCAGGCCCGTCTCCATATCTCCATTTCGAGAGGAAGGCGATATAAGCTAGTGCTTCGCCGGAAGTTCCGGTTCCAGTATTTCCGCAACTCGCAATCCGCAATTTTTAAATTATGATGCGAGTCCGGTAATAGAATTTGTCGTCGATTAAGTAATATGTATATGTGAATTAGGGAGTGGAGTATAAACGGATTTGTAGTATATAAGTAATTGATATCTTCCTTTTTCAGCGCCGCAGGCGAAAATTTTGACAATTTGGGAAAGCAAGAAGCCGAAATTCTTTTTTTTCAGCGCCGCAGGCGAAAATTTTTTAAATTTTCAATAAAAGATGGTAAATTTTATAGATTTTGGCCTTAGTTTAGGCTTAAAAAATTGTTTCGTTTCGTTGAAAAATCACAGGTGTTTCGTAACGAAACGAAACGAAACAAATTTAAAAGTGTTTCGTAACGAAACGAGACGAAACAGTAAAAATCATACGAAACATACGAAACAACGAAACGAAACGAAACGTTTCGCCCACGTCTGCCCGCCACCTCCTATTTTTTTTCTAAACGTGTATTTTTGTGTGTGTTTGTTTTTGTATTTTTCCAGAAAAAAATTTTTTTCTTTCCCCTCCTCTTCTTTTATTCCTTGGCCATCTCCTACAGACCCTCCTCCAGACTCTTCTTTTCAACAAGAATATTTTGATAAATGACGAGGATTTTTTGTTTGCCAATTTTTATTTGTCCCCTATTCGCTTTGCAAAATCATCCTCCTCTCTCGGTTGCACTACCTCCTCGCTTTCTTGCAGCCAGCTTTTAAACAAAAAAATATTTTTTTTTTGTTCCTCCGTTCCTCATTTTTTAACTTTAAAAGAACCTTTCTTCTTCTATATAATTTTTCGTAAAAAAATTAGCAAAAGAGAGCTTATATTTATACAAAACTTCCTCCTTTGTGGACATCCTTACTTGCTTTTTCCTTGACTAATACCCAACTCACTAAGATAAAATGTCTATAATTTTTATTGTTTACTTTTTATTTTTTGTTTCTTTGTTTTTAAAATTAAAAAATGAAGGGAAAGAAGCGTTGGAAGAAGCTCTGGAAAGAACAAGAGTGGGAGGGAAGAGGGGAATGTAGATGGGAGGGTTTGGAGGAGGAAGCAAGTTTATTATTTGAGTTTAAATTAAAAAGGAGGTGGAGCGGGGGTGTTTTTGGAGGCGTTTATGAAATTATTAAAAATTATTTTAATTAATTAAAAAATTAATTTAGAAAAGGAGAGGGAGGAGTCTTGGTAAGCTTTTAAAGTATTTAAAGAAGACCATTTTTGGTTCACACTTATTTTTGTTGACCACCCGAGAGAGGAAGAAAGGGACAGAGCAGGAGAGAATGAGAGAGAGACCATTCAACCTTTCAAATAAACTATCGGCTTATCGGCTGACGAGTTTTTTTTGTTAAAAAAATTTAAAAAAAGAAATTGTGGTGTGTGAGCTGTCCAAGCCTCCCCCCCTTCGATGGCTTTGCTCTAGCAAAAAAAAATATCAGTCAGTCTCTGTCTCTCTCTCATTTGTTCAAAGCCTTCCCTGATGGTCTCTTGCCTTGCTCTAGCAAAAAAAAAATAAAAAAAAAATAAAAATATCAGTCAGTCTCTGTCGTCTCTCTCTCATTAACCCAGTTCCTCCCCCCCCCCCCCCCTTTCTTTTTTTTTCTACAACTCTTGGCCATCATCCAAAAAACAACGTTGTTTTTAAAATTTAGAGAAAATAAAAGAGATTTTATTTCTATCGGAGACCATCGGCTGTTAGCAAAATAAAAAAATATTTTTCCACCTGCTAGCGATTTTTAAAAAATGTAAAAACTGATTGTTAATTAATTTATTTTTGACTCATTTTACTTTTAAAATCATTAAAAAATCTAGGAAAAATTTTTTTCTAATTTTGCTGACAACCGGATACTTACTTTTAACTAGTGATCGGACCGTACCATACTGCGGCCATATTTTTGGGTATTTACACTAATCCGTATCGGTATTACGGTATGATACGAGATTCCGATCACTACTTTTAACTATTATTTTCTTTAATTTTAATTTTGAAATTAATTTTTTTTATAATTTAAATTACTATACAACCCCCAAATAATTTTTAAAAATTTTTATGTATCTGACCTAGGCTGTCCTCAACAATTTTTTAAAATTAAATAGAAAAACCTTCCGGTTGGCAAATATAATTTTTGTATTTTTATTTAATTTATCTTAAATTTAAAAAATGTTTAAATTTTGATTGATCGTCCCAATATTAAAAATTAAATTTTATTTTTTGTTAAATTTTTTCTGAGTTGCCATACCCCGTTTTCTCTTTCCTCTCCCCCCAAAAATTTTTCTCTGAAATTTTTTTTTGATTTTTATTCTTGTGAATGTGTTCGTATATTTATTTTTGTACATTTTTTAACACATGATTTAAACCCCTTTTTTAAAAAATTCTTTTTTTTTTAATTTTAATTTCCTTTGCCTCCATCCTTCTCTTCTTAATTTTAATTCTATTTAATTTTTCTTCTTAAATTAATTTATTTTTCCTTCCATTTTTTTTCTTACTTGCTCCTTCCTTTTTTTTGCTCTCCTTTTTTGTAATCAGTCAAAAAATTTAAAAAAATTTTTTTCTCATCAAAAAATTTTTTTTTGTCTTTTACATACTGTAAGATCTCTATTGGAATGCCCCTTTGGAAGGGGATTATAAAATAGAGTGCCTGGGTATTCTATGATTTACACTACTCTATTAATTCTCCCCCTTATTTTCCCTTCCTTTTTAACTCATTTTAAAATTTTTAAAAATTTTTCTTTTTTATTTTTTTAATTTTTTAAATTCTTCCTTTGCCTGATTTTCCCCTTTGCCTATGTTTTTGTGAAAAAAAATTTTTTTAAATTTTTTTAAAGGTCCACACCGGCTGGCAGCAATCACCCTTCCTTCGTCTTAGCTTCTCCTCGGCTCTCTCTCTCAATATTTTTTCTGTCTAAAATTTTTTGGCCGGACTTCTCTTCTTCTTTCTCTTCCCTTCTCTCTCTTGTTCCCTTCACCCTACTCTCGTTTTGTTCCCTTCACCCTACCCTCTTCCCCACAAAATTTCGTTCCTCTCCCCCATGGTGACCAATCAACACCCTCTCTTTTTTTTTTAAATATTTTTGTCTACTCTCCCTTTATTTTTTTTCATTTTCACTTTTAATTTCTCGTCAATGAAAAACAATTTGGAAAGGAAAAAAATAAAAAAAATTTTTGAGGCAAGTCAGCAGCAGTTGGCTAAGTAAAGGAGGAAGATGTAAAGCGACTTTGTGCCCTTTTTAAAAAAAAATATTTTTTTACGTTTCATTCTTGCTCTTTAAATTTTTTTTGGACATTTAAAAATAGACAAAAACATTTTTATACTTTTTATTTTGATTCATTACTTTTCAAAAAAATTTTTTTCGTAATTTTTTGAGTAAGTTTGTAAGCATAATTTTAAGCATTTTTTACTCCTATTTTCCTTGGAAAATAAATTTTTTCTCGGAGAATTTTTTTTCTAATTTTTTTTAAAATTTTTTGCTATGGAAACTAGGATTCACCTCTTTTTAAATTCAAAATTTTTTTCTTAAAATAGGTGGGATTAATTTATTATTTTTAATTTTTTAAATGGTGTTTTTTGATTAAATCTCCTTCTTATCTTCTTCCCTTCAAAAAATTCCTTCAAAATATTTTTAATTTCCTGATTTTGATCCTCTTCACCTTCTAAAAGTCATTTTCTTAAAAAAATATTTTTTCTACGTCCTAGAAAATATTTTTTTTTCCTTGCAAGTCTTCATGTAAGTCCATAAAGACCATGTTCATGTAAATACCTATATTTTATTTTTTAAATTAATTGACTGCTTTATTGGCCCTAAAAATTAATAACAACAACAACGACTAATTTTCCACACCTCTGTTATTTTTTACTAATTTACAAAATTTTTATCAAAAATAAAATAATAATTTTTTGAAAAATTAAATTATCTTTTTTAATATTTATTTTTAATATTTTAAATAGCCAATCCTTTTTAATATTTTTTTAAACTAAAAATAATTATTTTTCAAAAATTATTTTTTTGAAGTTAAAAAAAGACATTTTTCCCCTCTATTATTTATTTAATTTTTTTGCAAAAATTTCCAAATGCAAAAATTATTTTTTTTTTTCAAATTTTTTTTTCTATTAAAAAACCCCTTCCTCTACTATAAGAAAAAAATAGAAAAAAATTCAAAAAAAAATTTAAAAAAATAGTTAGCAGTTTTGACAGCAAAAATAGGAGAGGGGGGAGTAGTAGGATGCAGCAGGAGGAGAAGGGAGAGTTTAGAGGGTTTTCATTGAATTTAATTAAATTTTTTAAAGGAAGGGGAGAGGGGAGGGGAGGAGCAACTCTGTCAATGGCACACAAAAATAGGAGGAGAAAAAATTGAAAAAAAAATTTTTTTTCAATTTTTTGTTTGGCTATTTTTGCGCTTTAGTTTTTTTTGTACTAAAAGATGGGAAAAAATATATTTTTTTAATTTTTAAATTATTTTTTTTTGTCCTCTCAATTTTCTCCTTCTTTGTGTTAATGGCATTAATAAACAACATTTTATTAAATTAAATTTTTATTTTTTTTGCTTTTATTTTTTAATTAAAAAAATTTTTTTAATAGATAAATAAACTGTCCTTTTTAGCCATAAAATTATTTTGTAAAATTATTTTTTAATTAAAAAATATTTTTTTAATTTTTTAATATTCCTATTTTATGTACCTCTTAAAATAATTTTTTGAATATTTTTTTTTCGAAATTTCGGAAAGGAAAAAACGAATCTACCAAAATCTACGTCAGGAAAATCTACATCAGGAGGGTCTAAAACCCGAGCCGATCAGACTTTTTTTTGGCATCTTTTGACTTTTAATAATCTATCCATATTTTTTTTACTTTATTTTTTTTTTGCTTTTTAAATTAATTTTAAAGATTAATTTTTTTAATTAATTAAGAAGAATTTTTTCCTTTCAATTTAATTTTTACAATTTTTTTTTAATTATCTCTTTACCCAATTTTTTCTCTAACTTTATTTTTAATTCTTTATTTATGCCTTTCTTTTAAATTTATTTTTTTTTGTTATTGCTGTGCCCTAAATTCTCCGTTTTAATTTTTTAAATAAAAATAATCTCTGATAAGAAAAAAAAATTAAAAATAAAACCCCCCTCCATCCCCCAAAAACATCACAAATTTGTGTGTGTGTGTGTGTGTGTGTGTGGTTGTTAAAATTATTTTTATTTAATTTTTTATTTAAAAAGAGTGTTGTTATCTCTACTAATTTTTTGAAGAATTAAAAAAAAATTAAAAAAGGAAGAGAAATTTTATTTATTTTTGCTGAAAAATAAAATGATGTTGATCCATACTTTTCTTACTTCCTCTATCTTTTTTTTCATTTTTTTCTTTACTCGTAATTTTTAAAATTTTGACGTTTTATCAAATTATTTTACGAATAATAAAATTAAAAATATCAGCAAAAAGTATTATTTTCTTTCATGGAAAATTTGTTAAAAATTAAATAATCTTCGCTTTTATTTATGTATGCGATCACTCTTCAGTTAGACTCCTATAACTCAGTAATTTCGAAACCTTTCTCAATGATCTTATTATCATTCGATAGAGAATTGAATTTGCTATAAAATGATATGTAAAATAAAATTTTGGATTACTGTAGAAAAATGTTATGGTCAAAAAACTGACTAAAACCTTTGATTTTATTAAAAATGTCTCTTTTTTGATTGCAACTTTTTTTAAACAATTTTTTTAAATATTTCTAATTTTATTAATTTTGTAGTAAATTTAATCCTTTACCAAAATTAATTCTTCTGTAGCTTTATTAAAATAAATTAATTTTTTAATTAGTTAAAAAAATTATTTTCTAAATTTTTTAAAATAAAATGACTAATATAAAATTAATACAATTAGTTTCCCCTTACTAATTTTTAAAATTTTTTTTTCTAATTTTAAAATAAATTTAATTTAATATATAATCATTAATAATCTCCCCCACTCACCCCACACTCTTTTACAAGTTTGCCTAATTTGTGCTGAAATTTATAGTAGTCTTGCGGGTCAGGCGCATTTTTGGGGGAGAGGTTTTTAAATAATATTTAATATATAATATTTTTTGAAAAAGGGAGGCACGAGACTTGTATAATATTTAATTTTTAATTTTATTTTTGCTCAGAAAAAAAATTTTTTTTATTTGCAAAACTGTGAAAAATTAAAAATTATTTTGTTGGTGGTGGGGGGCGTTTAAATAATGTATTACGCCCGTAGGCCATAAATTAGCCATGAAATATAACCTTTGGCCATAAAATTTTGTGTGGACATTCTGATATGTGTTATAGAAGGGGTCTAAAAATTTCAGAATTTATGGTCTTGTATTTCAGAAATTCTGGTCCAGAAAAGTCACTGTAGTCGAGTTGTTGGTCGTATTTTTGCTCCAATTTTGTCGCTTTTTCTCCCATAACATTTGAAATATGAGACCAAAAATTCTGAATTTTGGGGATGATTTAGATGGCCCAATCTAGTACGTTTTTGCAAAATTTTACGATTTTACCTCTTAATTAGGCTATTTTTTAAGCCCACGCCCTAACGTTGTCTCTTAACACCATTTTTCTTACCTTTATGTTCTTTTTTTCATCTATAACCTTTGAGATAATAAACCAAAAATTCTAAACTTTTTAGAATAGTTAGTCGACCCTATCTATTACATATTTGCAAAATTTTGTGAATTTACCTATTAATTAGGCTATTTTATAAAGCCGCGCCTTAACGCGCTCTTAACTTCCCTTCTCTCCCTTAAGTCCACTTTTTACTCTGTTATTTTCTCCTATAACTTTTGAAATATCAAGTCAAAAATTCTGAAATTTTCAGAATAGTTAGTTGACACTATCTAATACGTTTTTGCAAAATTTTGTAATTTTACCTCTTCACCTGACTATTTTATAAAGCCGCGCCTAAGGCATCTTGTCACCTTTTTCTTTCATTTATTCTTTCACTTTTCGTAAAGTTTCTTTTTCTAAAATTAAAATAAACTACATATAACCTTATCTTTTTTTCAAGTTTTTTTGACGTGTTCTAGTAGTAATTGCTCTCAAAAATATTTTTAAAAATATTTTTAAAAATTCTTTTTGATTAATTAATTTAATAAATTACTCGTTTAACAGGCTTAATATAATTTTTGTGTTTTATAATTTTTTTAGAGTTTGTATCGGAAATTACATAATAAAATATTTTTAAAAATTTATTAAAATATATAGGAAACACTAAATAAACTTTTTGAGAATAATATTTAATTTTTAATAATTTTTGATTTTTTGAGTGTTAAAATTCTTTGGTTGTTGTTCCATGGGTGTTCATTTTTACTACATAATTTTTTTTTAATTTTTTATAAATTCAAATTTTTATTTAAATAGGAGAAAGAAACTGACTTTGTGTTTCTATATGCCTCAATTTTGCATATATTCAATAATGAGTACCCTCTATTTTATATCCCTCCATCTCCTACATCCTCCTCCACCTCTACTCAATTATCCTCCTTAATTTCTGAAATGTTCTTTTTTCTGGAATTTTTCTGGAAACGTACCTTATCGATGACAACGTTTTTATCAGAATTTTATCAATATAGTATTTATCACTTTAATTTTAGCAATTTAAAGCCTTCATGGACTTGCACCCAAACATCACCTTTTAAACGTTATTTTTTGATTTTATAAAAAATTTTGTAACTCATATCAATTAATTTTTGATGAAATAAATATAAATTAATTAAAAACATTTTTTCTCTCTATTTTTCTAAAAATGTTGCTTAGCTGCGCAAATTTTTTTTCACAGTCATTTTAATTTATTTTTAATAAATATATTTTTAGTCAAAAACCGTTCCAGGGCCTTTTTTCGTTTTTAAAAATTTTTTTTTGAAGAAAAAAAATTTTAATTTATTAAAAATGTGTAAAAAGAGTTTTGGTGTTAAATAAAAAAAATAAAAAATTTTAATTAATTAATTAATTAAAATTTATAAACTAAAACACGCCCAACACACACAAGTCAAAAATTGCAAAAACGTAGTTAAAAATTGGACTAACAAAAAAATTAATTTTTAAATTAATTTATTAATAAATTTATATGTATAAAAACAAGTTTTTTTGAGCATACATTTTTGTGAATTTATTAATAAAAAAAATTTTTTTTAAATAATTTTTTTAAATTTTTTATGAATTAAACTGGAGACTTTTAGGTTCACGTCGGCGCACCTTCATTTTTGGCGCCAACTTGTTTTTTCTCCCACTTTCTTTCTCTCAACTTTGTTTTCCCCCAACATTGTTTTTCCTCCAACATTGTTTTCCCCAACTTTGTTTTCCACAAACATTGTTTTTCCCCTAACTTTGTTTTCCCCAACATTGTTTTTGGCGCCAACTTGTTTTCCCACAACTGTGTGTTCCCCCAACTTGTTTTTCCCCAACTTTTGTTTTTCCCCGTGTTTTCCCCAGCATTGTTTTTCTTCCAACTTTGTTTCTCCCAACATTGTTTTCCCCCAACTTGTTTTTCCCAACATTGTTTTCCCCCAACTTGTTTTTCCCAACATTGTTTTCCCCAACATCTTTATGCTTCAACTTGGAGGAAACAAGTTTATTTATTTTTTATTTTTCTGCGCCTAAATGACCCTCCTATTTTATTATTATTTTTCTACTAACATTTTCGACTACATTTTCTTTGTTTTTTTGTTAAAATTTTGTTGTTATTTTTTTCGAAATTTCTTTGTTTTGTGTACTTTAATACTTGTTTTTCTTCATTTTCTTTTATTTTTTAATTAATTTGACTTTTCATTTTTTTATAAAAAAAATTTTCCTTAAGGCTAAATTTATTTTTCTTTTCTTTATTTGTTTTTAAACAACACCCCTTCTTCTAACTGTTTCAGCATTTCTACGAAAAAAAATTTTTTTCTTTCTTTTTTTTTTCAACTTTTTAAAGCATTTATATTTTTATTTTTCTGGTTCTGCACTTTTTTTTTTGAAAAATAAATTTATTTTTATTTTTTAATTTCCCCTCTCTTTCCCCCTAAAATAGCAAAGAGGCGCAGTTTTAGCTTTAAAAGCAAAAAAAATTTTTTTTTTGCTTTTTTAATTCTCCGGACTTTTTTTTTGTTGTTGAATGTTGTTGTTGTTTGGATCGCGCAAAAATTAAAGAAAAATAAATAAACTTGTTTTTTTTTATTTTTTAATTTTCGTAGAAAATTAAAAAATAAATTAGATTGTATTTTTATTTAAATATTGGTGTTAAAAAATTATTTTTTTATGTAAAATTAGAAAAAATTGGTGGAGAACAGGGATGTCACGTGTTGTGAAAAATGTCGTGTCGGGTTTCCAAAAAATTTTTCTTGGATTGGTTATCGGGTACCGGATCGAAAAGAAGGCCTGGTTTCGGGCAGAGTGGGTCGTAACAGTCAATGTGTCGGAACTCGGAGCTGGCTCTATTGTCGGAACTCGGAAATCGGAAATCAAAATTTTTTTCGGAAATCGGAAGGTGGAGAGGAGAGAGGATTGACTAAAAAAATAATTTTCTAAATTTTGTTAAATAATCTTACTAAAAAATACGATTAAAATCAAAATCCTGATAGGTTTGAGCTCGAAAAAATGCTGCTAATTTCGCCAAAAATATTTGAAATTTTGAAAAAATTTTTTGCAAAATTTCTGAAAATTTATAAAATTTTTAAATAAGAATTTCTATTGCATTTTGTTTTTCCGGTTTTTATTTTTTTTTTCAAAGAAAGGAAGTAAAATTTGTAATGTATGTTGTATATTTTTATAGAAATAAAAATAAATAATTAAAATTTATTTTCAAAAAGATTTTCATTTTCCAAATTTAAATACTATTTTTAATTGTTATTTTTTAATTCAAAAAATGCTTGACTCACAATTTATTTTTCAAAAATAAATTTTTTTTATTGTCAAAATATAGAAACACAATTTTGCAAAAATATTGTATCCTACATAGTCTCAAAAAAATTTTTTTTGAATTAAAAAAATTTTTTTAAATAGAGTTGTGGTAAGGAAAAGGGGGGATGTTGTGTTTAGTTTTTTGTCCATAACTCTTAAAATTTTAAACCTAAAATTTTAAAAATTTTTAGAATATTAAACAAATGCGCTATTATTATCAGTGCAAAATTTCAGAATTTTATCTTATCATTTTTTAAAATTTTCTTTTGGTCGCGCCCGCAACGTCTATGGTAGTTATTGTTGTTTTTATGACGACTACTAAGTTTTAAAATTTTATAACTTTAATTATATATGACAAAAAAATCTGAAATTTTTAAATTAGTTAGATAACACTCTCAATTATATCTGTACAAAATTTCAGAATTTTATCTCTTCATTTTTTATTATTTTTTTAAGTCGCTCTCGTAACGTGTAGTTTTTGTTTTTAAGACGACTACTAAATTTAAAAATTCTATAACTTTTATTTTATATGACAAAAAATTCTGAAATTTTTAAATTAGTTAGATAACACTCTCAACTATATCTGTACAAAATTTCAGAATTTTATCTTATCATTAAATAATTTATTAAGCCCGCGCCGCCTGCGACGCTCGCGCCTAAATGTCTATTAATAATTTTTATTTTAATTTATTTTTCCTTCCAAAAAAATTTTTTTTCTTGTCTATGTTGTTGTAAATATACTGTTGCTAAAATATATATTTTTAATAGAAAAAAAATTTTTTTCTTAAGACTTGATAGAAAAATTATTTTTATTATTTTTAAGAGTGTCAATTATCCTTATTAGTCCATAAATTATTTATGTCTCCTTCCCCTCTATTTTTTAATATAAAAATTAAATTTTTGTTGCAAAAGGATTTAGGGTATTTTATTACTAAATATAGGCTATTTTTAAATATTTTTGTTTAAAAAAATAATTTTTTTTGAATTTTTTTTTTCGAATTTTTTAGATAAAAGGGCATTAAATAAAAATAGAGGAGGCATTTTTAAGCCTTTTTATAAAATTCCTTTTAATTTATTTTAAAAAATGTCAATTAAAAAATTAAAATATACTAATTTATTTTATTTTTAAGGATTATTTAATTTAATTGAAAAAAAAATTTAATTTTTCTTGAATTTAAATAAGCTTAAAAGTCATTTACTTATTAATTTTTTAAATAAACTTTAAGCTTTATATTTAATTCACATCATATATTTACTGGCCTTCTTAACATTTATATATTTTATTTTACGAATTTTGGGTTAAAATACAGTTTATATACCTTGCTTTTTAATAGAAATTTTTTCGGAATTTCGATTTTTGCTTTTTTAATTTTTCGATTTTTTAAATTTCGTGTTTCGAGTTTCGTTTTTTTTAATTTTCGAATTTCGATTTCGTCTATTTTAAATTTTATTTATGAATAGACTACCTATAAGCTTTATAAATAAAAGTAGTTTATGGTCCCCCTCTTAAACTCTCCAAAAATAAAAAATTCGACACTCAAAAAAAGCGAACCAACTTTAACCCAAATGATCTTATTGTTAACCCCGAAGACTTTAAACTCTTGGTTTTTAAAGAAACATTTAAAACTAAAAAAACTTTTTTTGTAGTGCCTTAATTAAAATTTTTTTTTCTAAGTAACATTTAAAAATAAAATTTTTTTTATCTTTTTAAAAATGAATCATTATGAGAAAATTGAAATAAAAAAATTAATATTTTTTTTTCTTGTTCATTAAATTTTAATTTGAAAACTAAAAAAAAATTATTTTTTTCGAACCAATTTTAAGCTTGGAAGAATTTTTAAATTAATTTTAATTTATTTAAAGTGAAAAAATGTTTTTGAAGGAAAAAATAAATTAAAATAAAATAAAAATTATAAATAGACATTTAGGCGCGAGCGTCGCAGGCGGCGCGGATTTTAATAAATAATTTTAATGATAAGATAAATTTCTGAAATTTTGTACAGATAAAGTAGAGTGTGTTATTCAACTAATTTAAAAATTTCAGAATTTTTTGTCGTGTATAATTAAAGTTATAAAATTTTTAAATTTAGTAGTGCAGCAAATTTTAAGCTTGAAAGAATTTTTTAAATTATTTTTTCCCTTTTTCCTTTATTTTTTTTCAAGGGAAAAAAATATTTTTTTCAATTTTAATTTTAACTTAAAAACTCTCTTTAAAAATTTAATATTTCATTTTTCTATATTTTTTTTGAGTACAAAAAAATATTTTATTTTTATTTTATTTTTTTTTATATTTTATAAACAACACAGAAAATTCCAATAGAAAAAAATAAGAGAAGCAAAAAGCGGCCAAGTTAATATCCCCTCCTCCTTCCCTTGCCTCCTTCCCTTGCCTCCTTACCAAAACTTTTTTTTTGATTTATTACTTTTTGGACACAAGTTTTTTTCTGCTTTTCTTATTTTCAAGTTGCTTACTTAGTCTGGCTTTATAAAAAAAATTTTTTTTAATTTTAAAAATAAAATTGGTTTGGGCGCGGCTCGTTTAGGCGCAGCTCTTTTTAGGCGCAATTTTTGTAATAAGGGGTTGTCTTTAAATCCAAATAACTTTTTGATGGATAAAGCTATTTGTCTATTTTCTTTTTTTAAAAATAGAGGAGAGTCTAGGCTATAAGAATATATTTTCTAAAAATTATTGTTCATCAAAAAAAAATTTTTGTAATTAATTTTTGAATGGTCTCTTATCTTGTATTATTTAGCGATACCTTTTTTTGTCTTTTATTTTTCAAAAATTTTTTTTTGAGATTTTTAAATTTTTATTTTATTGTTTTCTCGTGGCTTGGCTCATTTCTTAAAATTAAAAATTCTATTTTTAATTTTACAAAAAGTTAGAGGGAGGCCATTAGAGAAGCAATACTTTCTCTCCTAACTTCTCTCCCTCTTATTTTATTCTTTTAAAGATTTATTTTAATTGGGAGGGTGTTTTGAATTTTTTTTATTTTTAAAAATTATACAAGAAACCCAAAGAATCATTCCCCTAAAAATTAAAAATAAAATTTGGCATTTTATTTATTTTTCCAAGAAAAAAAATTTTTTCCTTTACAGCTTTTCTAATACACACATTTTTGATTTATTTAAAAAAGCTTGTTTTTAAAAAGGGAAGAAAAAAAAGTTTTTTTTAATATTTAAAAGTTTTATTTATTTTTTTTGGTGTGTGTTTAGTCTAGTTGAGTTACATATAAAATATAATATTTTATTTTTTAAATGGAAGGGGAAAAATGTATAAATGTTTGGAAACTTTTAGGAGCTTTTCTAACCTTCATTTTCCCCCCTTATTTAGAAAAGCTTGGCGCAGACTAATATTTTTTTGGCCTTTTTTTTGATTTTAAACTAGTTGAACCATAAAAATAAAATATATAAAAAATCTGTCCAAGCGTTATATATTTTAAAAAATTTATAAAATCCCCTCCCCCCCCCCCACCTTTTAAAAGGATTATAAGAAAAATTTTTTTTCAATGCGCGTTGCCTTTTTAAAAATAATTTTTTTCTACTTTTCCCAACGCAAGTAGATAAATAAAAATAAAAATATATCTTGCTTCCTTCAAGTTGGAAAAAATAATTTATTTAAAAAATAAAAAGAATTTTTTAAATAAATATATAAGCTTGTTTTTAATTTTGCTAAAATTATATAAACTGGTTGAAAAAAATATTTAATTAAATAAATAAAAAAGAGCGCTTATAGGGAAGTTTATTTATTTTTTTAAATTAAAAGAAGATTATTTTTTTAATTTTTGGGTAGTTAATTAGATTAATGAATTTATTTATTATTTTGACAGTTCTTTAGCTACAAGTTTTAATTAGCTAGCTTTTTAAATATTTTTTTTTAATTTTTGGCGTTCTGATTTTTTAAATATTTGAAAATTTTGGGTACCGCAGCGCGCGGCCAAGTAGGCGCAAAGCACTAAAACTTGCTTCACGATTTCCAAATCTTAACAAATTTTGTATTAAACGATTATTCACATCGAGCTAAAGAAATTGGTACCAAAATTAATAAGGGTTAGAAATTTTCCGGCTGGGTATGGCTTTGCGCGCCTACAATGGGCGTGTCCTAAAATTATTTAAATTTTTGATTTTTAAACATTTTTTAAATTCTGATTTGATGATTTTTGATATTTTTAGATCTTAACGTTTTGAATTTCTGACTTTATAATTTTTAAATTTTTAAATTTTGCCGTTTGGAAATTTTGAACTTTTATTATTTTTAAATTTTTATATACGTATTTTTAGAAATTTATATTTGTGTTTTAATTAAATTTTTTTTGTGTTTTGAAATTTAAATGAAAAATTTTATTTTTTATTTTTTTATTTTTTTAAAAACAGTTAGATAAATATTTATCTACATACATTTAAATTATTTATTTAATTTTTTTAATTAACAAAAATATTTTTTTCTTGTATAAAGGGGTCGTTTCGGCGCAAGAACTAATTTTTAATTTTCTTCGTCTTTTTTTAAAAATAAATACTATTCTTCATTCTTTGTGTATTATTCGCAATTTTTTTTATTTATTTTTTTTTTCGTCCACCCACTCGCGCATTTCTTTCATTTTTAAGAGGAAGAAAGGCGCAATTTTATTTTTTTTGCCCACCCACAGAAACAAACAAAAATAATAAACTTTTTTACCAGACTTTTTTTTTTCTAAAAAAATTTTTTTTTGAATATTTTCTCTTTCTAAAGGCAAGAATAAAAATTTTTTTTATTTATTTTGTTGTGTCCTTCACATTCTCTCAACAATGTAAAATTAATTTTTTTTCAAAATTTCAATCTTTTTTTTATTAAGGGTCTTTCCCCACTAAACAATTAAATTTCCTTCAAAAAATCTCTCTCCTTCCGCTCTCTTATTTTTTTATTTTCACGCAGTCCACTTAAAAAAAAATAGCCGTCGGCTAGTAAAATGACATTGAAAATGGCGAAAAGTTAAAAAATTTTTTTAATTTATTTATTTTGATTTTAATTTATTATTTTTAATAAATTAATTTTTTTGCCCACCCAATGTTTTTAAAAGATTATTGTTTTCAACATTCTAATCAGTTTTTTAAAGTATTTTTAATTTTTTTCATACGAGCTTTTTGCTCCCATTTCTTAACTGATGCATTTACCAAGCTTGTTTTTTTAACATACTTAAATGTTTGGTTTTTTACTTTATGTTGTCTAAAAATTATTTTTAAATTTAATTTCATACGAGCTTTTTGCTCTAATCTTTTAAATGATGCATTTACCAAGCTTGTTTATTTAACATATTTAAATGTTTATTTCCTACTGTATATTGTCTAAAAAAATTATTTTTAAATTTATTAAAAAAAAATTAAAATCAATTTTTACATCCATTTTTTAAATCGAATTCACTCTTTATATTTATTTAATTAATTATTCAGTGCATTTGAAAATATGCACTTTGCAAAATAAAATTAAAAAAAAAATTTTATTTCTCTTATCTTCCCCTATTTTTTAATTATTTTATTTGCATTATTTATTAAAAAAATTAGAAAAATATTTTAAATATTTTTAATTTTTATTATTTATTTATTTATTATAACATCATTAAAATGATGCTGATATCATATACTTTATTTTTAATTTTTTCCATACGAGCTTTTTGCTCGCATTTATTAACTGATGCATTTACCAAGCTTGTTTTTGTTTTCCTACTATTTTTTGGAGATACCTTACAAAATGTCGAATTTTGACATTTTAAAAATGCGACATTTTGAAAATTTGGAATTTTGACATTTTAAATTTTGACATTTTGTAATTTTTAAATTTTGACATTTTTAAATAATGGCATTTTTAAATCCGTATTAAATTATTTAATTTTATTTTTGATTTAAAATTAAAAAAGCCCTTGACCCTCCTATATTGAAATCTCTTTTTCTCCCCCCATAACTTTATTTTTAAATATATTTTTTGTTTAATCGCTCATTCAAACAAGCGGATCCCCCCATTCATCATTAAAACAAATTAAATTAAAAAAAAGCACACACAAATTTCTCGCTATATCCGCGCCGTTTTCTTTTTATTTTTTAAATTTAATTCCCTTCTATTTTTAAAATAAACGGATCTTTTCTTCTAGAAATTAATTTTAAAAATTTAAAAAATTAAATACTTACACTACTTTTTCGTTGTTTAAAATTGTGTCAACTCTTTTTTCAAAAAATAAAAAAAAAATTTTTTTGTCGGGAGAAATAATTCGGGAAGGAATTCTAAAATGATTGGGGATTTATTCTTTATATTTTAAAATTTTTAAATATTTTTTTCTTTAATTTTAAAGGGATTTTAGCCTCATAGAACAAGGGCATTTTTAAAGGAATTTCAATTTAACACCTTAAATTTGTCAAAAAAACTCGATTTAAAAATTTTTTACCAGTCTGAAAATTTTTATTTACATTAATTTTACTCTTTACAATCCTTATTTCGAAAAAATAAATTGATTGCCACCAACCGGATTCGAACCCGCACCCCTTTATTTTTCTAGGCGGCGCCTTAAACCACTAGACTAAAAAGTACATTTTTTGTTATTTTCATATTTTGCCGTTCCCAAATGTTTTTCTGTCTGCTTTTATGCCCTTTAATTTAAATTTTATTTACATTGAGAAAAAAATTTTATTTTTAATTTTATATTTGGCATGTTGCCCCCCTTCATCTTTAATCCGCTAATTTGACTTTGCACTTTATTTAAAAAATTTTCTCTCTTTTAAAAAAATATTTTTTCTTCCCTTTTATTTTTATAAAATTTAGAAAAATCTTTTTATGGATTTCTCTTTTTAAAATTTATTATTTTTAAATTTTTATTAATATTTTTTCTTATTGAATTTTTAAATTTAAGTCGGCTGGAAAATTATTTTTTTTCGGTTGCTGACTATCCATATTAGGCTATTACCCCTAACCTTCGGAGACGGGGGAGTGTCGCGTTTCGGAGTTTGCCGGGATAGAGCCTTGAAGGTTCGGGACGGGGTTTTACCCTAAAATTCGTTGGAGTTCAGAGTTTAGGGGGACTTGGTAATACCCTAACCCATACCTCTCTCTGACTCCTCTTGAGTTCTCCTCTTCCTTCTTGTTTATTTTCAAATTTTTCGAGACCTTGAAAAAAATTTTTTTCCTTCATTTTATCAACTACTTCCTCTTCTTCTTTTTAATTTTCCATGTTTTTAAATTTTTCTGAATTATCACTTCCTTATTTTATAATATTTTTTAAATACAACGTAGCTACAATATGATTCTTTCACTACAACAATTTAAAAAAAAATATTTTAAATTTTAACTAAAAAATTTTTTTAAACAAATAAACAATATTTATTTAATTTTGCAGCCATTTTCTTTATTTTTAATATTTGCTTTTCTAAGAAAATTATTTTTTTTAATTTTACAATTCGAAAATTTTTATTTTTTTTTATTGGGGAAAACACCAAAAAATTGTAAAAATAAAATTTTAGAATTTTGTAGTGTCAGAAAAAAATTTTTTTTGAAAATAAATATGTATCACTCTACAAGAGGTGGGTCGGAATTCCTAGTCCCGATATTTTTACCTTCCCATTTCCGGAAAGATTTTGGAAAAATTTCCAATTTCCGAGAATTTAAGGCCGATTTCCAAGTTCCGACTTTTGAGCCATTTCCGATTTCCGACATTTCCGATTTCTGGTACCTTCGTTATTTCCGTCCCACATCATCTCCCTACACCCAGAAAAAAATTTTTTAACCACAAAATATTTTTTTAAATATTTTTTGACTTGAAAAAAAAATAAAAAATAATTTTTGGTGTTAAACCAGTTTTGCTAGAATAAATAAATAAATTTATATTTTTATTTATTTTTCATTTTTGCTTAAATTTATTTTCTTCAAAAAAAGTTTTCTACCTATGTGTTTTAAATCTTTTTATTTATTCCTTCTATTTTCATTCAAAAAATTTTTTTAATTTTGTCTAAAATTTATTTTAAATATCTTTGGGCGCAGCAAAGCTTTGGCGTGCGCCTATAAAATTATACTTTAATGTCCACCTTTGAGCATGAAATTTTGCAAGGATATACTCACTAGTATTATCTACTAGCTCTAAAAATTTGAGAATTTTTGATTCATTTTTTGAAGAGTTATCAACATTAAAGTGGACACGCCTTTAATTTTTCCACGCCTCTAGTTCCTCTTCTCAAAATTTTCATAACTTTTCTTAAACATGGTCAAAAATTTTGAAATTTTTAGAGAACATAACTAACACTACATCCATAAAAAAATCCACATCTCAATGACTTCAATTTTTTAATTTATAGGACCAGGGACTTTGCCTTGTGTTGGTTAGAAACAACTCTTTTTTAGCCTACAACTCCACTTGTCTTAATTCCGATAATTTCCCTTCTGCAAATTCAAAAATTTTTAAATTTTTACAAGGCATAGCTACTACTATTAGCTACATTTATACAAAATTCCAAGTCTTTATGACTTCAATTTTACAAATTATAAAGCCTAGGACTTTGCCTTATTGCGTCTTATAGCATGTTTATCTCCCCTCCTCAAACTTTTTATAATTTTATTCCTACAAATACAAAAATTTATAAATTTTTAGAGAACATAGCTAACACTCTTAGGTACATCCTTACAAAATTTTAAGTCTTAGCGACTTCAAATTTTTAACTTATTAATCCTGGGACTTTGCCTTGTTGCGCTCAGAAACAAGTCTTTCTTTATTTCTTCTAAAATCTCCGCTTCTTTTTTTTCTTTTAATTTTATTTTTTTGTCATAAAAATTTTTATAAAAATGCTTGTTGTGTGAAGTATCCATGAAACTAGTTATTTTTATAAAATTTATTTTTATATTCTTTTCGAAGAAAAACACTCCTCCCCCACCAGCCAAAATAATCAAATTGCAAACTTTTTTTTTATTTTTATTTTTGCGCTTTGCTTTAGCGCGCTTCTTCTTCTTTGCTTTTTTTTCTTCCAAAATCGCTTCTCAGTCAGCTCACAATTTTTATATATTTTATTTTTTAATTTTTATTATTTTGTTTTACACACCAACTTGTTCGCTTAGCGCGAATAATATTTTTTTCTGGATTTTATTTTTAATAAATATTTAATTTAATTATAGGAGGCTATTTGAGTTTGGGAATTTTTAAGACTGTCATTTTTATTCAAATAATTCAAAAAAAATTTTTGGGTTTTATTTTTAGTTACATGTTTAGATTTAAATATGGGGTTGTTTAAGAATATTGTTGGGAGAATCTTTACTTACCCTCCTTCCAACCAAGATTTCTGTTATAATTGATAACGTGTAGCCTTATTAGTATTATTGCCGTTTTCGAGCCATGTCGACGTTCGAGTCATTTTTATTGGATCGGACCGACCGAGTCTTTTTCGGGTCAGAATTCGATGCCCGCCGACTCGATCTTTCGGACCTACTTTAACTCTTGAGGCCGGAGTTGGTTAATTTAAACGACCAAATGAATACCTGACTTTATTCTTCATCTTTTTATCTTAGAAAAAAATTTTTTGCAGCCTCTTTGATCCAATCACGTAGCGTGTAGTTAAAAAATAAGCTAGGGAAAATAGCAATTTTATTATACATAAAAAGCATTTTGTTTTCCTCCAAAAATTCTTTCAAAAATTAAAAATATATTTTATAAAAATTGTGTGCTTTAGGCGACAATTAAAAAATAATATTAAAAAATATTTTGTTGTTATTACTGTCATTTTTAATTTTTATTTATGTTTTTTGGCCTTCTCTTTTCTCTCTCCTCCAAATCAACAACAACATGCTTTTTTAAAAATATTTTTTAAAGCTATTAGTTGTGAGGGTCCGACGTCTAATTTTTTCTTTGATTTTTGCCTCTTTAAAAATTCTTTTTTTTTATTTTTTGATTGCCAGCAAAACTATGCATGAAACGGAAAAAATATTTGTGTATGTGAATAAAAAATGTGGTAGGTGGGGGGTGTGATAGTTGCGCGTTGGAAAAATTAAATGAAACTTGGAAATTTAAATTAATTTTTAATAAAATTTTTAATTTAGAAAGGGGCTTTTTAATTTATTTTTTTATTGACAAACATAGAAAAAATCATAAAAAATCATGCTAGACTCTCTTCATAGCCTAAATCGGTTCTAATACGATCCCCCTTTTAAATCCTCTGAAAAAATCACGATTGCCCGGACTTGACAGCTTATAACTCTTTACAGAATGATCGTATCATAGCGGTCTTCTTGGGTAAAAGAATCGGCACATTCAGGGCTTTCGAATGATATAATATTTATTCGAAATGATCAAAAACTCAAAAAGTTATTAATCGAAATGTGCCTCTGGGAAGGCGGGACTCTGTCTCTCTCATTTTTCTATGCTATTTCTTTATGTCTGCCATCGCGCAATAATTATTTTTTATAAAATTGTACATGAGCCAAACTTTAATTCTTGGCTTTTAATAAATTATTTTTAACTCTCAACATTAATTTTCTTTTTAATTTTTATTTTTTTCCTCCTTCAAAAAGTGATCTTTAGAGAGAGAGAAACTGCGCAAAAAACACGCACCGTTTTATTTATTTTTTTTAAATTAATTTAAAAAATTAATTTTTATATATTTTCTTCGTTTCTTTCCTCTGTGTGGCGTATAATTAATTATTTTTTATTTTTTTTATTTTTTTTTCAATTTTTGCGCTGCAAAACACCCATCCAAACACCCAACAAAACAACAACTATAGAAAAATGTCTGCGCACTCTCTCATTTTCTATGCTATTTCCTCTATGTCTGCTTAACTAAAAATTAAAAATATAATTTTTTTTTGGCTTCTGTTTGGATTAAAAAAAATAAAGGAGAGGATAGGGGGAAAATTAAAAATAAATAAAAATACTAGAAATTTTGTGAAAAAAATTTTTTTCTGTTGAAGCAAATTAGTAGAAGAAAAAAAAATTTTTTTGTCGTTTGGTGGGAAAGAAAAACTGGAAAGTTTTTTTTGTTGAATAAAAGGGGGGAAAATATGTGAGGGAAAAGAAATTAATAAATTGAAAGGCTTTTCTAGCGCAACAATAAAAATTAATTTAAATTTTGTTATTTTTTCTTAAAAATTTTTTTAATCCCTATATACTTTTAATCTTTCTACTCTCCCTTTTTTTCCATTTAATTTATCTAGATGAGGGATAACTAGCAAATGTTGGGTGGGGAACATGACATTGGGGGAGATGAGATAAGGATGATCTATGGGACAACTATGGAATAATATATGTACATAGTTCATCTGGCCATATCTGGGATAAGTAGGCATGTTCATTTTATCTGACTGAAAAAGGTCTTTGGCATAATGCCAAAATTTGGCGTTTTTTAAAAATATCAAAAATTCTCATTTTTGATATTTTATAGCCAATTTTTTCCTGTACCTAGTTTAGCTTGTAAAAAAATTTTTTTTCATTCTTTAATTTAAACTTAATGGCTCAATTTGGCCCCCTAAATTAATATTTATTTAGATATTTAATTAGACCAATTTTCTTTTAATTAATCATAAATCAAAATTTTTTGGGCTATTAGTTTAAAATTAGTCTTTTTTTAGTCTTTAAATATTGTTGCCTTTAAAAAATTTATTTTATAGCCCTCTAAAGTTTGGTCATTTTTAGGGGGTGTTTTTGGTCATTTTTTTATTTAAAATTATTTTATTTTTTACATTTTCCCCTTCTATTTCTCTTCAAGATTGATTACAAATCGAAAAATAAATACACCTTCACATATTTTCCCTCTTGCCATGTTGTAAATCAAAATATGGCATTCATCATTTTTATTTTTATAAAATGTCAAAACTTGGTTTCCCCCCTTTATTTTACCCCCTTTTTCTTTACTTTTACAAAATAAAAACATTAAATTGCAACATAAAAACATTTATCTTTTTATTTTTAAAAATAGCCGCACGCAGAAATAGCAAAAACAGCCTCCTACTTTCCTTATCTTTTTTAATTTTTATTTTGATAATTTATTTTTAATTTTGATAATTTATTGACTGAGTTGTAAGATAAGCTTGTTAATTAATTAATTTTAGGGTATTAATGTAATTATTCTAATTGTAGGACTTTTAAAAATAATTTTTTAAAGTAAGGAGGACTAGTACTCCTGGAACGGTGACTTGAGTTGCTTCTATTTTTCATAACTTAAGATGGAATTGTCCTTTTGGAAAGATTTTGGGATTTTTTGATAGAGAATTAAATAGGCTACAAAATACATTTATTAATTAAATTATTCTAATTATAGGACTTTAAAATAATTTAAAGTAAGAAGCACTTCAACTCCTTAACGGTGACTTGAGGTGCTTCTATTTTTTATAACTAAAGTTGAAATTGTCCTTTAAGGAATATTTTGGGCTTTTTTGATAGAGAATTAAATAGGCTATAAAATGTTCTTATTAATTTAATTATTCTAATTATAGGGCTTTTTAAAATTTTTTAAAGTAAAGGGGACCATAGGTTCTGTAGAGGGCAACCTAAGTTGTTTCTTTTTTTATAACTCAAGAGTGGATTGTTCTTTTGGAATAATTTTGGTTTTATCTTATAAGGAATTCAATTAGCTACAAAATTCTAGAAAATCAAAATTTTCGATTTATCGAGAAAAAAGTTTTGGTCAAAAAACTAAACATTTTAGTGATTTTTTGGTTATTTTTCGAACACACCATTTTAGTTACTTTACCTATAATTTTACTTTTTATATCATTTTCAGACAAATTTAATCCTCTATTTTTTAATACTTCCTAGAAAGTTTAAAAGATTATTTTTTAAAATAATTTTATGGAGGTTAAAACATAATTAGGTCTGGGGCATTTTAAAGGGGTTTTCTCCTTTTCCTCTTTCTCCCCTTATTTAATTTTTGACTTATTAAAAATTTAAATTTTTAGTGAAATAAAATATTCTTTCGTTTTTTAATGTTTGACATTCTCCCTTTTTTTAAATAATTTATCAAAAACCATCTTTGACCCTTTTCTGCATTTTAATCTTATTTTAAAAAATTTTTAATCGCCGAACATACGCACACAATAATTTTAAACACAAAATTTTATATAATTTATTTGAACATTTAGTTAAAAAAATTTTTAAATTTAATATTTTATGTAAAACTGTCAAAGTAACGGAAATGACATATTTTAGTAATTAATGGGGTTTTATATTTTAATTTTTGGGAGTCTCTCCGTTAAAATATTATTCTCTTAAAAATGCGCTTAAGTTTATTTATTTAAACTTTAATTCTGCAAACTTAAGATTCCGGAAAAGATGTGTATTTATTTTTTTCCGGAAACTATTAAATAGAATTTTATTTTTGTTCCGGAAGAGAAAATACAATTTTCCGGAAACTTAATATTCAAGTTTTCAAACTTGAAATTTATTCGTGTTCTAGTTTCCGGAAGAAAATATAATATATTAAAGTTTTCCGGAAAGTTTACAACTACAAACTTTATAAGTTTGCAAACTTAAAGTTTTCCGGAAACCTTTCCGGAAAACTTAAAGTTATTATATTAAATAAATACTGTTTCCGGAAAAATTATTTCTCTAGGAAAAATACATACAACTTTTCCGGAATCTTAAGTTTGTAAACTTTAAAGTTTATAATCTTAAAACTTTTCCGGAATCTAATTTCTTTTTTATTCTCTTCCGGAAAATTTAATTAAATTTATTTTACTATTTTTACCCTTCCATTTCTCACGATAATTTATTTATTAAATTTACCGAATTGACAATTGACCGATTTAATTTTATTTAAATTTATAATATTTTTTAAATTTTTTTTTATTAATTTTTCTTTTGTTCAATTTTTAATCATTTTATTTAATTTATAATTTTATTTATTTTTCAGTAGATAGATAATTCTCATATGAGAAAAAATAAAATGATGGGCATTACCATTATAACAACAAAAATAATATCAACAAATTTTATTAAATCAGTATCATCATATTAATTTTTAAAAAATTTTTTCACTCATTTAAAATTTTGACTTTCTACACATTTAACAACGATATATTTATTTTTTCTTTCAGAAAAAAATTTTTTTTTTGAAAATTTTTTTTGAAATTTTTAAAATCCCGTATTCTCTACAATAATTTTATTTTAAATTTGACTACACATCCAAAATTATTTTTTTATTTTGTTTAAATGCAAAATTTAGCTGCTTCAGCAAATCTACAGCTTTTCTCGAAGGGTAGGCAAAATTTAAGAAATTAAAATTAATTAAAAAAAATTTTTTTCTTTAAAGCTCTTCAAGAAACTGCCCAACAACCAAACGACACTTCAGAACATAAACAACAGCAGCAGCAAAATCCTGTAATTTCTGCTGCTGATTTGCAACATTATATGTTTCCTCATTTGGAAAATCATTTGGATCAGGCAAGTTTTTCTTTTGTAAATTTATCTTAAAAAATTTTTTAAAATTTCTGATTCTTTTTTATCTTGTCTTTCTATTTTTACAATGTCGACATTTTGTCGTTTTCTAATTTTGTCTGGTGTTGCGACAATTGCGGAAGACAGTTTCGGATATGTATAACAATAACTGATACATATAAAATTCAAGAAAAAATTAAAATGAAGTAAAATAGTAATTATGGAGTCCTTTTGACAGATTCCGTCCTAACCCTAGGGTCTTAAATTATTTCAGGATTGATAGGGGATTGAAAAAAAATTTTTTTAAAGCTTTACGTCCGCAATTGTCTTATCAAAAATTGTCGCAACACCATTTTGACTTGTTTTAATTTTTCTCTCTTTCTATTTTTCAAATTTAACAGAAAGTTTATAGTATGTATACGATTAATTAATTTAATAATAAATTAACAATAAAAGAAAAGAAAAAATTGCGAAATTTAGCGAGCCATTAATTTTCTTTATTAAAATTTATATTTATGAGTAATTTAAAGAATTTAAAATTAGTTTTTGTGAAATTTAAAGAAAAAAAGATATGTGGGGGAGAGCCTTTTAAACGAAAAAAAAGTAAAAAAAAATCATCATCACGCGCTATTAAAAATTCCATAAAATTTAAAAGAAAAAAAAAGAAAATTTTTTACTCTAAAAATAAATTTATTTTTATTTTAAAATATAATTATTTTTAAGATTATATAACAGATGATAATTAAATTGTTTTTTTTAATATTTTTATTTTTGCAAGAATATATTTTAAATATTATTATTTTTCCCCTTAAGAATTTATTAAAAACATTTAATGTTTTCAGAATATAATTTAAATTCTTAAAAAAAACCAGAATTTTTAATAAACATGTTTATAAACATGTTTTGTTTTCAAATAAACTTGTTTTGTTTTAATTCTGATTTTCAAAATAAAAATCAGAATTTTAAAATTAAAAATTCTGAACATGTTTTAAATTAATTCTGATTTGTTTAAATCAGAATTCAAAACAAACATTTCACAAACTCTTTTCGCAACAAGCTATTAATTCTGGTTTTTAAAATTTATGTTTGCGAAATGTTCATTGTTTTTAATTAATTCTGGTTTTTATTTTACAAAACCAGAATTAATTAAATTCTAAATTATATTTTTTATATTTTTTGAATTTTGCAAAAATTATTTTTATTTTTAATTTATTAAATTAATTTTATTTACACCACTTTGCACATTTTTAACATTCAAATTAAATTTAAAATTAAATTAATAACACATTTATTTTTTATCTAATTAAATATTTAAAAATATAAGCAATAAAAAAATATGACAAATATAGTAGCAATCAACCAAAAAGCAGGCAATTAAAAATAAATTTTTAAAAAATTTATTTATTTTTTTAAATTACTTGGAATTTGCAGCGCGATTAAGTAACTTTAATTTTGCAAATATTTTTTGAAATATTTTTTTTTGAAAAAAAAATTTTTTTTAATTGAGAAACAATTTTTTTTAGATTTTAGATGAATCATATTTTATAAAAAAAATTTTTTTAATTTATTTTTGAATTTTTAAGGGAAAAAATAATTTTTTAATTTTTAGCCTAAGAAGGACTGTATAATACATACTACCTACTAATCCGCTTAAAATGCCTATTAAAAAATTTTTTTAAAAATTCTAAAAATTCTAAACTTTTTTTTTGAAATTATTTTTCTTTAATAAATAGCTTATTAAATAGGTTATTTAATAGCTTAAACAATTTTTATTTTAGTCTTTTATTTTTTCTTTCTAATAACATTATTTCCCACTTTTGCAAATTTACATATTTAACTGTCGCACCCTTTTTTTTAATTAAATTTATTTTTTTTATATTTCTTATAATTTAAAATAAAATAAATATATGTTATTTGCTTCATATTATTTTTGTTTTTTTATTAAATTATTTTTTACTAATTATTTTCTAATTTTTCTCCTTTAATAAAAATACTAAATAATTTATTGACCAAACAACAAGCAAAAACAAATTATTATTTTTATTTTTAAAAATAGTAGTTTGGCTTATTTTTATTGCCATGTGACTAGTTAAATTGTAAAAAAAATAAATAACGATACTTTATTTATTTTTTAATATTAAAATGATTTTTTGTTGTTAGGGAATTGTGATTATTATTTGCGTTATTTGCGCACATCCAGACAAAGTCAGAATTTAATTTAAAAATTCTGATTTGAACAATATCAGAATTTTAACTAAACATTGTTTATATTTAATTCTGGTATTACCAGAATTTTTATTTATATGTTTGTTTTTAATTCTGATTTCAGAAACATTACCAGAATTTAATTAAACCATTGTTTATATTAAATTCTGGTTTTTAAAACATCAGAATTTTATCTAAACATTGTTTTAATTTGTTTAAGCAACAAATCAGAATTTTGACTACACTTTGTTTTATTTAATTCTGATCTGACAAATATCAGAATTATTTGTTGGACATGTTTATATTAAATTCTGATTTCAAAAACATTCAAAACATCAGAATATTTAACAAATTTGTTTATATTTAATTCTGTTCTAATTTTGTGTTTTTTTTTAATTCTGATTTAATCTTTTAATTTCTTCTCTATAAACCCACTATCTTTTAATATTTTTTATTTAACTATTTCTATATTAAAAAAAATAATTTTTTATTTTTAAAAATTTTTTTTAATTTTTAAAAATTTTTTCAATATTTCAGCAACTTTATTTTAACGAACATTTATCAAATAATTATGTTTCTGCCCCAGAAACAACTTCAACAATAAATAATTGTTCTTCAACATCGCCTACTTCATTAATATTTTCTTCTACAGCCTCCCAACAACCTTCAAATAATACAGTTATATCTTCAAATAATTGTTATTCTGATACAGAAATACCCTCAACAAATAATAATATTTCATTTTTATTACCAGAAGAAATGGGGAGTCCAAAGCAACAACAGTTGCAACAGCAACAACAACAACAACAGCGCTTACCTCCAACAACTTCAATAAAAAAAGAATCTATAACAACATCAATAGCAACGACAACAAATGCTTCTTCTTCTTCTGTTCCCCAATTTTCCCCTACTTCAAATATTGAAAATGAAAGAAATTTAAATTTGGCACAACAAAAAATTGTTGATCAATTACTTGAAGCGGGAGGAATATTTAATTCTTTAGAAAATAATTTGGGTGGAGGAAATGATGAATTGGGGCAATTAATGGCACAATTAATTAGTGGAAGCAATAATAGAAATGAAACAGAATTGCAAGCAGCACAGTTAGCTCAACATTTAGTGGCTGCTACAACTGGAGGAAGTGGTGGTGGTGGTGATGTTTTGGTGGGTTTTTAATTTCTTAAAGACCAGAATTTAAAACAAACATTTCAGATATACTCTTAAAAATCAGAATTTGTTTTTAATTAATTCTGATTTTTTAAACACTAATCAGAATTAATTAGTAACAATAAACATTTCACAAACTTTTTTAATTCTGGTTTTTAAAATGCAAGTTTGCGAAATGTTTGTTGTTTTAATTAATTCTGATTTGTTTTTAAATAATCAGAATTAAACATGTTTGTGAGGTGTTTGTTTTTATTTCTGATTTTTATTTTAAAAACCAGAATATAAATTAAGTTTATGGTTGTTTTTAATTAATTCTGATTTGTGTTTTAAAAATCAGAATTAATTCAAGTTTGCGAAAAACCAGAATAAAACCCTATTTGTTTCTACCAGTGTTTAAGAAACAAGTCTTTAATAACCAAAAATTATTTTACATATATTTTAATTATTTAATTTTTATTTCTTTGAAATTATAAAATTGCCTTCTTTTCAATTTTTTAAAATATGGCTCCACAAATTAAATTATCCTTTATAAAGTAATAAAATTTATTAAAATTACATATTTTTGTCAATTATATAAAATATGAAATTTTCTTTTTAAATTTTTATTTTATTAATTTTATCAGTAAAAATTAAATTTTTTTTAAACCACAAAATATGAAATTTTTATATTTTATTTTTAAAAAAGTACAAAAATAAAAATAGTTTTTTAAAAATAAACTAAACTTTTTCTAGTTTAAATAAAATTCTGATTTTATAATTTATAAACTACAAACAAACAAATATTGTTATTGCTATTTTAAATTTAAAATAAAAAATTCTGGTTTCTTTAGTTTAACAGAAATTCTGATATAGAATAAATATTCTGATCATTCTGATTATATTCTGATTACAAACTTAATTTTATGTTTCGCAAACTTAATTCTGGTTTTTTATTACGAACTTAATTCTGATTATTTAATTCTGGTTTATATTTCATAAACTTTATTCTGGTTTTTATTTAAGAACTTAGTTCCGGTTTTTATTTTACAAACTTAATTCTGACTAACTTAATTCTGATTATTTAATTCTGGTTATTAATTCTTGTTTATATTTCACCAACTTAGTTCTGGTTTATATTTCACCAACTTAGTTCTGGTTTATATTTCATAAACTTAGTTCTGGTTTTTATTTCAAACTTAATTCTGATTTTTCACAAACTTAGTTCTGATTTATATTTCGTAAACTTCTGATTTATATTTCAAGGTTTATTATTTCGCAAACTTGTTTCTCCTCTTCTTTTATATACTTACATAATTCTGGTTTTATTTCGCAAACTTGATTTTTTGTTTATAAAATTTATTAATCAGAATTAATTTAAAACAATGTTCTTTTTGTTATATTTAAGATCAATCTTGTGTTTGTTTAAAATTTTTGTTTTTAAACACACACTCGCATAAATATTTCATTCAGAATAACATAATATGTAAATTCTTGACAAATTTAAAAAAAAATTTTTTTTTAATATTTTTTTTAATTTTAAAATTATTTTTCAAAAATTTTTTAAATTAAAAAAAATTATTTTTCAAGTCCCCCTCTTCTTCTCAACAACAAATCTCATTACTTGACCAACTCCATTTACTACAAATGTTGGGAGGCAATAACAACGCTTTAGCAGAATTATTTTCTGGACAACATTTTGCAACATCTTCAGGTCACGAACAACAACTTTTTGGTAGTGGAGGAGGTGGAGGTGGAAAATTTACAAGTGGTGGTAGTCCAAACAAGGACGATACTTATTGTGAAATTTGTAATAAAAATCTTTGCAATCGCTACTTTTTAAAAATACATATGAATAAAAAACATGGAATTGGTGAAAGAGTGGGTCTTTAATTTTTTGTTAAATTAAAAATTAGAAGGGGTTTAGCTTCTAAAATTAGAGGCTGAACGTGTCCTTGGCTTTTCCCTATTTTCACTTTTTTTGACTCCCAAAAATTTTCAAACTCCCCTTCTTTTAGTTTGTCAATTTCAGTGGATGTATTTTTACTCACGTAGGCAGGCCACTGGGTAGATTCAGAGGACTGACAAAGAGATACCTCTCGATTTAAGTTACTACTAACAACATTTACAGTCAATTTAAGTAGGCCAAGGGTTATAAAATTTTCTTCTGTCTATTTTCTATATTTTCGATGTCTAAGCAATAACTCTGGATTTAATTTACTACTCATTATAATATTTTGGGAAATTTTCCCAGCTATAAGCTTGTATTTTATTTTTTCTCAGCCTGTATTTTTAAATTTTTTAAGTTTCAGTCTCCAGTCAAGCTCGGAAACAGCAACTTTTTTAATTACCAAATTTCCACTTCTACGGAACAACAACAACAAAATTCACAACAATTACCTGGAAGAGCCCAATCAGCCACCTTATTAAATACTAATCGAAGAGAATCTCCCCCAATTAATTCATTTAATAATTCAAAAACTTCAATACAAAAACAAGAAGAACTTCAACAATTTTTATGTTCGTCTACACCAGCATCAGTTAATAATAATAATAATTTGGGTGGAGGAGGTTCTACTAATAATTCTGCTGCAAACTCTTCAAATTTGTTGGAAACATCGCCTAATGCTGCTGGTGGGGAATTTTTTTTAATTAATTAATTAATTAAATAAATGAATTTTAAAAAATTTTTATTTTGGAAAATTTTTACCGATTTTTGAATTTAATTTTTATTCAAATTTTTTTTTTAATTTTTGGAAATTTTTTTAAATTTTTTTCGCTAAAATTCTGATTTTAATTAAATTTCTGGAGTGTTCTGATATGTAATTCTGTTATTAATTTTCTGATGTTCTGGTTTATTTTATTTATTCTAGTTTTGTTTAAATTCTGATTCTTTGTTTTTTTGAATATTAATAGCTATGTTTTTTTTAAATTCTGATTTAGTGCTTTTGTTTCGTTTTTCTGATATAAAGAATAGTTAGTATGTTTTGTTTTAATTCTGATTTTCTTTTTATGTTTGTCTATGTTTTTATAAAATTCTGATTGTTTAAATTCTGATTCATTCTTTGTTTTCCTGTTTTCGTGTTTTATATAAATTCTGATTCTGTGCTTTTGTTTTGTTTGTCTCAACATTAATAAATAGCATGTTTTATTTTAATTCTGATTTTATTCTTATGTTTGTCTATGTTTTTTTTAAATTCTGATTCATTCTGTGTTTTCTTCTCTTGTTTTATTTAAATTCTGATTTTGTCATTTTTAATATTTAATTTAATTTGTCCGCATTTTTATAGTATACTAATTAATTTATTTTTAAATTTAGACTACTTAAATTTCTTTAATAAATATTATTTTTTAATTAAGAAAAAAAAATTATTTTTTTTTGTGTTTTAAACTTGAAACACTAAAAAATTTTTTTTTAATTTTTGCGCTCTTCTAAAATTTTTTTATTTTTATTTTCTCCTTTTTATTAAAAATTCCATTTCTAGCGTTACTTATAAGAGGTATTAATCTTTCTTCTACTTTAAAAATATTTTTACAACATTTTAAAAAAATTCATTTTCTGTAAAAATAAAAAATAGTAGAAAAATAATATTTAAAATATTTTTGAATATTTAAAATTAATTTTTTATTTTTTAGCAAAAAATTAAAAAAAATAAACGAAAATAATTAATTTTGCAAGCTATTTTAATTTCCTAAAATTTTTGAATTTTTTTTAAATTTTTCTAAAAATAAATTTTAAATTTATATGTTTCAAAAAAAATGAGTAGTATTTTTTCTTCTATTATTTTTGAGTATTTTTAATTTTTATAGAAAAAATGGAATTTTAAAAATAAAAAAGAGGAAGGAAGCAAATTCCTACGGAAATTCTTAAAATAGCTTGCAAAATTTAATTTTATTTTTTAAAATTAATTTAAAAACAAAATTAAATTGAAATTTATTTTTAGAATTTAGTAAGAAAAAATTTTATTTCCAAAAAAAAATTGAAAACAATACCTAAATGTAGTTATTAGTTTTATTATTTTTTTAATTTAAAAATTACCGGAAAAATTTTGAAAAAGGAAACAAAAAAATTTTTTTTGGCTCATTTTGGTTTAAAAAATTATTTTTTTATACAAACATACCCATGATTAAATAAATACATTTTTCAAAAATTAAAAAAAAATTTTTTTAAATTTCTCTTATGCTTTTCTCAATTTAATTTAATTTTTAATTTAATTTAATTCAAGGAAAAAGGGGCTCTCCCTTTCATATTTTCTATTTTTAAATATTTTTTTTGAAAAATGTTGAAAAGGGAATGCTGACGAATTGAGTATTAAGTAGCCCTTCTCACTCCCCTCTATTTTTAAAAAATATTTTTAATTATATAGAAATTAATTTTATTATCTTTAAAATTTATTTTTGTTTTTATTTTCTGTGTAAAGCTTAAATTAAATTTAATTGAGAAAATATAATTAATTTTATAAAAAAATTTTTTTTTGTTTTTTAAAAATATTATTTTTATATGAATTAATTTATTTTAATTTATTATTCAAATTTATTTAAATATTCAGAAAAAATATTTTTTTTCAATTAAAAAAATATTTTTTTTCAATTAAAAAAATATTTTTTTTTCACAGAAATATTTTATTTAATTTTTGCAAAAATATGCTAATATTTAATTATGTATTTTGTGTGAAGCCAAAAAATAAAAAATAAATATTTAATAATTTACTGTAAGCATTTTTGCAATATAGAATTTTTATTTTAAATGTGTTTGCGTATGCGCATTTTTCCTGTGTGTAGTTTGATTTTTTAAACTTTTATTAATAAACTTATTAGCGGATTACTGCAAGTATTTAATATATTTGCGGATATAAAATAAAAATTCTGATTTTTAGAATTCTGATTTTTAATTTAATTTCTGATTAATTCTGATGTGTTTTATTCTATTGTAGTTATTCTGATGTCTTTATTTGTTTTATTTTTATTCTGATTTTATTTTTAATTCTGATGGTGTTTTTATAGGTAGTTGTGTTATGTTGTATTTAAATTCTGATTTTGTTGTGTTTTAATTCTGATTGTGTTTTTATTTAGCCAATAGCTTTGTTTTGTTTCATTTAAATTCTGGTTTTGATTTAATTCTGATTTTGTTTCTCTATTCTAATGTTTTAATTAAATTCTGATTTTTCTGGGGTCTTCTTTTAACAATTAATATGTTTTGTTTTAATTCTGATTTTATTATTTTTAATTTTCACCTTAAATCGTCCGCAATTTTTTTAATTTTCTGCCTTTTATAAATACCGTTTAATTAATTATTTAATGTTTCGCGCCTTTTCCTTTTTTTTCTAATAATTTTTTGTCATTTATTAAATTTTGAGTTTTGCTCTCTACAATTTTTTTTTGAGTTTTGATATTTTTTTAAATTAAAAATAAAATTTATTTTTAGAAAACTAAAATTACACCTTTTATTTTTTAAATACTAATATACTTTTCTGAAAATACAAAAAAAAATTTTTTTCTATGCCATTTTTAAAATTTTATTTTAGCTAATATTTATATTTAAAAATAATTCTTTTATGCCCTTTATGTTTATTATTTAGTTTTTCTCAAAAAAAATTTTTTTTTGAAAATATTAAATATTTTTATTAATTTAGGGGTTTAAAAGAATTAAAAAAATTTTTTTTTCAAATTTAATTTTTCTTTTGTTAATTAATTTTATGAAATTTGGCTTAATTTTACACACCTTTTATTTTTTAAATATTTTAAAAAAATTATTTTTTTAAATTTTTTTTTTCAATTAAAAAATATTTCTAAAAATTTGCATACATTTTTAAAATTTTTTAAAATTAAATTTAAAAATTAATTCCAAAAAAAATTTTTTTTGGAATTAATTTTCTTTTTAAATTAAATAATTTTATTTTTAAATAAGCCTTACAATTTTTCAATTTTTTTTTAAAGATTCATTTTCAACCGACCAACAATTAATGGGCCAATGCCTAATGCAGCATTTAGCTTCACAATTAGGCCTTTCATCATCACAATCAGGAGGAGAACGTTCTTCCATTATTGAACAATTAATTGGTGCTGGCTTGCCTTTAGCTGAATTACTTCAACAACAACAACAATCGGCACAAAGGTAGAATAAAGAAATATGGTTATCTGATATCTATTAATATTGAATCTTGGGCATTCCTCAAGTCCAAATTGAATAGAGAGAAACTGAGGGATTCTCAAGTTTAGATCGATTGATCCTCATATTCTGCTTTTAGTTCATAAAAGGTCGTATAAAAAGATTTCTTAAAACTAAATTACAGATTGAGGGGGTTCTAATTTGTTCTCCAATTTTTTAAAAAAATTGGAAAACTCCCTAATTAACCTTTTTACTTTAGCTGTCGATTCATAGCGTAATCGAACCGAAGGACTTTTTCTGCTTAAAGTTTCACTTGGTTCCTGATCTGAATGTGAGGAATTTGGTCCCTTTCGATCATTGCTTGTAAGCGTGTACGAAAATTAGTCTTGTACTTGCTACGAGTAAAATTAAAGTTTATAAACACTGGTTTCAATTAGTCTGAATATTCGAAAAGTTTACAAGAGCCGACAGCTCTAACCCTGACTTAAAAAATTTTTTAAATTATTTTTTTTAAATAATTTTTCTTAGATCTTCTCCTTCTCCCGATCTCAATAATCAAATTATTCATTGTACCCAATGTGCTAGACAATTTCCAACACCTACCGCTTTGTTACATCATCAAATAACTGAACATATTGGCACAAATTTGGAACAACCAAACAATGAAAATAATAATAACCAATTAAATCCACTTGCATTACGTTGGGCAATGAATGAATTAAATAATAGTGGAGGTAGTGGAGATGGTAGTGGAAGTGGTGGAGGAGGAGGAGGAGGGGATGGAACAACTGCTGCAACAGTACAACAACAGCAACAATTTCTGAGTAGGAATTAAATTAAAATAGAGGAGCTAAAAAATTAAATTCAAAAAAATTTTTTAAAAATTGAAAAATATTCTTAAAAAATTTTAAAAAATTTCTCCGGTTAAAAAAAAATTTTTGAAAATAGAAAAAAATTTTTTTTTGCAATTTTTAAATTTATATTGCTAAATTTTCATTGGCTAAAATTATTAAAAAATTAATTTTAGAAAATTTTTTAGAATTAAAAAAAAACAGGCTCTTTAAAATTTTATTTTTATTATTTTTTATTCCCTCCCCTAAGTCATTAATTACCTAATTAATTAATTTAATTTAATCAGACCAACTTCTCGGCTCAAATTTTTCTCCAAATTCTGCAGCCTCGTCATTACTTCTCCCTGCATTTGGAGCATTAAATAATACAGAAATGGACAATGCTACAATGTTAGCTAAACTTAGTGCGGAATTAGCGTCTGTGAGTCAAGCATCTCAACAACAACACGGCTCTTCTGGATTGCTGTTTCAAAATGGGCTTTCTCTTGGGCAATCTGGACAAGTTGGGGTAAGAAAATAATATTTTTTGTTTGGTTGTTTAATTGTTTGAATGTTTAATTGTTTATTTTAATTGTTTGTTTCGTTGAATGTTTGTTGTTTCGTTGTTTGTTTTGAATATTTCTTTTTGGTTTTGTTTGTGTTTTTAAATATGTTTGCTTGTTTTGATTGTTTTGTTGTTTAATTGTTTTAATATTTATTGGTTTGTTTTGTTGTTTGTTTTGAATATTTGTTTTTTGTTTGTTCTTGTTTTGTTTGTGTTTTTAAATGTTTTATTGTTTTGGTGTTTGTTTTAATGTTTGTTTGATTTTGGACTTTTAAGTTTGTATGTTTTTCAGGTTTGTGTTTGTATGTTTAAGTTTATTTTTGCACTTAAGTTTTTGTGTTTTCTTTCATGTTTATTTAAGGTTGTATTTTTTATGTTCATTTATGTTTGTGTTTTATGTTGTGTTTATTTTCAAGTTTGTGAATGTATTTTCTTTCAAGTTTGTGTTTTCTTCTTATTTAACGTTGTATTTTCTTCTGATTTTGTTTTGTATTTTCGTCTGAGTTAACGTTGTATTTTCTTCTTCTGATTTGTTTTGTATTTTCTTCTTCTGATTTGTTTTGTATTTTCTTCTTCTGATTTGTTTTGTATTTTCTTCTGGTTTAACGTTGTATTTTCTTTTAAATTAGTTTGTATTTTCTCAAGTTTGTGTATTTTTCTGTATTTCTTCTCGAACATCTTTCTAAAAACTCGCTGTTTTTACATGTTTGTCTGTTCAATGTTTTAAGTTTGTATTAAATTCTTTTATGTTTTGTTCGTCCAAAAACATATTTTCTTCTTTAAAAATGTTTAAAATTTATAGTCAAAACCGCCTCCACCAAAACGCCAATATTCCTCAACAAGCAAAAACTTTTGCGATCTTTGTAATAAAGAAGTTTGCAACAAATATTTTTTGCGTACTCATATGTTGAAAATGCACAATATTGTTATTGATGAAAATAAGGTAGATAAAAAAATTTTTTTAAATAAAATATTAAAAAAATAAATTTTGGGGGGAAAATAATATTTTTTGGAATTTTATTTATTTACCCAATGAATGATGAATGAAATCTATTTTTTGGGGGTAGAGGAGACGTGTGATCCTTCTCTCCATTTTTTCCATAAATAATTTATAAATAGAATTTATTTTTTTATTTGAAAAAAATAAACAAAAAATATATTTAAGTCTTTATTAGTAGGTGTGTTTGGAAATTTAAAAAAATTTTTTTAATCAAAAAAAAATTTAAAAAATAGGGAGATATACATAAAGCCGATTTTGATTCAGAATAGACGGAAAAAATTTTTTTCTTCCCAAAAATACATATTTTCTGATTTTAATATAACTCGGTAAAGTTAGCATCCTTTTTTGCTTCTCCCATTTTTGATAGGAAAAAAAATTTTTTTTTGATAAAAAAGGAAAAAAATTTTTTTTGAATGGGTTCCTTGTCTGTTTCTATTTTCAGCCTTTATTTTTATTTTTAATTTAAGAAATCTTTTTTTTTGAATATAGGCTGTTTAAATAAATAAAAATAAATAAATTTCAGAAAATAAAAAAGGATTTTTAGGTTGGGTTACCTTTCTCTCTTTATGAATCACAGATTTTTATTTTTTTAAAGCATTTAGAAATGCATGGGACCAAAAATAAATTTTTTTTTATTTTTTTCTTTATTTCTCTTGTCTCGTCTATAATTTGGAAAAAAATTTTTTACGCCAACAAGAATGCACTTTTCATTTTTTATTTTTTTATTTATTTATTTTTTTTTTCTAAAATACAATTCCTCTATCAAACACGCAAGATAACCTTTCATTAAATACAAAAAAATTTTTCTTTCTTTCTTACGTTAGATGATTCAATCATTTATACATAGGCCAAAGTTGAGTAAAAATTTAAAAAAAAATAATAAAAGAGGATTTATTAGAGTCTGATTTTTTTTGGGAATTATTTGAAATTTTAGGAATCTTTTAGCTTGCTAGTGATGGGCAAGAAAAAATTTTTTAAAGAAGGGCTTTAGGCGGAGATTTGAGAAAGATTCATTGGTACTATGTTTGCGTTATAGGGAAAAAATCATTGGGTGGGAGATGGAATGGAACCATCATGGAATGAGCTGAGCTTCGATCTGAGCCAGAGGTGTGTCGGAACTATCAGATGTGCCGGAAATCAGAACTTTCGGAAATGGCTCAAAAGTCGGAAATCGGAAATCAAATTTTTTTCGGAAATCGAAATTCCGATTCACCTTTGATATGAGCTCATTCCATGATACCTAGTTCTATTCAATCTCCCTTCCGATGAAATTTTTCTACTGCCAACGGACATAATAGTTAGGATACCGAGAAATCTTTGGGACATCCTGAATAACCATTCTTGGAAAAACTTTGTGAAAGAAAATTACTTTCAGACTCTAAAATATTCTTTTCTCTCATTCATGATAAAAAAAGGGAGAGAGGGGGAGGGAGTGGAGAGATGGAACACTTAAAAATCACACACAAGTAAAAAAAATTTTTTTATTCTCCTTTCCTCCCACTAAAAATTTTTCTCTTTTTTCTCAAATAAAAATCGAATTTTTCCATTCACATTTTTCTTTAAAATCTTTAATTTTTTCCTACCAACCGAACGTTTAAAAAAATAAAAATAAAAAAATTTTCTTTAAAAATAATTTTTAAAAAATTTCTTCAGCTTGTAATAGCCAACATTGACACTTCCGAAAAAGAAAGACGAGGAGAAGTCAAATTTCGTTGTGAAATTTGTTTGGCTAGTTTAACGGGACGTGAACAACTACGGGCACATAAAAGAGAAGTACACGGAATGCAAGCACCTTTAGGGGGTGGAGGAGGAGGACATGCTTCAACATCTTCCACACCAAGTTCAAGTATCGGAAAAATACCCATCTTGGCTCCTTTGTTGCCTTCTTCTTTAACTGGTATAGTTGAGATGACTGCCGCGGATGGCCAAAAACATAAAATCTGCCAAAGCCCAACCACCATCAAAAGAACAAATAATTTAAATAATGAGGAGGAGGAAGATGGGGATGGAGATAGAGAGGGAATGTATCCAATAAAGAGACCAAAAATTGAAAATGATGAGGAGGAAGTGGATGAAGAAATTAAATTTAGAAGAAGAGGGGGTAGTGGAGGGGAAACTGATGAAGTTACCGATGAAATGATGTTACAACTACTTCAACGTTGGGAGGGTGAAAATGGACATAATGGGGAGGAATTAATGGGTGTTAATGAACAGCGGCAACAACAAACTTGTAGTAATAAACAGGAAAATAATAATAATGTTGGTACGAAAGAAGGAGAAAAACATAGTCATACTGTGAGAATTTAAAAATAATTTTTTAATTAAAGAAAATTTCCTAAAATTAGGGAAATTGTCTGATACATTTTAATTAAAGGATAATCCGGTTTGTCAAGTTCAGACAATCTGGATAACCCCCGAAACTAGAAAAAAATCTGGAATTTTAAACTGGCACTAAGCATTTTCTGGTGTCCTTATTCAGTCTGTTATATTCAGAAAACCAGGATAACCGTTGAGTTTGGATTCTGGTTTCCATTATTCTGCCTCCAAAAACCAGAAATTTTTAATAAAAGATAAAATAGGGGGTGACCTGTTCGGCTTCAGAAACCATAATTTTGGAACGTTATTAATGTGGAAATTGTTTAGAAACCAGAACCTTAAACCCAATTCCAAAAATTTTTTTCGGAACTGGGACGTACTACTCTTAAATATCCCTTTACTTCCATACAAATTTTTTTTAAAATATTCTGAAATTTTATTTTTTCATTTTCACCTTCATTATTAACTTATATTTTCCCCTTTCTCCCCTTTTAGAGTGGTTCAGCAAGCCCAGTTTCTCTCCATAACGCAACAACTTCTAATTGTAATATAGTAACTACCTCATTGCCCGAAGGTTTTGTTCGCCCAACAATTGATAATCAAAAATCTTTTTTGCTTCAATCATTTACAATTAGAACCGTTTCTTCTGAGGGCGATTCAACTACTTCATCTTCCCAATCTCCCCTTCCAGAAGAACTCGTTGCTTATTTACCTGTTAGATCAATGTTGCTAGAACCGTTGAAATTGACTTTGGAATTAAGGCCTAATCCACAAAATACTGATTCTTTGGTAAAAAATTATCTTTTAAATTTTTTAGAAAAATTGGGGAATTTTTAAATTTTCTGGAAAAAATAAAAAAAAATTTCCTAGAACAACTAAGAGCCGTTGACTAAAAGACGTTGAGTTGTCTTTTCCGTAATTTGTCTCTCTATTTTAATAAACACTTCCGGAATTTTCCGGATACACTCTCCCTCGCTTTTTGTCTATACTCACATTCCGGAATACATTCACAATCCGGAATATACGTCTATTTATTTTCTATTAAATCAGAATATATTGTTTTCCGGAATTTTCCGGATCCGGTTAGACAAATAGCGAGATAGTGTATAATTTTGCTTAACTTTATGAGAGAGACTCACTTAATATTCTTAAAATTTTTTTTAAATTAAAAAAATTTTTTTTCCAGATTCGTGATCAACAGCTTCAACATTTAGAAAATCAAAAACCGATTCTCAGAAAAATGGAAAATTTTGAAATGTGCGATAATAATAGTTATGGAGCTGGAAATGAAGTAGTACCCAGCAGTGTGCCATAAAAAGCCTCATCAACAATATTTTGTTAAAAAATCTCTCTTCTATAAAAAATATATTTATTTTTATATTTAAGCTAATGGGGGATTTGTTAGAAAATAAGAATAGAATACAGTCAGACCTCTCTGTGATACACCTATGGGCTAATAGAGAGTACTATTGCCTTGGCAGATCCCCCTCCCCCCTTTCAAACTAATTTTAAAAAAACGTCTCTTAAATAGAGGTGTATCTAATATTGGGAGTATTCTATAGTGAGGGATACCTTATAATGAGGGATACCTCAAATAGAGGTTATCGCTTGGATAGCTTCCCCCACCCAATATAAATTTGGGCAGATCCCTACCCATTGTCCAAACTAATTTAAGGGGGTCTCTTAAATAGAGGTGTATCTAATATTGGGAGTATTCTATAGTGAGGGATACCTTATAATGAGGGATACCTTATAATGAGGATACCTTAAATAGAGGTTATCGCTTGGACAGCTCCCCCACCCAATAGGGAAACCAAAGTGGAGTCTCTTATCTTGAGGGTGTATAACATAGAGGGTGTATAATGAGGTCAGACTGTAACTATCTTTAATAAACCCCATCTTAGTTTAACCCATTATTTAAAGACCAGTTTGTTTGTTTTCCATTTCTGCCTTATTTTTTAAATTTAAAAACAAAGGCCCAACCACCATAAATCATCTTATACATATATTTTTCAAAAATAATTTTGTTGTTGAACAATTTTTAAATTTATTTTTTTCTCTTCAATTTGTTATTTTTTTGTTTGTTTTTCGATTCATTGAATATTTGTTAAAATAAAAATAAAAAATTATTTTTTATTGGAATTACAATTTTTTTCAAAAATGCTTCCCTGATAAATTAATATAAAATATATTTAATTATTTTATAGTCGACTCTCTCTTTTAATTATCCTCGTTGATAGATTTTCTCGATTTTACTAAAAGGCTGGTATTCCTATACGTCTTGATTCAGTCTTTCAATTTTTAGAACTCCCCCTTGCTTCTCTGACTTGGCCTACCTCTCCAATCTCCCTCAGTTTGTCTCCAAAACCACGACCTTTTGAGTAGTTATACAATTAAGAACCCTCTTCTTCACCTCATCCTCCACTGATTTTTGCCTGGGATACCCGAGAGTGTCGACTAATTTTTTATTTTTATATTATTTATATCCAATCCAACTTCTTAATATCCCCAATTCACTCAAAACCTCATTTTATTATATTCATTTTTTGCACTCCCACACAATTGCCACACTAAAAACACCATTCTCGAATTTTTTAATCGGCTCTTTCATTTTGCTTTTACCAAAAAATTTTAAAAAATTTAATAAATATTACATTCCCATTTTTGCAATATTAAATAAAAATTTAATTAATTTTTTGGTGGTAAAAACCAATAAATAGATTTTACAATAATTACCAGAAAAATAAAAGCATTAAATTAATAAAAGAATTCAATCTTAAGTTTGTAAACTATTAAAACTTGAACTATTAAAACTTGAAATTACTAAACTTGAGTTTGCAAGTTGTATTTTCTGAACTTAAGTTTGTGTTTCTTGTGCACACTATCTCAAGTTCCAGAAAATTCCGGAAAGTGTTCTATTCACACTCCGGAAAATATGTCTATTCACTTTCCGGAAGGCATGTCTATTCAGAATCCTGAAACTATGTCTATTAATATTCCGGAAACTATGTCTCTTCACTTTCCGGAAAGTATGTCTATTCAGAATCCGGAAACCTATGTCTATTCATTTTCCGGAAAGTGTGTCTATTCACTTTCCGGAAAGTATGTCTATTCATTTTCCGGAAAATATGTCTATTCACTTTCCGGAAGGCATGTCTATTCAGAATCCTGAAACTATTCTATTAATATTCCGGAAAGTATGTCTATTCAAAATCCGGAAAATACGTCGCTATTAAGAATCCGGAAAATTCCTGAAACCTAGTAGAATTACTTTTTCCGGATTTTGAATAGACATAAAGTCGATGCATACATACGAGAGACAATTTCCGGAACAGACATTTATGGTCACTAAAATCAACCAATCTTAATCTTTTCTTTAACATTGTCTCTATTGTTTTTGCTTGTTCTTTCACCCCTATTTTTCATTTTGCCATTCTCTCCTTTTATTCATATTGTGTAGTCTTCCTTTTAGATTTTTTTAGTATTTAAAATTCTCCCGTTATTATTTTTTGTTTTTAAATGCCTTTAAATTAATCATAATTAATATGTTCTTCATTTATTTTTAAAAAAATATTTTCTCATTAAAATCGAATCCTCTTATAAATATTAAATTTCTCACATTTTAATTAATTAAATGTTGAAAAAAAAATAAAAATATTTATTTTGTTTTCCCTTCATTTTATTTGCTGGCACAGATTTAAAATAATATTATCATTATTATTTTTTTAATATTAAAAAATTGTTTTTTATTTAAAAATCGTGTTCAAATGAGACAATAAAAATAAAATTTAATTTTTAAGTCATTTATTAGAAATAAAAAAATTTTGTTAAGGCAAGCATGAATTATTAAGTACCTTTTTGGATAACCCCCACCCCTTAGTTTGAGTAGCAATTATTTTTTGGATATACTTGGTTAAGCAATAACATCTTTTCTTAATCTCAATATCATTATTGTAAAATAATTTTCCACCTTGTTAAATTCCTTGTCAATTGGTATAGCAAGTTGTAAATGCCGCGGATCTTCTTGGTGGCGTGTGCAGCTACATGTCAATTCGAGAACCTCGGTGGCTACGTATTCAAGAACGGCCGCCATGGTCAAAAAATTCCTTCGATTTAGACGAATTAAAAAAAAACTTAAAACTTCATAAATTTAAAAATCCATAAAATAAAAAAAAAAAACCCTGCTAAACTCAGTGCTTTTCAAAAAATACTATAAATATTAATCTGACCAAATTGGCGAGCTGTGCGACAAAATTTCCGCGTGGCGTGCCAAACGCCAAAATTTTTAGAACGGCTAGAAAACCATAATCATTCTATATATCTCAAAAGTCAGAAACCCTCCTTTGATGTATCAAAAATTCAAAAGAAATGTGAGGATCGGAGTGAGATTGAAGTAGGTTGCAAACTGAACGCTCGGGGTGTCGGGTAAGTGTGTGTGTTTGTATGTCGGGCTAGTGTCGTGTGTTGTATGTTAGTGCTAGTGTGTGCTAGTGTCGCATTTTGTGCTAGTGTGTGCTAGTGTCGCATTTAGTGCTAGTGTAGCATGTTGGGTAACGGGGTTTTCAAATTGTTTCGATATCCATTAAATCAGCCTAGTTCCTTCAAATCCAATTAATCATCCGCTATCTTACAAATCCCTTGATGATAGGCCATAAATCTTCTTTTTTCAGTGCCGCAGGCGAAAACTATAGAAATTTCACTTTTTTGTCAAAAATTTCAGTCTTTCAAAAATAATAAGAGTAAACTGTGAGGAAAATTTCTTCTTTTTCTTAAAACTTCCCCCAGAAAGTCATTTTATGGTGTGTATACCCTGAAAACCCCGAAACATTTTAGGACCGATAGACGGTTTTTCGGGCGGGGTTGTATCGGGGAAGACTGTGAAACAATCGTTTGTCAACGGGATCGGGGTACAACACTAATTTGAAGAGAAAAAAAAACAGTTAAGGAGCATATTAGAGGACTTGAAAAGATTAAGGGCATTTGAAGGATATCGGTTGATTAAAGAAAAGAGCAGATGGATTTGACATATATCGGGAAGATCTGCTGAATTAAAAGATATCAGACTCCGAAATAAAATAATTTGGGTTCCAGTTACGTAGCCGAGGCATGATATTGATATTTTTAAATTTAGGAAGGCAGGCAGAAAAATTCCCTTTTATGATCATCCCTCCTCCCATATATTTAAAAAATTCCATCATTGGTGGTGTAAAATTTTGCATTTTTGCGTGCCAAAAGATAAAAATCATGCAAACGCACGCCAAAACGCCATGGTCACAGTCCTGCTCACTGCCAACTACATTGAGAAACTCTGTTTAGCCAACTCCACATTGAGAAACTCTGTGGAGCCAACCCTACATTGAGAAACTCTCCGCATAGCCAACTCCACATTGAGAAACTCTGTGGAGCCAACCCTACATTGAGAAACTCTCCGCATAGCCAACTCCACATTGAGAAACTCTGTGGAGCCAACCCTACATTGAGAAACTCTCCGCATAGCCAACTCCACATTGAGAAACTCTGTGGAGCCAACCCTACATTGAGAAACTCTCCGCATAGCCAACTCCACATTGAGAAACTCTGTGGAGCCAACCCTATATTGAGAAACTCTCCGCATAGCCAACTCCACATTGAGAAACTCTGTGGAGCCAACCCTACATTGAGAAACTCTCTGTAGAACCAACTCCACATTGAGAGACTTTACGGAGCCAACTATACATTGAGAAACTCTCTGTAGAACCAACTCCACATTGAGAGACTTTACGGAGCCAACTATACATTGAGAAACTCTCTGTAGAACCAACTCCACATTGAGAGACTTTACGGAGCCAACGATACATTGAGAAACTCTCTGTAGAACCAACTCCACATTGAGAGACTTTACGGAGCCAACTATACATTGAGAAACTGCGGAGTTAACAGTGAGAAAAACGACTGTGAACCATGGCGTTTTGGCGTGCGTTTGCATGATTTTTATCTTTTGGCACGCAAAAATGCAAAATTTTACACCACCAATGATGGAATTTTTTAAATATATGGGAGGAGGGATGATCATAAAAGGGAATTTTTCTGCCTGCCTTCCTAAATTTAAAAATATCAATATCATGCCTCGGCTACGTAACTGGAACCCAAATTATTTTATTTCGGAGTCTGATATCTTTTAATTCAGCAGATCTTCCCGATATATGTCAAATCCATCTGCTCTTTTCTTTAATCAACCGATATCCTTCAAATGCCCTTAATCTTTTCAAGTCCTCTAATATGCTCCTTAACTGTTTTTTTTCTCTTCAAATTAGTGTTGTACCCCGATCCCGTTGACAAACGATTGTTTCACAGTCTTCCCCGATACAACCCCGCCCGAAAAACCGTCTATCGGTCCTAAAATGTTTCGGGGTTTTCAGGGTATACACACCATAAAATGACTTTCTGGGGGAAGTTTTAAGAAAAAGAAGAAATTTTCCTCACAGTTTACTCTTATTATTTTTGAAAGACTGAAATTTTTGACAAAAAAGTGAAATTTCTATAGTTTTCGCCTGCGGCACTGAAAAAAGAAGATTTATGGCCTATCATCAAGGGATTTGTAAGATAGCGGATGATTAATTGGATTTGAAGGAACTAGGCTGATTTAATGGATATCGAGACAAAGACCCCGAGCGTTCGAATTGCAACATACTTAAACCACACTCCGATTTTCCCATCTCTTGAATTTGGCACAATGGAGGATTTCTGATGAACATTAAACAAACAAAAACATTTTTGCACAAAAATAAGAAAAATATTTTTAAAATTTTTTAATCTTGTTTATTTTGATAATCTTGTTGTTGTTGGTGTTGAAGTGGTGGTGTTGATGTAGAAGAGACAACAGCAGCATTTCCACAAGTAATCATCAATTGTGGAGGAGGCAAACTGAAAAAACAAAAAAATTTCCAAAAAAATTCATAAAATAAGGACAAGAAATAACGAAACATATTAAAGGTGACATCAATGACTCGAAAAGCCTAGAGATTTACCAATTAAAGATAAGGGTATCCCAGACTTAAGTTTCATTAAATGCCCCAAAGGCCCTCTATGAGGTAGTTGAGAAAATTCAAAGAAAAAAATTTTCAAACCTTAACAAAGAAGGAATACATGTAGAAGTAACAATAGTTGATTGTTGTTGTTTTTGTTCCAAAGCTTGTTGTTTTAATGGACTGGAAGTAACCAAAATTTGTGGTGAAGGTATTAAACTGAAAAATTTTTAAATTAATATTAAAGTTATGAAAGGAAAAATTTGTACAAAATTTACAGCAAAGGTTGGGACGAACGTAGAAAAAAAGTTAAGTGCACTTTCGTTAACAATTAAGTTCGTGCACTTTGGTTAAGTGGGAAAATTTTTAAAAATAGGGGAAAGGTTCGAACCCGCTCGGGGTAAATTTTTTTTCAACAATATTAAAAAAAGTAGGCGACTAGTAACAACAATTCCACTAGTAGAAAATATTAAAAATTTTTTTTTTTATAAACCTAAGCAAAGACGGAATAACAGTTGATGTTGTTGTAGTAGTAGCAGCAACAGGAATTGGTTGTTGTTGTATTCTAGTTTTATAATTTGTGGTGGTGGAACAGAAAAAATGAAGTCAACGTTGATGAAGGAGCAATCTGTGAAAGTTGATTAATTGACAAATCAGGATTTGAAGAAGGCGAGGAATGCGGCATTGAAACTTCAACCAATAAATTTGGTGGTGGAATTGATGTATTAGGAAGTGAATTGGACTAGAAATTAAAAGAAATAAGAAAAATTCTTTGGGGGGCTAGGAAAAAAAACTGTAAGAAAATATAAAAATCAGGGAAGGGCACTGTCTTATTTTAAAAATCTTCTAATGGGAAAAAAATAAGTAAACCCCAAAGCTTTCGATTGGTATACTGATAACTTAACTATAAATCATAAAATAATAAATAATGGTGGGGGTGGGGGTTGTTGTTGTTGAATGACTCAAAATATGACTTCGAACAGAAACCTCGAAATTGAAAATTCTTAAACGGGATCCACAACCCGGATTTAACTAAACTAGACAATTCTAATTAAAATAAAAAAAAAGAAACCGTTTTGATCTGTTCCGTATTAATTATTGGACCAGCAATGGAGTTGACAATTGAATTTGAAATTGCAATTTTGTTGTTGTTGCTGTTGTAATAATTTTGAAGGTGAAGAATATAGCAAAGATTGGGTTTGGCTAAAATGTGAAAATGAATTTGTTGTTAATGTTGTTGGGAATATAGTGAGGAAAATATTGTTGTTTGTGAATTACTTAATAAAGAAGAAATTGAAGATAATGATAATGGCGGGGGTTGTTGTTGTTGAATATTGTTTAAAGGAAAATTTGGTGGTAAAGTTGAAAATCTTTGAAAAAAAATTTTTTGATTAAAATATTCGTTGGAAAATGCTTTAAAAAATATAAAAAAAATATGAAGAGGAACAAATTTAGAAAAAATTTCAAAAAAATCCCACAACTACTTTCCACAGAAAATTCTATTACTTTATCCATTGAAGAAGATTCTCCTCTAAAAATTTTAATAAAGAATCAGAAGTTGGAATCAGAATCCCAGTTTAGACAATCCCCACTAAAATCTACAGTCAAACAAACCTATTGTTATTATGACGATTATTTCTAGAACGCGAACGGCGATGTCGACAAAAAGAACTGGGCACAATTTCTCCCTCATTAACTTTTGCTGGAGTTTCTAATAATGCTTGTTCGTCGTTTTTATTTAATTCATCAATTTCAAGATTATTTTCTTCAGCATTTTTTGCAGAATAAATTAATTTATTAAATTGTCTAGAAGAATATCTAAAAAATATATGGAAAATTGAAAAAAAAATTCAATAGAAAAACAACGAAAAACAAAAAATTTCCTCTGCGCAAGCAAATTACAGCTGCATTTCTCTGACGCTCTCCACTTTTAACGTTCTCTCTAATTAAATTGACGTTTTAAAAATTTTTGTACAAGTTTACACTTTGACATTCGACAAAAATTACAGACTTAAGGACGCTTCGTCGCGAGAGCGATAGAAAAAGGGTTGGGGACGTTTTGGCGCCGTGCCGTTTTGCCGCGAGAAATAAAAACTGGTACCTAGACGAAACCTAATTTCATGAAAATTTTATCAAATCTCTAAAATATCCTTGACTACCTCCTCCAGAAATTTCAGAATTTTTCATGAAATATTGCTGAAGTTATAGTCGATAGACATCGAAAAATTAGGCAGTTTGCCGAAAATCAACATTTTTGGCCATAATTTCTGAAATTTTTGCTCAAAAACTCTGAAATCTCTGGAGAGCTTAGATAAAGGTATGAGAGTTATTATTGCAAAATTTTATCTTTTTTGATAAGCAACTCACTGTTTTATAGGCTCGCGCCAAAACGTCCCCGCGCCAAAACGTCCCAGTCCCATAGAAAAACAGTAACAATCTTCGCGCTACATTTCTCTCATTGAATGTTCCAATATTACTGACATGGGAATAATTAATTTAACCAAGAATCAAACAAAACTTGAGCGGCTATTTTTTAATATTTAAAAAATTGTTTTTTATTTAAAAATCGTGTTCAAATGAAACAATAAAAATAAAATAATAAATTAATAAATTTTAAGTCATTTATTAGAAATAAAAGAAATTTTTTGTTAAGGCAAGCATGAATTATTAAGTACCTTTTTTGGATAGCCCCCCCCCCCTCCTTAGTTTGAGTAGCAATTATTTTTTCTTCATTTTTGGTTAGGTATATTTGGTTAACATTTATTTTTACTTGCATCTCATATTGCTTCCGGAAGGCATGTCTATTCAGAATCATGAGAATGTGTCTATTCAGATTCCGGAAAGTATGGCTATTAAAAATCCGGAAAATATGTCTATTAATATTCCGGAAGGTATGTATATTCAGATTCCGGAAAATATGTCTATATTCACTTTCCGGAAGGTGTGTATTATTATATTATAATATTCCGGAAAGTATGTTCCGGAAAGTATATAGTATTCCGGAAAGTATGTCTATTTAAAATCCGGAAACTATGTCTATTAATATTCCGGAAAATTCCGGAAGACTGTTGAATATTTATTTTTTTCCGGCTTCTGAATAGATACAAAGCAAAAAAAGACCCAAACCATAGGGAGGGGAACTATCCATAAGGTACTGATTAATTAAAAATAAATTAGTCAAAAAATTAATTTTTTTTCGGTCATTTTGTTAATTCTAGTGTCATTATCTTACTAATTACTCACTCATTTTGTCCTATTCTCTGCATATACTTTTTCAAAAACTGAAGGAATAGAAACTTTACAGTCATATTTAGCACGCAACCAATCGTAGAGAGCCGCCTTTAAAATTAAATTTTTATTGAATCCTTTAAAATTCTTCTTACATCAAACATTTCCCAAAACTCAGCGGCGTTTTGTTGAGAATCAGAACATAGCATTTGGAATCTGTTAGAAAAAAATATTAGAATTTAAAGTCAGAGACTTGATTTCAGAAATAGGAAAATACACAAAACTTAAAACAAACAAGTTTTATGAACAAGGGGGCCAAAATTCAAGTGTTTGTATTAAATTTGAGTTTGTAAACTTAAAAAAATACTACTTAGAACATACAAGTGATCAAGATTTTTGAAAAGCCTGGGCCTGTACCTGGGGTTGATTTATCGACATGGGTCGGATCCTGGGTCCAGGAAATACCCAGGAAGGTCAAAAAATGCCTGGGCCTGGACTCTGGGTACAGGAAAAAGATGGTCCAGACCCAGCTCGATCACTAGAACATACATATACGTTGATTTCAAAGTGTATAAACTTAATAACAAAAATAAGTTTGAACTTCGAGTCTTGAATGAAATCCGTTTTATTTTACAAACTTAAGTTTGTAAACTTAAATTTTTAAACTTGAATTTTTAAACATATAAACTAGTTTGTATCTAATCGAAAATTCATTGGGTCTAACCAAACCTTCCTATTAAAATAGAAAAAATTTTAAACTTTACCCCTTAACTTCTCTCAAATAACCCTCCAACGTCTTAATCTTTTCAGCCACTGTATTAGAACTACTTTCTTCTTCATCAAAACTTTGAGTCAAGCGTGGTTGCCCATATATTCCAATATTGACGTACATTAGTTTAAGTCCGTGTTGATTCCGAACAAGTCCAGTATGAGCTGTCAAGTGAAACGGACAGAGCCAGAGGGGATAAATCTGAAGGGACAAGTTCTTCAAGAAATATCTGTTATCCCTATCACCTTCATCTCTTTATCAACAAGTTTCAACGCTTCTTGTAAATCGCTTAGAGGAACCATAATATTCTGCAAAACATGTTGTTTTGAATAAAGTCGACGAACACGAGAAGTTTTTGGAAAAGGAAGAGACAACGGCAGAAACCATCCAATAATCCAACGGAAGGGGAATAGTAAAAATAAGGAAGGAAGAATTGAACGTAGCTCCCAGAAAAGAGAACGCCAATGACGAGTAAAATATTGGGTTGTTGGAATATATTCTGTTTTGGACTAAAATTGAAAGGAATTATTTTTAAAAAATCAGAATTATAAAACAGAACATTTAAAAACGTGAGTAGAACAAAGAATCTGAAAATACAAGCTTAACAAAGAAAACAGAAGATTTACCTAGAAATCAGAATTACAAACTTGAATAAAAAAAGAATTGAAACAAAACATGTACAAACTTGAATAGAACAAAGAATCAGAACAACAAAAAATACAAACTTGACAAAGAAAACACAAAACTTGAATAAAAATCAGAATTATGTAAAACAGAACAAATAAAAACTTGAATAAAATACAGAATCAGAAAAAAATAAAAATACGAACTTGAAAAACTACAAAACCTAAATAAACATAAGAAATACAAACTTGACAAAGAAAATACAAAACTTAAAAAAATCAGAATTATTCTTAAAAAAATCAGAATTATTTACAAACTTGATTAATCAGAAAAACAAAAACACAAAAGAAAGAAAATACAAAACTGAGAAAGAAAACACAAAAAAATACAAAGAAAACACAAAACTTGAATAAAAACAGAACATTTACAAAACAGAAAATACAAACTTGACAAAGAAAACACAGAGATAAAGAAAACACAAAGAAAACACAGAACTTAAATAACAATCAGAACATTTATAAACAGAAAATACAAACTTGAAAAAATACAAAACTTAAATAAAGAACATTTACAAAACAGAAAATACAAAACTTGAAAAAGAAACACAAACTTAACCAAATCAGAATTCTCTCCTAAAACACACTACTATTTTCTCACTACCACACAAACATGTATTTCCAATAAAAAATACAAACTCACCCCTCCACTTTCCAACATTTTCTTCACATATAAATAAAAGAAAGGCTTGTACCACCTTCCAATATTATTTTTATAATTTCTATCATTTCTAGGTATTTTGTCAATAAAAGTTCCACTAATTAAAACTGAGCATTCCTTATCATATTGAATTGCCTCCACAAATTCATTTTCGGCTTTCTTCTTCATAATTAATTCTTCTATTCGCCCAGTCAATTCTTTCGTGGAATAACAGGGTTGGTATTGAAGTCTGATATATGGAGGGCATTCTCGAATTTTGAGGGTGATAGAGACTAGGAAACCGAGCGAACCAAGCGACCAGGGAATGCCGAAGAATAATGACTGGTGCGCACCTTCCTTTAAAAAAATTTTTTATTTTTGGTTAAATATCCTTCTAGTCTACCCTCTCGGCAATAATTAATTCCCCACTTGTAGTCACAATTTCGTAAGCCAAACAAGAATGTTGAAAAAGCCCATTCTTTGCACTACTCGAAGATATGCCTGCCCCCAACACTAAACCTCCAATTTGCAAGTCTCCAATTTCCGGAACTACCGGAAGTGTATAACCTAAGGGAAGAAGAGCACGTTGGAGTTGGTCAATGCTGACTTTTGGTTCAACACGCACAAATTTTGAAGTAATGTTTAGCTTAAATGAATTTTATGACTTAAACTTGAATAATTAAAGGTAGAACTTAAGTTTGTAAACTTAAATAAAAATTCTGATTTGTTTTATTAAATTCTGATTTTTTAAAATATTTTAATTCTGGTTTATCCGGAAGAAGTTTGTAAAATTAAAAAAATTCTGATTCTTTTCTATAACAAAATTCTGATTTGTAAACTTAAGAATTATGATTTTTAATAAAATTCTGGTTTAAAAAATTCTGACTTCTAATTCTGATTTTTAATTCAAAATTCTGATTTTTAATAAAATTCCGACTTAAAAAATTCTGACTTTTAATTCTGATTTTTAATTCAAAATTCTGATTTTTAATAAAATTCTGGTTTAAAAAATTCTGACCTTTAAATTCTGATTTTAGAAAAATTCTGATTTTTAATAAAATTCGGTTTAAAAAATTCTGACTCAAAAATTCTGATTTTAGAAAAATTCTGATTGAAACTACAATCTTAAAAACTTGAATTAATCAGAATTATTTTAAAAGATCAGAATTTTTATTTAAGATTATAAACTTAAGACTGAACTTGAATAAATCTTAATTCTGGTTTAATAAAATTATGGTTTAATTAAAATTTTAAGTTTGTAAGTTCTCAACATTTAATTAATTTATTTAATATTCACCTCCACAATATTACAAAGATTGTCCAAATTGATTTTGTACATTCCCTTTTTATATTCTGGTCTAGTAAAGCACATTTGTTGACAATTATCCATGCTGCTTGTAGTGAGTCGTTGTCTTTGACGGTGTGGTTTGCCCTCATTTAATTTGTGCCATTTGTTGATCTTCAAAAAAATTTTTTTTCTCAAAATTTCGTAGGGCAAAGCACCTGTCTCTGTACTCCCGCAACTTTCCTCCCATGCGATATCCCCCCAATATTCGATTTAAATTTGATCCAGTCAAGTCTAACATTGATAAAACGCTTCACATATTCAATAGGTAAATTAAAAAAAAGAACATATAGCCATCCAAAGTTAAACACCCAAAGACGAAAGAACCAGTTGATAATAGCAGAGATGCGGTTAATAATTCCAGTAATCAAAAACATTTAAAAATAAAGAGAGGAGGGTTAATGTCAGTAGATGATTAGGGAGGTTATGTGTATGTGATAAAATAATTTTTAGCTAAAAAGGGGAAAAAATAAATTTTATAAGGTTAGCAAAAATAAAAAGAGGTCTAGAATCAATGTAAGATGAACAAAAAAGATAAGTATTATAATTTTATGTGATTAGTGGGCATCTGCAAAACTGGCCATTGTTCTTATCGGTCAACTCGTAAAAATTCAAAAAAATTGTGAGTTATATCATCAAGTATAGATTGATGAATAAGATTTGGTGAAAAAATTGGGGGAAAAATAAGATTGGGGGGGGGGATTTGGGGGAAATATGAAGGATTGAATAATATGAAGGTAAGTTAAACACACAATTTTGGTTAAATGGAAACATCATAAAAACAATAATGGTTATAAAAAATAATGAGTAACCTCAACTATAAATGTGTACTTTTTACTTTGCTTTTTAAGGAGAAGAGAGGAAATGATGAAGAAAAAATATGGGAATTTTATCAATAAAAACTGGGCATAAATGGAAGAATGCACTAAGGGGACAAAAAATAATAACTTATTTGTTAAAGGAAAATACCCGACATTTTATAAGGGGTAAAATTAAGGAGGAATTTAGGAGGAGGTTGGATGGGTAATCGATGAATTTTAAATGATTTGAGGTAATTTGAGTAATAAAAATGAGGAAAATTGGATTTTGAGGGAATAAATAGACGAGGAATTAGAGTAAATTAGGATTATCAGTTTTCCTCCTGGAAAAAAATTTTATTAAGAAAAATCGGAGCGCAGTCGTGTCATCGAAGCATCGGCATGACCATGAGAACATTGTGTTTTTGATGACCTCCAACCTCCTTGTATCATATTTTAAGGCCTGCTACCCTCCACTACCTTTTTCAGGTTTTCCTCCTGGCCCCCGAAGGAAGATTAAATCCAACGGATTAAATTGTTCCGAACCGGAAGAATGTTTTTTTTAATTTTGATTTTCAACACAAACTCATAGCACCCTATGCGCTCCACAATCTTATCTGCGCTCCATGCCACTGCTAGTTCCGTTCTATTTTTAAATTTGTCGTATAACTTAAATTTGAATATTCGATGGGTTGCAAAAGTGCATCAAGGAACTTGGAGGGCATAGGGTGCCATAAGTTCGTTCTCTTCAGTGATTAGTTGTCGTCTGCAAAAGCGACTATTGAGTCTTGTTGGTTGAGCCCAGAGAAAATTCTATTGTCAAAAACATTTTATTTATTAATTTTCAAGAGTTTAATACCGATTCTTATTTCCATTAATATAAGGAAGATCTAACAAAGAAAGATTTAACAAAAAAATTTGGGAGCGCAGTCATACATATATATATGTATATAATCAAACACAGATTTGTTCAAATCTTAAAGTTTGAACTCCTCCACCTCCATTTAGCATATTATTTGGCCTGCTAACCTCCACAACCCTTTTTCAAAGTTTACCTCCTGGCCCTTGGCCAGTTATCTTTATTATTCTCCTCTACAATCTTAACTGCGCTCCATGGCCTGTCCAGCTATTTGGAATGTTATATATATTAGCCTGAAGTTATTTCAGAATTATTTGATGAGTTATAAAAATAAAGAGGGAATTGTACATAATTTTCTTCTCTCGCTGAAAGTTTTTCGATTTTTCCGGAAATAGTATACCTAATTTATTCTCTACATTAAATACTATTATAGAATTTATTATAGATACCTGAAGAAAATATACCGTATTGTCTCTAATACAAGCTTTGGGCTTCTATTTTTCAATACCCCTCATTGAGTGGGCTTCTATTGGGGCATGGGCTTCTATAGAGACAATACGATATCTTTAGGATAAAATGTATCACAGCAAGAAAGATCCAACATTAAAAAAAATTCAAAAAAATTTTGGGAGCGTAGTCTCATATTTTTATATGATCAAACACAGATTTGTTCAAATCTTAAAGTTTTAACTCCTCCACCTCCATTTAGCATATTGTTCGGCCTGCTAACCTCCACAACCCTTTTTCAAGGTATTCCTCCTGGCAATAGTTTGGTCGTCTTTTTCATTGTTTGGCGTTTTTTCTACAATCTTAACTGCGCTCCATGGCTCGTCTAATTATTTCAGAAGCTATATATTAGCCTGAATTTATTTCAGAATTATTTGATGTGTTGTAAAAGAAAAGGGAATTGTACTTAATTATTTTCTCTTGCTTAACGTTTTTCGATTTTTCCGGAAATAAAATTTATTTACAAAATTAAATAATTTATTATAGATCAGTCATTAATAGCTAAACATTCGTCGCTCTTATAAATGCTATCTGATTTAGGTGCTTCCAAATATTCTGGTCTAAGCACTCTAGTCCAATTGTTTAGGTGTCCCTTTAAAACAAATTTATAATAATTAGGGTTCTTCGGAAATAGTAGTGAATATTCCGGAAAGACTTCCAAATAGGAATATTCCGGAAAGAATATTCACACTTGACATTTTGGAGTGAATATTCCGGAAAATACATATTAAATAAATAATTCTGGTCTTTCCGGAATCCTCAAAAAAAAGAAAATGATTGTCTTTTCCGGAAAATACATAGTATTAAATACATATAATTCTGGTTTTTCCGGAATTCTCAATAAAAGAAAATAATTATCTTTTCCGGAAAAAACACTTAAAAGAAAAATTCGAGTGACTATTCCGGAAAACACATATTAAACACACAATTCTGGTCTTTCCGGAATCCTCAAAATAAAATACAAATTATCCTTTCCGGAAAAGAAACACAAAAAAAATTCGAGTGACTTTCCGGAAAATACACATAAAATACACAATTCTGGTTATTCCGGAATTCTCAAAAAAAATTGTGTTTTCCGGAAAAACACTTAAAAGAAAAATTCGTGTGACTATTCCGGAAAATACATGTGAAATACATAATTCTGGTCTTTCCGGAATCTTTTGTATTGTCTTTTCCGGAAGGGACATACAAACAATCCAACATTTTCCGGAAAAGAAACACAACATTTAATTAAAAACACAAAACATTTACTTTAAATAGCTGCCCAGAGTGTTTAAGGCAAGCAACATTTAGTGGAGAAACATGATAAAATTCACGTAATAATCCAATTTTGGCTGTATTCTTAATAAATCATTTAATTATTCAAGAATAAAAATTAATTACCCATTTAATTGACAAATATTTTTCTTGAATGCTAAGTCGTTTGTCAACAACTCCTCTAAATATTAATTTAAATTAAATTTTTTAAAAAATTAAAAAGACAATTTATAGAAAAAGGAGTGTAGAGATGAATTGGAAACTGCTGATTTACACACTTCTATCTAAAATTTCGAAAAAAATTCTGATTTTAATCTAAATATTCTGATCTGACCTCAGATGCCGGGTAGTAGTGTATATAATTTACACACATTTCGTCTTCAATGCCATACCCGCCCTTTTGAATAATTAAAAAAATATTAGATGATTAGAGGGAAAAATGGAGGAAAAAAGGAGGAAAAATGAAGGAAAAAAGGAGGAAAATGGAGGAAAAATGGAGGAAAAAATGAGGGAAAATGAAGGAAAAATGGAGGAAAAAAGGAGGAATAAAGGAGGAAAAAAGGAGGAAAAATTGAGGAAAAAATAGAGGAAAAAAGGAGGAAAAATAGAAGAAAAATAGAAGAAAAATGGAAGAAAAATGAAGAAAAATGGAGGAAAAATAGAGGAAAAAAGGAGGAAAAATATATGAAAAATCAGGGAAAACTGGAGGAAAATAGGAGGAAATAAAGAAAATCGGGAGCCTTAAAATTGAGAAAAAAATTAAAGAAAAGTAGAGAAAAATCGGGAGCCTTACCCAAGTCCATTTTTTCCGTTCCAATGTTTTATATAAACACGTTGTTGCTAACACATCTTCCTATAAAGTTTCCGGAAAAAATACAAATCAGAAAAAGATTGAAATTAAAAAATTACAGGAAGCACATTTATGTGTGGCTCCAATGGCTGAATATGTTGCCAATGAGGTGAATAATGCTCGTCTCTATTTATTTCACCAATCTTCCTTCCGTTTCTTATGAGTGAAGTAAAAAGTTTGCGCCCTGTTAGGTGTGCGTGAAGTTGTGAGGCAAAAATATAAATGCCGTTGGAGGGTAACTAAAAGAGGGAATTTATAGGGGATTCCGAAAAGAATTTAATAATACTGTTCCGGAAAGAAATATGTATGTATTTGTTGACATTCCGGAAAAGTAATTCAAAGTGTTCCGGAAAATAATATTTACAAATTCTGCTTTTTCCGGAAAAAAGATTATTTAATATTCCGATTTTTATCAAGTAATTAAAATTCTGATTTTTCCGGAAGGAGATATTTAACAATTCTGACTTTTCCGGAAATAAATATATACTTAAGCAATTTTGACAAACCATTAGTCCTGAAAATTAATTCTGACTATTCCGGAAATTTTTTTAGTAATTCTGATTTTTCTAGAGGAAAGTATTTAATAATTCTGATTTCCCCAAATAAATAATAATTCTAGTAAATTATTTCAATTAAAAATTATTTTTTGCCTTTTCTGTACATTCAGACGGACAATAGCCCGTAAGCGGCCATGCTTTTTGCATTGGAGGGACAGAGTTTGCATCAGAATATATCAGCCCCAACTCCATTATTCCAGCGTCAAAAGGTCTCAAATGCTTCGTGAAGGTTATTCTAAGTCCAGAACTGTCAGTATAGCCAGTGAGAAGTGCAGGATTGTTGTAGTGTATTTCCACCATTAAAAAAGGGATGAAGCCAGGACCTCCCAACGGCATTCCTGCTTGTGGGGGAAAGACGACAGGCTTATAAGGGAAGGGGAGTATTGAAAATTTAATTAAAAAAACATTCGCCCCCATTGACCAAGCAGCCAAAACTTTAGAACAACTTTTAGCCTCTGTAGGTTTTGCAGTGGAGCAATCGCCAGCAAAAGGTCTTGTAGGGGTTTGACAATGAAATACTTCAAAATGGTGAACAAACTGTTCATTTCCAGGAGTTATTACTGCTTCATACTATTTATTTTTAAAGTAATTAATATTTAAGTCTGTTTCTTTAACCTTAATTGCGTGATGCTTTGTTTGCTTCAATTCATAGGGCAATTCAATAATACTTTAATTGGAGAATTTTTTACACAAAATTTTTTGTTAAACCTGCAATAATAAGTTGTTGTTTGTGGGGGGATAAGTACAGAATTGGCACGGATTTCCATTGTTTGTAGATTAGTTTGTGGAGGGACCTTTTAATATTTATTAATTAGAGTTTTGATTTGAATTTAAAAAAAAATCGGAGCGCAGTCGTGTCATCGGGCATCGATGCAATTCATTACAAGCCACTGTGCCTTTGTGCAGCATAGCTGCCCTCCAACCTCCGTGTAGCATATTATAACGGCCTGCTACCCTCCATAAAACCTTCGGCAGGAAGGTTATCCTCCTGGCCGGAGCCAACGGCTGGACACTCGCTTTTCTTCTTTCACGTTTCCCCTTCATGGGGATTTTTTTTGTTTTTTATTGACCCAACGGGTAGTATAGTGATTTTTTATTTTTTTATTTTCCGACTTTCGTCGGTGTTCGGCACTAGACTTGTTATGCTCTATGCCCTCCACAATCTTAACTGCGCTCCACACTTTCGATACTCAATCATTTAATTATATATATGCCCTATATATTAATCAGAAATAAGTAATAGGTTGTAAAGTACATAAGATAGAGTTTTTCTGTTATCTTTTCCTACATTAAAAATGGTCAGTTGATCACAGATAATAGAGTGCGATCACTAACTAGTTAGTAATCAGTTGAACAAGTTCGTTAAGCGGAGTCAAATCCTTTTTAAAATGTTTACAGATCGCAGGAGGATGTCTAAAATCGAATGAGTATAAATGAGCGTTATTGGATTGTGTGGAGTTTATTTTTCCATTGTTTGTTTCTTGAAGAAACTTCAAAATATTTAATCAGAAATTCCAAAAAAGCTTATTAAGCTTAAAAAAATCGGAGCGCAGTAGTTTCATCGGGCATCGATGCAATTCACTACAAGTCACTGTGCCTTTAGTGCAGCAAAGCTGCCCTCCAACCTCCATGTAGCATATTATAACGGCCTGCTACCCTCCATAAAACCTTCAGTATGAAGGTTATCCTCCTGGCCATGCCTTCGGCACGTTGTTTCGTTTTTTCTTCTTTTCCGCCCCTACGTCAGGGTTTTTTTTTAAAGAGATCGGCACTAGACTTGTTATGCTCTATGCCCTCCACAATCTTAACTGCGCTCCACATTAATGATCTCAATCATTTAATTATATATACCCTATATTAATACTCAGAAATAAGTAATAGGTTGTAAAGTACATAAGATAGAGTTTTTCTCTGCTATCTTTTCCTACAATAAAAATGGTCAGTTGATCGCGATAATAAAGGTGCAGTTATTAACTAGATTTAAATTGAAATCCATACCTTATTTTCCTTGTTGTTTAATCCAATAGTTAAAAGTTTTGTATATCTCATTTCATAAACCATATCTTTGAGTGATTTTGAATTTTTTCTAGTGCTAACAGCAAGAATAATATTGCTTGTTCCATTCTTTTTAAAAATTTTTAAAATTAAGTTTTGATTGTTTCAAGTTTTAGCTCCTTACAGATCACACTAGTCTATAGTTTCAAATTATTTTTAACTAGGTCCAAGAGAATCTCAATGACACATATCCTCTATATAACATCCATTCCGTTATTTACATCCGCTCAAGTGTGTGGGATGTGTTCGATGGGATGTGAGATCTGGGCCTCGATATCATACCCTCTTTTAGGTAAAACACGGATCAACCCTGTTCCGAAGGTCTTTATCTAGATTCCCTAGGGCACATCCGTTTGTCTGATGGGAAGTGAGATCTGACCCCTGATATCCCGTCTCATTTTCGTTATAACACCGACTTAAGTTCATTCCCGAAGCGAAGTCTTATTAAGATTCCCTTTCTTTACTATAAAAATTTAATTAGTAAATTTACATCGAATCTAAAGTCTCTTGGATCACACGTTGAAAATTTCCTTTGGAATTGAAAAAATGACTCAACACTAGTCCTGGTATCCAATAAATGACAATCTTGTTTAATATCTTTGTGTAAAACCAAATTGGAATCTAACCAGCCATCCGTCTTTAAAAAATTTTTAAAATTATTTTTAAACTCCCAATCTACCAATTTTCTACTTTTCACTTGGTAAATACAAAAATCACTCCCTGCAAATTTCCCATGATCAGAAAATCCAATTAAAACTGCAGAAAGATTACTAGGAGAAAAATAAATGGTAAATTCTACAAGTTGTTCAGTCCAATCAACTGTCCATCTCATTTTTATAGAAGATGATTTGGCTAGTTTTTATTATTAGATTAAAATTGAGAGGTTAAAAATAGAAGAGATTTCGGAAATTACGGAAGAAATAAATAATTTGTCTGTTCCGAAAAAATATTGATTTAATAATTCTGGAGTTTCCGAGAGGGGGAGGGGGGGGGGAATATTTAGTTATTATTAATTAATTATAATTATTTTTCCGGAAAATAATTTCCGGAAAAAAAGATTAATTATTTATTTTTGTGTAAAGAAGAAAACGGAAAAAATAATTTCCGGAATTTATTTTATGTGTTTTAAAGTTTCCGGAAAAGAAAAATTATTCTAGGTTTCCGGAAAAATACAGTTTAAATAAGGTTTCCGGAAAATAATAAATTATTCTGTTTCCGGAAAAAAATAAAGTTTCCGGAAAAGAATAGTAAATTATTCCAAGTTTCCGGAAAAAATAAAGTCTAAATAAAGTTTCCGGAAAAAAAACTTTTCTATGACAGAATAAACTAATTTCCGTGAAAGAATAATATTTATTAGTTACTAGCTGGATGGATAATCAGAAAATTTTTTTAATTACCAAAAGAAGAGTTTATCCAAATTACTTGTTCATAATTATCATGATAATTTTTATATATTTTATTTTCAGTCGACCATCTTCCACTGCGCATAAAGGCTACCAATAAAATAAAAACAATCAAAAAACAAAGAAATAGGGAGTGCCAGAAAATTAGGGAATTTTTCATTTTTATTTTTTAAATAAAATAAATTTTAATTAAAAAATATTAGGAAGAACTAAAAGATAAGCTTCTTTTCTGATTTTGACAGATGTCAACTCCATGTGGTATAATTTAATTAATTTGTATGACCAAGCAATATTTTTATAAAAACATTCTGATTTAATATTTAATGTTGAATATTCTGAGAAAAATAATTCTGATGGTTTCCGGAAAAATATAAGTAATTCTGATTGCTCCGGAAAAAATATTTAATAAGCAGACTGTTCCGGAAAGGATATTTATATTAATTATGCTTTTTCCGGAAAAAAATATTTAATGATTCTGGGGTTTCCGGAAAAGTATATCTAGTAATTCTTTAGTTTCCGGAAAAGTATATCTAGTAATTCTTTAGTTTCCGGAAAAAATTATTTAAAAATTCTGACTGTTCCGGAAAGGCATATTTAATTTAAACTATTCCGGAAAATATTCTTTACTGGAGTATTCTTAAATTAATTAATATTTATTTATCAATTTAATTTAAATTACCGTATAAAAATTCTAAATTTCATTATTAGCATCATCCTTTCTCACAAAAAAGTGCAAGCTTGCTATTTCACGTGAAACCCCCCATAACTTTTCCCCCCTTAACTTTTCTCTATCGAAGACCTACCTATAATTTCCCAATAATTGCCCCTTTAATGCCTTACCCAAATGAATCCTGACCAAAACAAAAATTTGTTTAAACAAAATTTTCCAAATAAAATTATTGACAGCCGCCGCCAGACATGCTCTTTCTTCACATTTCTCTCCCTTCCCTCTTTTTATTCTAGTGTATTTAATAACGTAAAACTGTCAGTCAGCGCCATTGATTTAGTTAAAGCTTATTAAATATTTATTACTTTTAGTTTATTTTATGTCTATTTTACGATAATTTCTCCATAAGATAAGCATTTATTAACTAGTTTTTATATAAGAATTTTATTTTATATTTTATTTATGAATTTATTTCCTTGTTTTTTATAGCTTCTGTCAGGCTTTTAAATATTTAATGTGTACTCCAAATTAGACGTCTATGTATCTCTACAGAATAGGAACCTATCCGATCATGTTATACATATTTCTACTAGTGTATCGGTTGACTAGAAAGAAGGAGATCAAGCTAGCCCTACTAGAAAGGGATTAAAGAGTAACCCTAAGTAGACGTTCCTTTCTTCTACAAGGACAGGAATATGTATTTCTACTAGTGTATCGGCTGTCTAGAAGGAAGGAAGATCAAGCTAGCCCTACTAGACAGGGATTAAAGAAGAAAATTATGGAAGAAACGAAACTGATAGCTCAGTCGCTATATCACCTATACGCAGTGAGCGGAAGCTTCCAGTTTCAGACTAACTTCCACTAACTCTCAGTTTCAGAATCCTTTCAAAAATATTATTTTTTTTCAAAATATTCTCAAAATAAAAACAATTCCCTACAAAATAAAAATAGAAAATTTGCCTTGTAAAAAGATTTAAATAATTTTTTTTGTTATGCCTGAGATAAACACTAACTACAAAATTTGTATTCAAGCTACATTTTTTGTGCTTTTGAATTATTAAACTAAAAATATTTTTATAAACTATAACTATATATGATTTTTTTTATTTTTTTTTAATTAAATTTCCAACTCCTTTAAATTCTTTTAAAATTCTCAAAAATTTCTTTTTTCAGCGCTAATTAAAAAATTAAATTTTTTAACTCCCTTACAAATTAATTACTTTTAATACTTAAAAATTAAAAATAAAATAAAATGCATTCACATATGAGCCGTGTTTCTTCTAAACAAGAGCGTATGATGTTAACTGAACATGAAAGTTCACCAACGGGAGGAATATTAGAGCAGGTTAAAATACATAGAAATAAATGAAACCTTAATTAGGGAAATTATGCCTAATTGGAATTTATTACAAAGCTTAGCTGTAATATAGTGACTCTGGAGGAGTGGCAAACTCGATAGTTTGGCTCTTAAGGGTTGGGAGAGTTAAATAAAAGATTTGTTCTATTTAAGAGTTGTGAGTCCTAGAGGCTCTGAGAGAGGGTAAGTGGCTCGGTCAACCTCTTGGTTAAGCACTAGGCTGATTGAATCCACAAGGACCTAATTGACGACTCCACACCTGATTGACGACTAACTCCCAAATTATTTGGCAAACTCGATATTTTGGCTTAGAGGGGTGGGATAGTTAAATAGGAGATCTGGGGCCAACGCAAATTAAGGAGACAATCGACAAACGACAGATATATTTTTCACGTTTATCGTTCGGATACGTCGTTTGTCGAATACCTCGAACGCAAATTAATATCTTTATCGTTTGTCGTTTATCGTCTCTATTATATCGATTGTCGTCGAGATTTGTCGTTTATCGTTCGAAATTAGTCGTTTGTCGTTTGAAACGATAATTTATTATGGTAACAAGTGAAAAACTACGGTAGTTGAACGACAAATTTAGTGGATGCTCAATCCCGTCCCCCAAATTTATCGTTTGAAATTTTAAAAATTTTTAAAAAATCCAAACTCAACCTAAAAATTCCAACTAAAATATTTTTAGATAGAAGAGAATGTGCTCTATCTTTTGATATAAGTTTCAGAAATTTTTCTTTAAAAATAAATTTACTAGAGGCTCTCGCGTAAGGTACATCTATTTTTGAGAGAAATAGGGACTCATCCTCTCAAATAGGACTTTAATTTCTGATTAAGCGTCTTATAAATTTTATATCTATTAGGAAAGAAAAGCTAAAATTCTGATTTTTACTTATATTATGTAAAACAATCTCCTCTATCTAATGGTATAAAAATTGGAGGGATTAAGTGGATATCTGTGGATTAAAAGGGATATTGGTGGATTTGGAGGGATATCGACTGCGAATCTTAGATTTTTTGGCACCATTCGATAGAAGATCCCAGACTTCCTATTGCAAAGTGATGTTCGTTTTCTTGCAAAACGACTTTGGGCCAAGTTATGGCCAGTTAAAGTTTCAGTCCTCGGGTGTGTTTGAGTACAAGGAAAAGAGGGAAAAGGAGTGAGATATCTAGTTTTTTCACTCACTCTGTTTGCTTTACATTTTCTTACAAAGTTGAGAAAAGAATACTTGAGGCACGAGAGATTAAAAAGAATAGAGAAGAAATTCTTCTATTATATCGTTTGTCTCCTTAATTTGTATTGGAGGTAAACGCTAAACGACAATTGACAATTGATAAACGATAATTTCCATAATATCGTCAGCTGATATATTCAGACGACAAACGATATATTTCAGACGATAAACGATATATTTGTAATATATCTATCGTTTGTCGATTGTCTCCTTAATTTGCGTTGGCCCCTGTTCTATTTAAGAAGTGGGAGAATAATTGTGAGTCCCAGAGGCTCTGAGAGATGAGAGAGAGGGGTTTTAAGGGTTAATAGCCCGGCCAACTGCTTGATTAGGCACTAGGCGTAACAAGGATTAATGCATAGCTCCACACTCGATTCAAGACAAACTCCCATATTAACTGACCAATTTTTAGCTAAGTCCAATGTCAATTCCACTGACTGTTCCAACTCCTTTGGATATTTCAACCTCATTGTCCTCTTTGGAGTCGTCTCTTCCTCACCATCACTTCTCTACAAACCCACCACCCCAACCGCAGTATTTTAATCAACCCTACAACTCAAAAACAAGCTTCGGAAATAACCCAACAATGTGGACAACAAACGTTGACGGAGGCCAGCAGCGACGGGATTCACAATACCGATTTGGAATGGGTGAAAATGGAGTTGAGAGAGGAGGAGGATTTGGACGAGGAGGAAATGAAGTAAAGAATTTTGATGTAAAATTTCAAAAAATTTTCTCCAAAATCTTTTACCTACTTTACCCTATTTTACTCTTTAAGCCTTTCAACTATTGGAGCTTTGTCCCCAATGATTCTTACATGGACACCGGAGTGGGAAGCACTGGTGGAGGAGGAATTGAAGAGGGAATACAAGGAAGTTATCCTCCACCAGGAACTTCTCATGGATATTCCGATTGGATCGCCAACTCTTCCACCGCCGCTAAAGCAGGAGTAAGCAAAATTCTGAGTTTTCCGGAAAATAAATATTTAAATATTTTAGGCCTCTCAGTGTTGTGTTTGTCGGGCCTGAGTCAGGGACTCAGGCTGCTGCCACAAATTTTATTCAAAATGCCAACAACTTTGATTACTCTCCCCCACACCAAAACCCTCCTCAATATCCCCAACAACAAAACGAACATTGGATTGACGGAAATTTTGGAGAGAACAACACCCACTGGCAACAACAAGAAAATAACCAGCAGCAGCAATATTTTAACTCCGAGCCACACTATCAGAATTATCAGCAACCTTATGGCACGTTTATAGGCGAAGAGGAGTATAATGAGGATATGGGGACTAGGTAGATTTTTTAAGTCAGAGATTTTTTAACTTAATTTTTTCCAGTACCATCCCAACAGTCTCTTCAACCTCACCCACAGCTAGCGCCTTCGAGCCTTTGAGTGTATGCTCCTCTGCCTGCACATGGAGTTCAGGAGGAGGAGGTGAATACTCTTCTTCCTCACAAGATGAAATTTATGAAGAAATCCAACGAGAATGTGCAGAAATCGAACGGAGATCGTTCTCGCGTTCACCACAGGAGAAGGGAACAGAAAAGCAATCTTTGAAGAATTCTTCAAAAATTTTGGAAAAATTACCACGTGCAGAGCGCAAAAAAGAATTAAACAGAGTTGCTGCAACTCGTTATAGAGAGAAGAAACGTAAAGAAAGAGAAGAAGCTGTTGGGGAAATGGCTAAATTGGAAAGTAGAAATTCGGCATTAAAATCAGAAATAGCTGCAGTTCGGGCAGAAATTAATTATTTGAAAGGGTTGGCAAAGGAAATTGAAACTGTTAGGCGTACTAAGATAATAAGTTGAGGAGAAAATACTATTTTTTGATGTTTGGAGAAACACGTTCCTGTTGTCTTTTATTTTCCGGAAAAATTATTCTGAAGCTTCCGGAAAAAATGGAGAGTTTTGTTTAGATTACTATTAATATTTCCTTGTTTTCCAGAAAGAAGAACAATTATAAAATTATGTTTTTCCGGAAGGAATTATAGAACTATATTTTTCCGGAACAAAATATAATAGTTTTTCCGGAAAGAATTATAGAACAATATTTTTCCGGAATTAAGTGTATTATTGTTTTTCCGGAAGGAAATATAGAATAATATTTTTCCTGAAAGAAATAGTACATATAAAATTTTTCCGGAAGGAATTATAAAATAATATTTTTCCGGAACGATGTATTAATATTGTTTTTCCGGGTCGAAATAATAATTCTTTTTTTCCGGAAGGAATGTTCGTTAATTCTTAAATTTCCATAACGAAATTAATTCATACATTTAACAATTCCGTTTTCAAAAGACATTCTTCCGGAAAATTTTTTTCTAGAAATCTTTGATTATCTTTGTCCTTTTTTCCATAACTCATATTTATTTGTTTTTGGCATTTTTAATATTATTTTGATGGCGGCAGCCGTGAATTCCCGCCCCTAACTTGTAAAATTTATAACACTGAACATCCTCATAATTGTTTAATTAAGGAGAGATAAATATTGAAATTAAGCGTAAATTATTATGTATTTTTATACTAATAAATTACAGACTAAACGCACCTTAATAATAAAAGAATTAAAAATCCAGGAAAATTTTGAAATTAAAATCGCGTTATTTTCACATTTATCCATTAGTTTTTTCATCAATTTAATGATATGATTGGCGATGCTGTTGATCAGGTTCATAACTTGGTGGAGGATATTTTCCTCCTCCTTGAGCTTTAGGAAACGGACTTTCGAATACATTAACGGCAACCTAATTAATTAAGAAATTAATTATAAGACTGTAAAATGTTTCCGGAAAATATTTTTCCGGAAGGAATTATGAAATTATGTTTTCTGGAAAAACTTCCGGAAAAATTTTTCCGGAATGAACTATGAGATTGTTTTTCCGGAAAACGTAGCCGGAAAATATTTTTCCGGAAGAAATTATAAAATTATGTTTATCCGGAAAATATTTTCCGGAAACTTAGAAATTATGTTTATCCTGATGTAGTTCCGGAAAATTATAAAGTCACAGTTTTCCGGAAAATATTTTTCCGGAAAAAAAATTCAATTTAATTACCGGTCCACCAAACGGATTCATCGAAATCTTCTTTTCATTCTCCCTCGCACTATCAGTCGAGTATTTTTTGTTTGGTTGTTGAATGCTCGATACTTTATGAGGCGTTGTAACCTTATCTTTCTTTATCTTTTCATTAACTTTAACAGCAGTCTTCTCAGTTAAGAAAGTAATAAGTTGAATTAAGCTTAGAGCTGATAGACCTAACCAAACACCTATAGACCCTCCAATACTAGAGATGAACGTCCACAAAGTATAGACATATTTTTGTTCCAAATTCATATATTCAAAAGCACCCCAAATCAGATTAACGTCGGTAATGGCTGGAAATATATAAATTTTAAAATTAAATATTTTAAAGACGAGGGAGTAATGAGTAAATTGGAAAAGAGAGCCTAAGCTCTCCTCTCCCTTGCGGGTGAGGAGAGCCTAAGACCGATAGGTTTAGAGCTTTAAGACGAGGTCTAAAGACTACCTTTCTTCATTCTTTCCATCTCTCCTTGTCTCCCTTGTCTGTTAGGCACAACAAAAAATTGGGCACCCCTACACCATCTTTGGATATGGCTCCAGCTTAAGGTGAATCTCTCTCATTCTAGCATGAGTAAATTGGAAAGCTCTGAGGAGAGCCTAATACAGATAACGGGTTCCCTCTTGGTTCCCTCTCTATACGAAAATTCTCTCCCTACTCCTTTCTTCATGTGCTTGAATATGGATGAGATGAATGATCTTTCGATGATCTCTTCTTATCTGATCTTTTCCACTATCCTCAAGATACTTTAAAAATTACCAGGATTAGTGGATCTTCCCATAGGTGTGTTCTGAACTAAATAACGAATCTGCACACAATGTGGGAGGCATTCCTTTGCACAGGTTTTCTCGTTAGTATTTGTCACACTGAAATTTTTTTATATCTTCCGTTATTCTAATATCGTTTAACTTGTCTGGAAGTTGACACTGTTCGTAATCACAAGCAGGGTATCTTACAAATTCCTTTTCATCTGCGACAAGATATTGGAGTGTTGATGGGGTGCATTTACAATAATCCTAAAATATATTTTTAAATATAATACAAGTGGATACACCCTTGGGGACCTTCTACCATAAGATACACCCTTGCGGGGAACTTGAATCTTATAATGAGGGTAACGCTTAGTCAGCTCTTTACGGTACACCACAATACCGCGAGCCCAATGTACCGGAGAGCTTCGTATAAAGTGGTGGAATCTGGGACGCCCTAGTATGGTTCGATTCAGCTCGTCAAGACGCATCGAAGTATACCAAGGCCTCCCGGATTCGACCCTTTGAACGAAGTTATAGTACATTGGGCTCGCGGTACATTGGCCTCTCTCGATCTCTACCCATTGGAAAGCAACTCGAAAGCATACTAAAAAGGTCTTAAATCAGGATTCAAATACTGATACTTGGTCAAGCACTGATAACGTTCTTTATATCCATCAATCTTGTCGGTACTAACAAGTGTTTAATTAAATAACGAGCATTACCCTAATCATCTGCATCCTGCAACGACTTCTACATTCAAATTCGTTAACTTCAGCATCGTCAACATCATCATAATTTCTGCAAGCGGTTGCTTCATCATCATTTTCGAGCATTATGTAATGCCCACGTATCTCTACTTTAGTTTCGTGTACACGCCCAAGACATAGCTTTAAAAGGCAGAAATTTTAGGGACTTAGGCCCATGTTTACCCCTTCAGTAGTTCCATCCTTAGAACGTCCCTTTCCCTCCATATGCTTGGCCATAGTAGTAGGACGTCCATGAAGATCAAGGGACATACACTCTTCTGCTTGTTTACTATCATTTAAGGCACTAGGGTTGTGTACCAACTCCATTTGGAAGAATTTGCCCTTTAAAATAATTCTGTATAAATTACCTATATTTTGATGGAACTCTATTGAGCCTTTAAACATCTTACTGAATTTTTTAAAATAATTTCTATATTGGACAGGGTTTCTGTTTAAGAAGCACCATTTCCTAGTAGGGGTGTCTTTTCGGAACAGAACCAAAGAAGTTCATGGATACACCTTAACTGAGTCCCGGACCCTATAACTTATGAAGGGGTGTCATCTTTTTTGTTCTTAGCACCAATTGATAGAGCACGGGACTCAGTTTACTCGGGATGAACTGCTCCGGTTTTTCGAGTCAGTTTCGGATATCTGAAAATATTCCATTAACCGGATCCTCAAAAATAAGTTAACATGGTTAATAACCAAAATTTATTAAGGCCAAAAAATTAGCGTTTATTAAAAAGTATTTTTTTGCTACTTGATCTTCAATAGGTTTGAAACTCTCCGCATTAGGAAACAGAGGTTGGAAACATAGTTGTTTGTTAGACAGCCAAGAAATGTGAACTAATGTAGTAAAATTGTCAGAATCATTAAAGCCTGTCCTCATAAAATAGTTTTTTGACTTTTCTAATGTTTCAATTCCAACTTTCTGAGTAAAATCTTTAAATGAAACTTTGCGTTCGGCAATTGCAGCTAGCCATTTCTATAAAATTTTTAATAAAGGGAGTTGGGGATTTTTCATTTTAGGTTAGACTTTCTTTGATATTAATCAGAGGTATACTTCGAACGATCAAATTGACGGTTACGGGTCTCTCTAGTCGGGCCTGGATTCGGGCCGGGTGAGGAAGATATGCTCATCGATTCTTACCGGGATAAGGGATGGGAGTGTTACCCGTATCCCGGACTTCTCCAAATCTGTCTGATCTCTGTTCGGGATACGGGTTTTCTAAATTTTCCAAGTGGAGTTGGTATCAGGGACAAACATGAAGAATCCTTCCAGAACCGGGGGGTTGGAGTTACAACTTTAATTAAAATTCCTTAAACACATACTTTAACCAAGGTTCGCAATCCTTGATGTTTCGGATTGCTTTGGAACGCTTTAATATCAGCCAAAGTTTGTGAATCAATCTTTTCTCGTTCTAGCGAGTTTAGTGTTGCTATTGCCTTTATTAAAATTTTTTGAATTTCAAAAACATTTCTTTTTTCTACCTCATAAGCACTCATAATGAGCTCTTGGGGCCACCCACTTGAATTCATAAAAGAGTCATGATTTGGCATCTTGGCAAGTATTTGCTTGAATTTGAGAATTTTTTTAAAAGTTATTTCTCCTTTAAAACCTCAACTTCAGAGTTCCATTCTCTGTTTGAAGTCGTTAAAGTCGAATTGCTGCTAAAATTTCCAAAATTGCTGCTAAAATTGCCAGAATCGCTAGAATCCCCAAAATTGCCAAAGTGGCTCCATGCTTGTCTTTTACTCATACAAAATGTAATGTTTGGAAAAATTATTGTACGGTTGAATTGCATTGACATATCAGCACGTTTGGGAAATCCCAAATATTCAGCAGTCTAATTTGTATTTTTTACAAAAGATTTTTAATTTAATTTTGAGGGAAGAGGGAAGGGGAGATTAAGAGAATGATGTCAGGAATTACACACTATCTCGCTTTTGTCTGACTAGAATCCGGAAAAAACCGGAAACTTTATAATAAAATGATTTCTGAATTTTCCGGAAAATTTCCGGAAAATAGACGTAGACATTTCCGGAAAATAGATATAGACATTTCCGGAAAATAGACTTAGACATTTCCGGAAAATAGACAGAGAGAAAGATAATTCCGGAAGAAAACTTAAGGGAAATGAATTCCGGAACAGACAGAGAGAAAAATAATTCCGGAAAAAAACTTAAGGGAAATGAATTCCGGAACAGACAGAGAGAAAAATAATTCCGGAAAAAAACTTAAGGGAATAGACATTTCCGGAAAATAGACATAGAGAAAAATAATTCCGGAACAGACACTTAAGAAGAGAAATGAATTCTGGAACAGACCAATTTTATTAATGAGAGTGAACTCAGGAAGAATGTCTAGGGAAGCTTAACGAATAAAAGAGCTTTCAAATTAATTCTATAATTATTTTAAAAAATTTTCTACCAAATTAGTAGTCTCATAAATAGTCATTCCTGCCAGAAATACAATTAAAAAATAAAAAGCCCAACGTCTAAACTTTTTGGAATAAACAATACTGTAGACTTGGTGAGTTCTGTCGACCATTATTTCTCTTAATATTAATTAAATTGAGTCAAAAAATTTTTTTGTAATTTTAAAGAAATTTAAAAAAATTTTTTTTGTACTTAAAAAAATTTTTTATGAAGATAAAAATAAATTTTAATATTTTAAGAGTGTCTAACAGCAATTCCGGAAACAAAAATTCCGGAAAAGTTAGACAAATATAACCCTAAGTTAGACAAATAAAGCGTTCCGGAGACAACTAAAGCTTTCCGGAAAAAGCATTAATAATATATTGCTCAAGAATATTTGCTGCATGAATAACATAGGCAATTACTGGACAATTACTAGGCAACTGGAAGGAGTAATTAACTGAGGGAGGGAAATTATTCCAATTTTGAAATTCAAGCGTGTGGTAAGGGATTAGGATTTGATAGGGTGTAATTAATCGAGGGAGGGAAATTAATAAGCTTATAAGGCATTTAAAAAATAATTTAAAATATAAGTAGTTAAAACTTTTTATTATTTTCCTTCTCTTTTTATTAAAATAATTTTTTTTATTTTTTTTAATTAATCGAAGAAAAGTGAAAGAAAGTTTGGGTAAATTAAATAAATGAACACTTTATTTGGTTGTAAATCAAAAAACCAGTAAAAGAAGTGCGCCTCTTTTTTTATTTTTTTAGGTTCAAGGCGAGATCGACAAGTTTATGGTTGGGTAGTTTTAACCGAATGACCTAATGATTTACTGTGGGGAATTTAATTAAAAGGCAAAAATCGAATTTAACGACTTTTAATCAAAATATTTGATTTTATGAAAATTTTGGACATTTATTTTTTTATTTTAATATTTACAAGTTGGTATTTTAAGAAGATTTGATTTTTCAAACAATTTTAGTGATGGCTACAGTCCTTTCATTATAGCACAAATATTACGGAAACAGTGTCTTTTTTAATAATATTCCGGTAAATGTGAATATTTCTGGAAATAGATTCAAGTTTTCCGGTGTTTCCTAGTTTAGAATTTAAGTGTATAATATAATATGTATGTATTATTCCGGAATATTCAACACATTAATTCTGGAAAATAATTTTATTATTTATTTTCCGGAATTAATTTTCCGGAAATAGTGTCTATTTTAATAATATTCCGGAATGAATTTAAGTTTTACAGTTAAGAGTTTAATAATATAATTCCGGAAAGTTTTATATATTATTTCCGGAAAATAATTTTATTATTAATTCTGGTTGAGTTTCCGGAAACAATTAATATCGTCTGTGGCTCTTCTTGTTTATTTACCCCTAGAAATTTTAAATTAATTTTTTTTAAATTAATTTTATTTTAAATTAACTTTATCAATTTTCGATATTTTTCTTAAAAATTAAATAAATGAACTTTAAATTAATTTAAAAAATACACAAAAAATTAATCAAGACAAAAATATACCTATTTATTCATTAAATACCTCAAAATTAAATTTATTTAATTTTTTATTTTAGACACAAAAAATAAAAAAAATAGGTGTATATTTGTTCTATTAAAATAATTAAATGAAAACGTCACAATAGTAAACAACTTGAATTATCAACCTGGAATATTTCTTAAATTAAAATAAAAAGGAAAAAAATTAAAAATTAAATTAAGCGTGTAATTAAGAGATAAATAGGGAATTTTTTAATTTTTTTTTATTTTATAGAAAAACTCAAATTCTGATTTTATAAAAATATACTGAAGAAAAACATACTGAAAATAATTTTTCCGGAAAATAATTATTGTAAAACCTTTCCGGAAAATACAAGTCTGCAGTTATAAAATTAATAGATTTAAAAATTTCCGGAAAATACACTGTCTGTATTTCTGCTTGTATTTTTGATGTGAAGTATACTTTTTCCGGAATTTAATTTTCCGGAAATATAAAATGTTTCCGGATATTCCGGAAATATAAAAAGGTTCCGGGTTTTCCGGAAATATAAAAATGTCCGGATTTTCCGGAAAAATATAAAAGATTTTCCGGATATTCGGAAATATAAAAGGTTTTTCCGGAAATATAAAGGTTTACGGATTTCCGGAAAATATAAAAGGACCTACATATGTATTAATTAATTATTATTAATAATGCTGTGAATAATATCCAAGCAACAATTTACTAATTATTAAGTCGCATGACAATAGCGGAAAAATCAAAAGATTTATTTTTATTTTAGTCTTCGTTTTGTTGTCACGAAAAAAATACAAAATTATTTATTTTCTATTTTTAATTTTTTTAAAAATAATTACTACTCTAATAGTTAGAAAAATATTTTTTAAGTAATTAAAAATTAGGTATGTTGCATATTTATATCTAAAAAATTTTTTTCATATTTACATAATAATTAAATACTTTATTTTTTCCTAAAATGGCATTTTTTCTATTAAATTAATAGTTATTATAATTTTTAAGAAAATCTTTTCTGCTTTATTTTTCTTTTATTCAGAAGCAATTTAGCTATTATTAAGTCAACAATTTTCTTTATTTATTCTAAAAATGAGAGATTTATTGCAAATCTTATTATTAAAAATATTACCCCCAAAGTCATTTTTAGCCTCTTCAGATACCTTTTTGATTTTATTTTATAATGAGGGATATCCTAACAAGAAGGTACCTACCTCAAAGAAGATATCTTGACTTGAGGTGAATTAAAGGGTTATTTTATAGTAGAATCAACTTAGATCCAGGTCTCACATTCTAGGGGGTTGCCATGCTTTACTTCGTGTTTCAGCTCATATGTAAATCTTCTTCTTCGGCCTTCTAGGGGGTTGCCATGCCTTACTCGGCGTCTCAGCTCAATGATCTTCTTCCGCCTCTCTGTCTCGGGGTTTTCGTAATTCTAGACAATTCATATCTCTATTTTATAATGAGGATCGAGTTTAAATAAACTAGATATTTTTTTATAATTTTTAATATTTTAATGACGTATATGGCATTAACATTTTTTTAATTAATCCAAATTTATCATAAATAATGAATTATTACATTAATTCTCACAGTAACTAAAACAATTTTTATTTCTAAATTAGGTACATTTATTTAAACATTGAATAGACTAGGTTTATTATCTCACAAATAATACAAAAATCGGAACAATTTTGAAATTAAAAATGTACGGTAAAGTGGCCTTCGTATAAAATTTATTTAATTTTTATATGACTAAAAAAGATGGTTCATTAATAAATTTTAGTATTTATTTTAAATTTAAGCTAAGCTTAAAAATATATTTATTAATTAAAATAATATTTTTAATGACTAAAATAGTAACAATAAAGGCTTAAGATTTAAAAGGCTTAAATGTTCAATAAATAATTAAGATTTATTTTTGAATTAAAATTTGTAGTTTTTAGAGAATGTACCGATTGTACCTACTATGAAGGTTGATGTAAAATCGTACGATCATTAAAAAAAATTTTTTTTTTAAAGAAAGCTCTCACGCATTTAAGCTAACAATGACAATATAAATTATAATACTTTCATTAATTAAAAATATTTAAAATATTTAAAAAAATGGCTTAAATTTATTTCTATTAAGTAGAAGAAATTTTATAATAATTATAAATTCTGACTATTATAAAATCAGAATTTTTAAACACTTTCGTTCTAGGCGTATAAAATAATATTCGTATTCATATCCGGAAGTAATTTTCATAATTCACTTATTTTCCGGACAAAATCAGAATTTATTTTTCAGGAAAGAATATTTATAACTGTCTATACTTCCGGAAAGTGCCCAGAATTTATAGTTTTCCGGAAAGAAAATCATCCTGAAAAATCAGAATTTACATACATAGATTCAGAATAATATACCTAAGTTACTTGTCAATAAACATTTCCGGAAAAATTTTTCTGAATTCTAATAGTTTCCGGTAAATCAGAATTTATAGCATATTCCGGAAGGAAATAACTATAATTCCAGAATCTATAATTTTATAATTTTATTCCAGAAATTAGAATTTATTTAACTGAGAAAATTAATTTTTAACAGAAATCAGAATTTAAATAAACAGAAATAAATGTCTTCTAATAAAAGCAGCTATGGTCTATTTGGAATTGAAATTAATCCTGATTTAGGAGCTCCGGTGAGCAAATTAATTTATTAAAATAAATTAGAAATAAGTTAGAAAGAACTAAATAAAATTCTAACAGCTCTACAAAGCATATGCCAACAACGGCCCAACATGGCACATTGTTCTCCCTGCATCTCTTCTATTTACTGTAGCCCTCTTCGGCATTATCCTCAATTCCTTCGTTGTAATAGTCACAATAGCAACCCCAA